ATTTTTACTTTTCTGTGCCTTTCTTCTTGCCGTCCCCTTCCTTAGCTTGTGATGTCATTTCTTTGCCAATTCTTGTTCATCCTATTTATTCTGAGAAGCCCAGGCTGGAGTTCTCTTCTCAGACTATGCGTGTCCATCACAATTGGCCCCTCAGTCTATATTTTCTTAAACTTTACTTGTAGACATATTGAAATCACCTGATTTACAATTAATGATCTACACTGTAATAACAGACCTATTTGTCTGTCTCGTTTCTAACCAAAGAAATGGAACAGGGAGCTCAGAAACAGACCCATATGTATCTGGACACCTGATTTATGACTAAGAGGGCACTGCTGGGCAGTAGGGAATGGATGGTTATTTTAATAAACAGTACTGCTTCAACTGGATAGCCACAGGAAAGAAATGCATCTTGACTGTATACAAAAATAAATTCCAGAGTGATCGTCAATCTATCTTTATAACTTTGGGGTAGCCATACATATCTTAAAGAAGACACAGAAAGCACTAACTCTAAGGGAAAAGATTGATAAGTTGGATGTCATTTAAATGAGGAACTTCTGATCATCAAATGACATCAATAAAAGAGAGTGAAGGCAAGCAGAGAGGAGAAGATACACTCAGTGCCTACAACTGGCAAGTGGATTCATATCCAGAATATATAAATCACTCTAACAAATCCATCAGAAAAAGTATCCCCTCCCTCAGCTGGACAGAAAAATATTCCATACTTACAATTGTGAATTGTATACAGTTTCCTTCTCCCAGTGCCAGGTTCTAACCAATATGTCCTGGATCATTGGCACAGCCTGGTGGCTGGCCTTGGGAACTGTCTGATCGAGTGGCTCTTGGCATTTTCTTAGTGTGTGGACTGTGGGCTCTTCCTTTCCCATGAGCTTCGTCGCTTGCTATTGATTTGGCCACAAGAGGCTCCTTTCTCATGAATGCCTGAGTCTCTTCCTCTTTTCCTTTGGCTTGCTAACTTTTGATGAGCTATTTCAAGAATATTTCTGGCTTCTTCCCCCCACCCTTCCTTTTTAATTTCCCTTTTTGTATCTTCTTGTTTAGCCTAAAAACTTGTGGTTGTAAAAACTATCCCAAAATGTCTCAAAAGTCTTTGTGGAAGTAGGCTCGTTTTCTGGGGCTCTGGAGGCAGAGTGGAGATCTGAAGGCTAATATTTCCCTGCAGAGAGATTTCATCTCAGTTACATCCACTTGTCTGAGCCCTCCAAAGGTGTGGTGGGAGTTACTGAATCAAGTGGGGGCTAGACGATGACTTGGTCACAGTAGTGTTTGTGGAGGGCCCTGTGCCTTGGATGGGCAGCTGGATTATGATAAGCCTTTCCAATCTTATCACCAAAGCCCTGGATGGACCTTTTGTGGATGTCCAGAGGAGCACTCTCAACTGGGAGACAGAGCTAGTATATCAGCATGACTTCTCTGCCTGGCTGGCAGGTCAGGATGGGGCACACATATTATTAGTACTTCAATGAAATCACATATACTTGGAAGTCATTCCGATACACCTCTCCATCTGCAGCCCTCAGGGTAGAGCTAGTTGACAGCCATTGACCAGAAGGTATAAATTTTCCTCTATGCTTATTATTTTCCTCAAATAGCACATCTGTGAGGTGAAGTTTTCCTTTTTGGTCATGTCCTTAATTTTATTTAATTCCTCACTCTGGCAATGCTTGCTCTTTTTTTTTGTTCAATTGCAAATGTATTGTATCCTGTATACATTACAACCAGGAGAACAAACTGAAAGCTCTGTAGGTATGTTCTGACAGTTAAAATATCTTGATAGTATTAAAAAAAAAATCAGGAATTTAACATAAAGCTAGGTCCACCTTTTCCTGAAAACCTGGATGATCTAGACTCTTTGAGTCTCTGTTCCCAGATGGTCCCCAGCAGGTAGGCCCAGGAGGGCAGCCCATCAGGAGTGGCACGGTCCTTCCACTGGGCACGTCCACTCCACAGCCCACTGCACGCTTTCATTATCTGCCTGGCCTCTGAAGATGGAGTTGATGACTTCCTAGAATGGATAAAATGGGCTTTTGTGAGCTAGCCTGGGAACCAAGCAGTATGCTTGATCTAATTTCATCGCAAACGTGGATCTCAGCTTTTAAAGTAAGCAGATGTTTTAAATATCAGCAATACACATTTGGGAATACTTAGCTTCAGCTAGAATATGTGTGTTCTCCATGATGGCCTGCGTCTCTGCTTTTCCTGTGCTGTATATTGGGTTAGCACTTAGTAGGTACTTATTAATGATGTACCTCAGAGGGTAACCAAGTGCCTGTTGCTCACCAGCTCCCAGGCAGTGAACAGAAATGCCATCTTGCTGTGGATTGGGCCTGTCAGTTCTGTCTGAGACCGGATAGCTGCCAGGTTTATCTAGAACATCCACTCTAGCTCTAGATGACAGAGATTGGAATCTGTCCCCGTCACAGCTCCCGTATCTGAAGAGCGAGGTAAAGACCTAGACCCTGTTGAGTTGGCCCTAAAGAAGAAACAGGACAGGGAGGTCGGCGCAAAGCCTGCTTTCCCGGCTATTGCCTGCCGACCTGGAGTTTGTGGCCGGTACACAGTGCTTGCATTCCACACCCTGAACAAGGGCAGGTCAAAGTTCAGCTCATTCCCTTTAAAGAAAAAAAAAATTCTTTGTCTTTGGCATTTCGAAGTTTTGACCCAAATCAGTCAGAGGTCACAGAACGCTCATGAAGTCTGAAGCGTTTATTTAGTTCCTGAAGCTGGTAGCTGCTGAGAAGCCAAAGAGAGCCAGCGACCTGTTGGGCTTGAGCTGAAGCCCTGTCTTTTCAGGTTTGCGCTGGCCTGGCCTCCCCAGGCCTCTGAGGGTGAGTAGAAGGAGCTAGTACCTTTTCCTCACTCCGAAGTTACCTTTGCTCCTTGAAATCAAACACTGCATGCAGCACCCTGTAAAACTGCTTCCTTGTAGGCTTGAGCGTGCTTGCTAAGTAAACATCCTCCCATGTTTTTGGAACTGAATTCATTTCTGCTTCCTGGTCATCCCATTCGGGTTTTTCTGTTCTCAGCGCCTCGTAGAATCAGGTTCATAGAAGGAAGACCTAGAATTGGACAGAGGCACCTAAAATGACTGTTTTAATCCTGCCTGCTCCAGCCTCCTCATAGAACTGGCTGTTTTCTGCACACTCAAGTTTTCCTCTTTCATCTTAAAGGCCCCTTCCCTCTGTCTCTGTACAGGAAAGGCCTCTTCCTTCTGTCTTGCCTATTAAATTCTCCACTCCTTAAAACGACTCCACATATGTCTGTGCCATTTTATTCAAACCACCGCAAAACCAAAAACCCTAGTGTTCCTCTAGTCATCAAAGCCGTATCAATGGGGTCATGGGAAGGAAAAGATTGAGGGAAAATGAAACAATGCCTTGCTGAACGTAATATTGGCATAGTGCTTTTTGAGTCACAGTTGGTCCTTGCTGCACCCCTGAGATGGGGACTTATCTTGTCGGGACTCAGCTCAATTTTGCTGCGGTCATAGACTATAGTTGGCCTCTCTAAATTCTGTTGCTATGTAGGTTCCTTCTCTGACCCTGCCTGGCGTTCGCTCTGTCTCTCATGACTTATTTGCCTCTTTTCTCACTTCCACCCACCCGTAACATCCCCATCGCCATGGCAGTAAGCAGCCACGTCACTCACCAAGTTCATGGGGTGATGGGCCAGCTCTGTACCAAGTCTACTTCCCTCTAGTTCTCCCTCCTGAAGGAGGAGGCTCCCTGGCAGAGCTCAGAGCCCTTTGTTTATTTGATCCTGGGCTCTTGGATAAATCAGGAATGTCCTGACATGAACTTAGGCATGTTTTTCTTCTATGGAGAAGGAAACTACGGCAGATGAGATTTAAGTAAGCAGAGGACCATTCCGGGGGACTTGCTTTAGTGCCATCAAGGCCACGTTCCTTTGGTCATCAGACACGTAGGTGACTTCTTTATTGGCATGCTCAACCCTGGAGCCCAGAAAGTGTGAATCTGAAGCACTTTCCCCCCTGCTGGGAGCCTGGCACAGATACTCTAGTCTTCCTTTAAAACTGTGTAGTGCCATGCTTGTCTTCCAAGTGGTCCTCCTTTCTGCTGGATGAAACTTTGGCCCAGAGTAGTTGCTTGAAGAAGGCTGCCTAGGAAGCCGATATGGGATTAGGTGGCTGCCTGGCCTCACATTCTCATTCATCTTCCTGGAAGTGCAAGGTTCTTGATGTGATACACTTCATGAGTCACCTGACCCAGGACCTGAATGTATCACTCACTTCTGGTCAAATCTAGGCTCATATGGTACAACTGGTTGTCAGGAACCTTTCTGCATTCTTTTGATGTAGCACTGTGGGAACACGACACTCCCTGGGTCTGTCTGGGTATGTAGGGTCTAGTGGCTTAGCATCTTAGTTGTTCCTGGAAGAATTTTCGGGTCTGTGGGGAGGGGCAGGAAAATGTTGGGAGCTCTTTGCTTGCCGCAGTGGAGACCTGTGAGTATCCAAAAACCTCACTCTAGCTCCAGAGTATTGGTGGGCCGCCCCTCCCTGGAAGTTTCCATGAGTGTCGACATCCATGCATGAACATTGTGGAGGGGTTTGGAGTCGACTGGTGGATGCTTATCTTGCTTGACTGCCCATGCTGGAGAGGAGAACACAGTAATTGGCCACTTCAGGTCCAGGCTTGGCTGTTGTTCTGTTTTGCTGCTTTTCGTGTTGTCAGAAAGATCTTCTTGGGAACAAATGACTCAGCAACCTGAATCTCTGAGACTGTATGGCCTAAGTACCTTTTCAAGAGTAATTGAACGTATCTAACAAGTCCCTAAAATCTTGAGCCCAGGAAGAATGGAGATCCAGATTGGTTTTACTCTAGATTCTTCAGGCTGAAGTTCAATTTGGTTTTTCAAATTCCTGCTCTGATAGAAGGATCTCATTTGTGGGGCAGGCAGGCAAGCAATGTTTTAATTATGCTTTTTGTCCTTAGGAAATTCCAGGGAGAAAAAGGTCCTGGTTTGTGGCCAAAAAAAAAAAAAAAAAAACAGAAGTCAGCTATGGCTGTCATCCTGGACTTGTCTGTGGCACAAAGAGTTAATGAGACAGTGGTCAGGGTGAGGAACAATTTTTTCTCAGGGCTGGAGAAGCCCATATGGCTCAAGAAAAGATGTTGCAACATTTAGTATGGGGCAGCCCTATCTGGGCGCTGGGGGCTGCCACTCAAAGAGTTAAGCTAGTCTTATGCCTGGGAAGCCCTCAGGGAAGGAGTGAGCCTGCAAGGACAGGGACCTCTATGCCCCAGAGCAGTGAGGTGCAGGAGTAGTGGGGTGGGAGGGGGGGAGCTGAAAAGTGTGGCCAAGGAAGCAGAGTGTAGGCCCAACTTTTTTTGCCTTGTTTGACCAGCCTTGGCACTGCCCTCCGACTCTCCAGGGGAAAAGCTGCAGTTCTGCTCTTGCAACACAAGGAGCAGACTGGAGAATTTAGATCTGCGTCACAGAGCTCAGAGAGAGAGAGAGAGAGAGAGAGAGAGAGCAAGCAAGCTCCGTCGATAGGTCTGCTAGCAACAGCCGTGCTGCAGCAGAGAGAGAGAGAGAGAAATCAAGAAACAAGTCATAGCAACACCGGCACCAGGTTCTGCCAGCTCACTTGCTGAGCGTTCAGAGATCTGTCGGGGCCAGAGGCCTCTGGGTAGCCTAGGCTAGGAGATGACACGCAAGGTGGCACGGGCGGTTCCCGCAGGGAGGAGGTGGGGTGGTGGTGGGGGGCAGGGGTGGGAGCAAGAGGTTGCGGGGCAACAGTGGAAGGTTTGACGGGACCAAATTCTGGAACATTCGGGACTGCGGCACCTTACAGCGGGACTGAGATTTGGGTCTGCGCAGGCGGCGATGGGTGGTCCGACGGGCTTCAGGACTTGATGGCGTAACCCCCTTCTTTCCCCACGTATGTATTTGCTGGGATCAGGGACGCTGTCTCTGTGTATGTGGGTGCTCTGTCTTTCTCACCTTCTTTCTCGATTTTTGCTATTTATTTCTCTGAGGGAGGGTTTTTTCCCACTTAATTTCTTTCCCCTAGTGTCAGCTGCTCAAGCATGACTGGGGTAGAGGAGAGAGGAGTGAACCATCCCCTGTTTCCCACCTGACCTCCCAGCCTTTACCCTATTTCCTTCTAGTGGAAAGATAGACTGGTTCTCCAGGTTGTTTGGGTGTCAGCGTCCATCTGTCTGTCCGTGCAGGTCTTACGTGGAAGGTAGGGAGTGAGAAGTGCCCAAAAGACAGAGGGACAGTTTTTTCCCAGGGGTTGCCTTATTGAAAGGTCTGGCCCTGGGAATCTGAGGCTTGTGGGGAGCCGAGTGGCCAGGATAGGGTGTGGGCTGGGAGAAGTGGGGTAAAGCTGGTAGGTTTGTCACTGCGTAGTTGGGAAAAGTGGGGAATGGTGACGCAGTCACTGTTGCATCTGGTTAGGAGCTCTTGGGGGACAGGTAGTGAGGCTCCTGGGGCCTCTGCGGCCAGCTGAGAGGGGTTAAGGATGAGCTGAGAAGGGAAGCTAGCATTTAGAGATTAAATGTCATCCTTTTGGCGTTGGAAAGTTGTTTACCTTGCGCTCTCTGTGTCTCCATGTTGGCTCCCTTCCAGTTCACATGTGATGGCCTTCCCTGTACTGCTGCATCATTAACTAAGTGACTGAGCTGGCCTTCCATTGGCCAGGGGAGGGCTCTCCCTCCAGACACTTCCTCTGATTGGTGGGTGGGCCAATGGCAGGTGAAAAGCTTTTTGTGATTGGCTCAGGGCAGGGTATCAAATCTGAATTTGCATTTCACTTGCTTAAAGGGGAGGGGGGAGAAGCCCAGCAGCTTTCTAAAATCTCTTTAGGGGTGTGCGTAGGCTCCTGTGTCTATGACTGCTTTTGACTGCCCAGTTGAAGCCTCTTCCTATGCCTTTTAAAATTTCATGCACTATAAGGAAGAAGAGCTCAGGGCTCCCAAAACTTTAGAGGGAAGAATGCTAGGGAGATGGGTGTGCAGAGAGGGTTGACCAAATTGGAAGAAAATATTTATCCTGTAGTTTGGTGTTGAAAAAGGAAATTTTCCAATCAGCCACACCTCAGTGTTGCGGCAAAATAATTCTCGGCTCCCCTGGAAACGCATGGGCAAGGTAGGGCAGAGCTGCTGCTGCTGATATTGCCACCACCCTGGGCTTCCTGCTGACTCTGGGCTACTCCCTGGGGACAAGAGATTTGCATTGACGTCCGGGGCTGTCCAGAGGCCCATAGGAGCCAGTTGTGAGCTGAACCCAGTATGGGAAAGATCTACCTTCTGGAAGCTACTACTTGGTGCTTGGAAAGGTGAGGATGGGGGACTGACCCCAGGAAATTGCTTGGAAACTGCGTATTTGGTGGGATTTCCAGAAAAGTCAGTGGGAGATGGGTGGTTTGGATGCCCTGGGTTAGAAAGGTTTGTCAGTCTAGGGAATGAGGAGAGTCAGAGTAAAACTAGGGCAGCAGGCTGTTCGCCTCTGGTTGGGGGAGGGAGGCCTCGAAAAATCAGGGTCCCTGCTCTCTAACCTGTCCTTGTCGCAGGTCTCACGTTTGTGGGGAGGGGGTTTACCAAGTGCTGCGCCATGCGCAGTGGCCCCCACCCATGACTGCGCATCTGGGAACGCAGTGCGCCCTGGGTCTCTGGCCTAGGACAAGCGCCGCCCTTCTTATTACATAACTGAGGGCATGGCACGCGCCTTCTCGGCCCTTCCTTGCAACCCTACCTTCTCACTCCCCATGGCCCACAGAGCTGGGGAGGGTCTGACTGGGGAGCAGTGGAGGACTGCAATCCCTTGGAGGGCTAACTCTTGTCCAGTTAGTGGCAGGAGCTAAGCTTGAGAACAAAAGTGGTTTTCCAGCCCCATCTTTGTGGGCTGCAGAACATGCTCTTCCAAGTACCCCATATACCACCTATGGCCCCTAGGGCCTCTCTGGTGGAGGGGGTGGCACCCTTCTTTCACTCATGTCCCATCTGATTTTTGAGAGGATGTTTCTGAAAAAAATGATGTGATGATTATGTGGGGGCTTGGCTGGGAGGCAGTTTTGACAGTTTACGCCCCTTGTTACTGGCTTCCCCTCCTTTTCCTGAGTGGGTTTATGATCTTTCTGGACCCCTCTGATGAGCTGCCATTTTGGAGCCATTTCTGCTGGTCTCCGACATGGTGGCGTTGGTTTTTCTGTCCTGCTGTGCCAGTTCCGCAGAGTGGGCGGGGGGCGGGGGCTATGACGGAGGAGGGGAAGGGGGGGCAAAAGCACAGCAGAGGCGGGTGCAGTGGTGGCTGCCGCAGTGAAGGTGGCTCCAGGGGCAGAGCCGCCCAGTCCCACTCTTGGACACAGTCCTGGGTGGGGATTCAGGTGGAAGGCGTCTGGATAGGGGCTCACTATCTGGGCCCGGCTTTGCCAGAGTGTGGGTTTCCCACGTCCACATCAGCCTGAGGCTTGGAGTAGTTAGGAAAAGCTGAGTGTCTGGGTGAGAGTGGAGGCAGAGGCTCGGCAGCTCATCTCAGACGTGTCAGACCCGTGGTTTGTGTTCCCCAAATAGGCTCTGTCTCCAGCAGCCTCCCCGTGGGGACAGGGAAGTAAGGTCCATGGCAGCATTGAGAATCTGTTCGGATGGTCCTGCCTGCTTACTGTTTTTCTTCTCTGTTTCTCCTCCATGCCCCCTGCCAGTAGGATGGTTCCAGCTGTAGTCCTCTTGTGAGACTCCCCACTGCCCGTTCCCCCTCTCCAGGCCCTTCTGCGTGCAGCGGCCATCTTGTCTTTCTTGCTCAGAAAGTTAAAATGGTTTCTCATTATTCCCAGACTAGAATTCCTTTCCTTTAGCATGATGTTCAATGCTATCCGTAACTGGCCTTAGCTTCCCTGTAGAGTTTTACCTCTCTCAGTTTCTCTTAGTGGACCACAGGTTCCAACAAAACCAGGCAACTTCCTTTTTCTTGCTTTTCCTGTGTGTTTTCACCAATGATGTTTTCCACACCTCTTCTCCTCTGCACCCACCTGTGGCAGTCTCACTTTCTCCATGGACCCATTCTGATTTCCTTTGCAAGCAGCAGTTCTCATAACCACCCCCGCCCATTCGGCTGAACTTGCACATGGTCTGTCCCTTTTTATGGTACTCTGGTTTTGTTATGATTATTTGTGTGTAAGTCTTATGTCACCTATTAGATTAGGAGCTCTAGGAGGGGGGCTAGAGAAAGGAGAGGGAAAATAAATACCTATTTGGTGCCTTCTGTTTGACAGATCCCATGTTATACACTTTTCCTGCAGTTATTTCATTTATTTCTTTCCATAGCCCTGTGCCGAGCACCCCTGGTCTTCCAACGTCTTTACATTTTTCTTCTCTGAACTCTTGTTTACAAGATGCCTGTTATGAAGTAGATCCCCAAAATTTGTCTATTTAAGGAATTTTCTAAGTTCCTAATGCTCTGTGGCAGTTTGGGTGGTCAATCTTTTGTCCATGGTCTGGGGTCACCTAGCTGCTCCTTGACACTGTCATTAACTTTCTCCTCTTCCTTTGTGGCCAGGTTCACTCAAGATGATTTTTTTTTTTTTTTTTTTTTTTGTAGCTGAAATTGATGGGTTAACTGACTCAGTTATCCTGGTTGCCTTCCTCCTACAAGAACAGGGAGAGGTGGAGTGGGGTATAGCAACTTCAGAGTCAGAATAAGCTCCAGAATTAGCAGGGAGCAGAGACACTGGAGTTGGATAGACCCAGGTTTTCATTGTGATCCTGCCTCTTCTTAGCTGGGCCACTTTAGACAAGTCATATGATTTCTCTAAGTTTTTGTGTCCTCGGTCAGTGAGTTGGAGCCACTACGACTGTTATACAGAAATGCCTAATACATTGGCAGCAAATAGGTTCCCATCCTTGCCTAGTGGTTTATCAGGGACTTCAAAAGGGAGTGTAGAGGGGGCTAGAGAAGAAATGGGGTAGACGGGAGCTCCTGTGCCCTAAGTGGTGTCACAGCAAGGGCAGGGAGGAGGTAACTTAGGCATTATGCACCTCAACCCTGCAAGGCGGTGCTGTCTCCCACCTGGCGTAAATACCCCTTTACTTCTGCATCAGGAACATGCTGTGGGCACAGAGTTGTGGGGGTTGGTGACGGCAGAGGGAGGGTCAGTGAGCCTTCCTGGGGGTCTTCTCGTGGCAGGTTAGTTTCCTTTCTTTCCAAATCTCAGCAGTGGCTGCCTGCTTCCTGATGCTGCTGAGTCCCGTGGGAGGGGAGTTGGGCACCCTGAAGCCCCTTGTCACTAATTCGGGGGCCGCGGAGCAGAGAGTGACGACAGCCAGTGAGTCGTCAGTCGACGGCAATGGGGACCCTGGTGACGGCTGCTTTGTTGTTTTTTTCCTCTTTGGAAGATGACTCAGTGTATCAGGAGCCGGGAGATGGAGCTCTCAGCAGAGTGGCCAGGATGTTCTGTCAACATGAAAGCTGCAAAAACAGCTTGGGGCTCTGAGCTGATCCTTAGCCTGGGGTCATTTTCAGGGAGGACTGGACAGCGAAGGCGCCCGCTGCCCAGGCATCAAGATGGGGGCGACACCAGGTAACTCGGCAGGGCTCTGTGAACTCTTGCATTTAGAGTCTGAAAAGAAAATAACAGCTGTGTGTGTTGTTAGATGAGTTTGGCAAAAAGGGTCATTTTTTGAGTTCTTCCCCTTAGTCCCAGAAGACAGACGTCTCCCAAAGAAAGCTCTTTGGGATTTCTCACTGTGGTTGTTTGTGACAGTCTCGGTGGTCACTGCCTTGAAGGAAGGGCGATTCGCCTCTTAGGGTGGGGGCGGGCCAGAACGACCTCAGTCAACGCGGGCGCGCCTGGACCCCGGGAGAAGTGGCCGTGGTGGGGCTGTGGCGTCTTCAGTGTCCTCTGCCGCGCGGCGCTTCAAGATGGCGGAACCGCATCACCTTCAGTGCGCTAAAGGCTGGCTCTTGGACAGCCTGCGTCAGTCTCCCCTTTCCTTATTGACCCAAATCAGAGCTTCTCTTCTCCCCTTCATCTTACTCATTGTCCTCTTAGGTGAAACAGTGGGCCCTGAGTACTTGACCCTTTTAATTTTGTTTGCGTCATCATGGCGGCTGCGGGTTCTAGGCTTTTCTCGATTCCGCAGCCTTGCGCTATAGGCGCGTGATCCCCCCGCCCTGCCCGGCCCCGCCCTGCCCCGCCCTTTTGCGACCGAGAAAGAAGATGCACCTCCACCGCCGAGGAATCCCGGCCAAACCATCCTCGCCTTTCTTTCCTCTAACTCCTCAGCCAGAGTGTGGGGCAGAGGGGCAAGCAATCGCGTATAAGGATGAGGGACAACCTGGCCGAAGCCCCCTCCCTCCTTTCGCCGGGTACTATTTTTCAGTCTCATGCTTTCCCGCTGATGATGCTAGCAGTGACATTTGTCACTGAGCACCTCCTCTTCCCTCCAAGGACCTCCCAGGGTGACTCATTTGGGATCTCTGGTAGGAGTGGCTCCTGGGCCTTGGGAGCCAGAGCAGGACAGGGAGATGTGACCAGGTCACGTGAGAGAGTTTAAGCAGGACAGGGGATGGGAGCCAGCCGTCCCCACCCAGAGCACAAAGGCAGACACTGCCCCTTCGTGTCATGTTTTGCATCCGAGTAGAGAGCAGCTTGACCTAAAAAGGTTGTATGTATTTAGACATTGGAACCTTTTGTGTCTCTTTTTTTTTTTTTTTTGTCTGAAGCTGTGTATGTGATAAGAGCCTGGATTTTGGGCTTCAGGCAGCTCTGTGGTCTGTCAGGTTCGTTTTATGAAAGAGGTGGTAGACAGGCCCTCCTTCATCAGACCCTGTACCCATTATTACTGTCCTTTCTCCAGGACATAGGACCCATGTCATTTTGCCCAACATTGTCTTGTTTCTGTCATTGGGTGGGGGACAACACCTGAGGGTCATCATCCCACAGCCACATACTAACCCTAGATGGGACCCTGGTTGGGATCCGCTCAATTCATTGCTTAGTTGGCTTTGTGAGCTGAGCCCACCTATCTTCCTTTCTCTCTTCTTCCTCACAGAGGACTCAAGAGAATGCAGCTTGCTTTGTGAGTGGGTGACAACCCCTTGGCGATTCAGGCTCAGCTGAGGATGGTGCCAGTGTGCCGGAGACAGCCGTCATACTGCCGGATAGAGTAGCTTACTTGCATGTATTTGGAACAAAAAAAGGAGATGCCTGGCAGCCCCACACGCTGCAGTAAGTATCCGTCTGCATTCTTTTACATTCCTTTATTTCTTCGAACATCAGAAATGGATAGATGTTTATTGAGCCCAGCCACCTGCTATGCCTTCTTCAGTCTTCTCCCACACACCCCGCCCTTAGTCCTCCAGAAGAGAGGACTAGATTGATATTCTCATGCTACTGGATAGCTGCAGAGAGGCTAGAATTTGCTGTTCAGCCCCCACACATCCCCCTCACATTTAGGAGAAGTTGATTTTCCCTAAAACGGAGCCAACAGCCTGTGTCCCTCAGTAAGGAGTGTTAATGGGCTGCCTGGAAGGACCCTGCGTGCCCTCACAGCCCCTGGCCGGGAAGTGAGGCTTCCCATTGGCTGGCAGTGGGAGGATGGTCCTTGCCAGCACCTAGCATGGTTCTCTGCCAAGTTCTAGCTCCACATCTCCAGGCTGGTAGGAACCTAGACTATATATAGCATTGTGCTAAGCAATTCTTATCAGACGTGTCTGCCCTCCCCTGTGGGAGTGGAGCAATTCTATCAGAGAACCAGAACCTAGAGAGCGTGAGCCATCTCCAAGGGCCTTTTAATCTGGGAAGGGGTTTTTGTGTGCCCACGCGCGTGTGTGTGTATGTGTGTCTGTCTGGTTCAGGGCTGCTTACTTTCCTCCTGTATTTCAGATGCTGATAGATTGAAAGGTCATGCTAGATGAGGGTGTTGATGTGGGATGAGGTGTAGGAGGGGCTGATAGCTCTCCAGTTGATACTGAGCTTGGAGAGAGAGAAGCTAGGGGCATGTGATGTAGCTGAAGGTACAGTTGTGGCCTGCGTCAAAGACCAGCCTCTGCTTTCTCTTCCTGCTTTCCTGTTTGCCATGCTTTACCCAAGGATGTCTTTTGACCTCTCTTTTCCTTCTTTCAGACCTCTTGCATTCTCTGCCTTCCTCCACCACTTCCTCCTCCCTTTGATTTTCTTTAGGATATATGAGGGCAAACTCAGTGATTGGCATCCTGGATCTGTGTCTACTCTCCATCCTTACCCCTGTTTTGGGTTTCTGGAGATCTAGCTGCAGTTGGGCAGAGAGGGCTCAGCTGTCCTCGGAGGGAGTTTTGGTGGTGGGTGAGCATGTTGGGCTGGCTGGTTCAGGGCAAGATGGGTTGGCTATTCCCTTTTCCTCTCATAGGTGCTGTTGAGCCACCAATTTTTGTGGTTTTGTGACCACAAGTGCGCTGAGTGATGTGACATGACCCCAGTATTGTCAGTGAATCATCACCAAGTTGCTTATTGGAAACCAGATGCAGCAAGCAAATAGGATTTAACCACTCCACTACCTGCCTCCCAGGTAAGTCCAGCATGAGCTGCTCCCTCTAGCCTTCCCTCAGTCTCATTCCTTCCCATGAACATCATTTTTCTTATTCCGCGGGGGAACCTTAGACATCTCCATTCAGAATCTCCCAAACAATTGTTCTCTTTTTTGTATTCTCCTCCTTCTGGCTTTTCTGTGAATGGGGTTAGTAATGAGCACAGGACTGGGGGCAGGATGGGCAGCTGAAGTCGTTGGGCTGTGCGGATGTGTGGGAGATGGCTGGTAGCATTGCTAGGTGTGGCAGTTGGCAGAGCATTTGGGCCTCCCACAGTAAGTGAATAGCAACTCTCCTTAGCTGCAGCATCCAGCAGGAGGTTCTGGATTTAACCCCTCGGTAATCCTGGGAGCCTTCTTGGGGCCTGGGGATTCTCTTCCCTATGTAGTCTCAGTGGATGGCCTGTCTCACTCCAGATACATTTTGCCTTGATCAGGCTTAGTCTAGGTTGGTGGTCTGGAGTTTGAACTGGGCTGAGCAGTGAGCTTTAGGACTCTTTCCCTACTTCGGGGGTTTCTTTCAATGAGCCACTTTCTGCCTCTAGGACTTCATTACCTTTGCCTTAAAAAACAAAATCCCTAGTCCAGTAAGCCATTGCAAAGCATCTCTAGACAGTTGACAAATGCTTTTTGTCTGCCTCACTTGTTGCCGGTCACAATAATAGCAATGGTGATTAAAAACAAAAAATGATGAGGGCCTGCAGAATGGGGGAGGTCAGTTGCATCATGATAGGATTCACAAAGCAGACTCCTGGTGCCTGCCCATCACCAGGAAGTCTCTCTCCTATTGAGTAGATGACTACAGCATTCTTGGCCAGTAGAGCCAGCTAGAACTAGCCAACAGCAGATTGGTCTGGGCTCTAAAGAGAAAAGGAATGATGTTGGGTAATTTTTGGAGGCACCTATGGGATCCTACCTCTGGCCACACAGCGGTCACGTCACTCTGCTCATATGTCACAGTGGGGATGGGGATTCCTCTTCCCCATGCTGCTCCCATCGCTATCTAGAAAAGACTGGCCAATTCTGCTTCCTGTTATTTTCATCTTCTTCTCTGTCCATTTGAGATGAGTCTCTAGGTTGGCTATGAGCAGCCTGAGGGATCCAGGGCTATTTGGAAGAGTCTGGTGTCTCTTCCTTTAAGGACTCTGACAGGTCTCAGCCCTCTAGCTGTACTGCAGTGAGGGATGGCAGGGGGTGTTGGAATGGAGAGATATCGATTTGGGTGCAGCTGGGGAGACTAACCAGAGTGAGCCAAGGCCCTCAAGAAGTATTGGATAGAGTCTGGCCAGTGCTGGCTCTAGGGCCAAAGCCAGACGTAGCTGCTGGCTGTGCTTGGGAGTCTCAGCCTTCACATGTGAGGTGCATCTCTGGGCATAGCTCTTGATGACCCCCACTCCCACGAATAGCCCTGTCCTTGGTTAGATTGGGAAAACCAGGGTGGGAAGTAAAGGGAAGGTTGGTTTTTCTCCTGGTCATGCAGTAGTCTCTGTGGCCTCTGATGTTGCCAGAATTGGGATTGGTGTTTCCCTGCTGATTTTCCTATTTTTGCCTCTCATCTGGTTCTGTTCCTCTTTGCTCACCAGCCTGGGTTCTATAGACATGACGTGGGGTATTGTGTGTTGCCAATGAGGCTAGCAGAACAGTTGGTATCACCTGAGAGAGGGGCCAACATATCTGGCACTTTTTTCCTTACCTTCGAATTTCTGAGGTCTGGGAGCCAGGAGGCAGCGTGCGGCCTCTCCATCCCAGATCCAGCAGAGGTTAACAGAAGCTAGTGGCTCTGGAGCCGAGGTGGTGTAGCTTGGCTGGGAGTTGTAGGGGAGAGGCCCTGCCAGGGGCCCTGATTGGTCAGCACCTTCTCTATTCCATTGAATCCTGGTCTGATCAGTGCTGTGAATTGTTTAATGCATATCTTGGCACTGTCCCCTGGCTTGAGTGTCCTGAGGTTGCAGCCACAGCTTGAGAGAGGATCTGTACCTTGTTCTGGTCACTTTTTTGGGCATGTTGCCTCCCTCTGAGATATATGTAAGAGATACCACCCTTTCCCACCAGCCGGCTGTCTGTGGGAGGCCCTCATTTTGCTTTGCTTTTCTGAGACTTGGAGTGACTGTGAGGGAAGCATAGACTGAGTTTGCTTTCTTACTGGCTCCTTCTACAAGAGCTTCTCATGGGCTGATAAAGCCAGAGAACAGCTCCAGGGCCCCATGGCCTATGCAGAGCCCAGTGTCAAGCCTGTGGGGGTGGAGTGGGGACATGGGGGCAGATAGAGCCACATGGGGAGGGGATATATGTGGTTAGCTCACAGGAGCAAGCCCAAGAGGGTGTGGGAGGACAAGTCCAGTGCTCAGCCAGGACTGCCTGTTGTGGCCCAGGATGGATGTGTGCATCTCCCGTGAAGGATTTGCATCTGAGTGCCTGGTGCTGAAGGCAGGATGGTGCCCCAGTCAGGGTCTGTAATGAGGCCTGAAGGTATGAGATGGGCATCAGAGTTGTTGGTCCCTAAAGGGAAACTAACCTTTTTTAAGGGCTCTCTTCTCCTTATCTGATTTCATCCTCAGAACAACCATATGTTGTAGGAGTCACTTCCCTTTTATGGTTAAAGAAACTGATTATTAAGTGACTTAACCCAAGGTTATGCATTTGGTAAGTGAGGTTGTTGAGATTTAAATCCATGTACTTCTTATTCCAAAGCCTCTACTTTCTCTTTACTCTTTTGGGCTGAAGTCAGACATTTTTTGTGAACTAAAATCCTCAAAGGATTGATGTGAACCAGAGTGAAAGGCAGACACCCAGAGGGACGTGCCAGTCACTGGGGATGGTTGTGCCGCATTTCTTTTGGGGTAGGGAGGGCAGATGCAAATGTCCTTTGGTAGCCATGGACAGGCAGAGCTGAGCAAGGCCAGTACATGGCATCTGCTGTTGTGTACGGAGCCTCTGCTATATGCCAGGGACTGTGCTAGGTGCTGGAGATGCAGAACTCGACAAAGCCAAGTTTCCACTGTTGTGGGGCATACATTCTAGTGTGAGGAGACACTATTAATAGTGATTTTAAAAAAGAATTCAGAAATGTACAGGATAGATATATATGGAGATTGGAGACGAAAAGGGGGACTCCCCACACACACATAAGGAGGAGGGTCCAGATGATGGTCAGAGGGATCTAGAGACTCAGGACTTCAGCCACCTGAAGCCACATCAGTTGTGCTTTCCTCCAGAGAGTTAGGACTAACACAGACTTAACCCCCTCTTTTTTCCTAATAACTAGGGAAATCCATCCAGGGTCCCCATAATAGCTTACAGGAGCTTGTCGTGAGTCAGGGATCAAGGTGGAGTAGATGTCAAGCCTTTGGTCTCCAGCAGTCTGGATTTCTCCCGTCTGCCACGGTTGCCCTTGGCTTTCTGCCTCACACCTTCCCAGGCACCAGCTGACTTCTTTCCTCAGCCTGGTCACTGTGCCCCATTCTTGTCCATGCAGCACAGGGAAATGTGCAGGTTAGGTCTTTGCCAAACCACTGGTCAAACGTTCCTGCAGGAGGCTACTTTCTGAGCTCAGCCTGTCCTGCCAGAATGAGCCATTCCCAGAGCTAATGATCATGCGATAGCGAAGGGATGGGCAGCAGGCAGAGAAGTGGCCTGTGCCAGATGCTTGGTTGAGCTCTGTGTCTTGAGAGGTGGAGGCAGGTTGGTGGTGCTGGGGACAGGGCAGGCATGTGTCATGTGTTCAGCGCATGGGCTGCAGGGCTCGGGACTTGTTTACTTGGTGGAAGAGGCGGTGGCCCCGTGGAGTCAGGCCATGTGATTCTTCGCTCCTTGGCTGATTATGGACAACTGACCCACCGGGACTGCACACACTGCCATCTGCTGCCAGGGGTCTGAAGTTGCACAGGAATGAGATAGTATGGTTAGGGGTGCTCAGGGAGGAGGAGGGTCAGGAAAGTGGGGTTTATGTTGCTCCTTGTTGAGGAGTCAGTAGACCTCGATTCTTGTCCTAGCTCACTTTCCTTCTTTGAGCTCCAGTTTCATTTATCTATGAAATGAGGCGATGGAACCAGAATCTCTTTGGGGGTTCCAGCTGTATCCTGGGGCCTCCCTGAGTGTTCATGGAAATGTTTCTTAGCCAGCAACTGAGGATGAGGAAAACTAGGCCCAAGTTTCCACAAGAGAAGGTGAGGGATCTTGATGACTTATCTCAGAGCAGCTGAAGAGGCACCATGGGAATTAGTGTGGGTAGGTGGGTAGAAGGAGGTAGTTTTTGAAGAATCTCCCAGAAATGGAAGCAGAGAGCTGGAGGTTTCTTGAAGGTGTTGATGAAGATCCACCAGGTGGCAAGGGACATGGCTTCGGGCTTTCCCTGGGAGGCTTGTTGGAGATGGCGCATGTGGGAGCTGCTGGAGCCTCTTGCTGTCCTGCAGGGGGCTAACCCGAGAGATCCTGCTCTAGAACAGAAGCTCCGTCCTGTCTGGCTCTAACCCTGGAGAGAGAATGCAGCTGTGCACACTGAGGAAGGGCATCTGTTACAGGGTCTGTGCCCCTTGCTGTCAGGAAGTTTTCCTTTATATTTAGCCTTTTCTTTTGACATGTTTTTTGAGGCCCTTGACTAAAATATTAAATTTTAAAAATGACAATGACAAAAAAAAAGAAAAAAACCCAAAAATATCTGAGTCACTGGTTCCATTTTGGCTTTTTAGTCTTGAATCACTCTTAAAAAGATAGCAAAATAAAACACATGTGGGAAAGCCCAAGGTCCCAGGTCCAGCCAGACTGGGGCTAGGAGTGGCTGGGACTCTGGCCTTGCTTCCCTGCGGCAGTGTTAGTTCCAGACGTCCACCACTGCTCCAAGGCTGTGTGGGTAGGAGCCCCTGGGGCTGAGGGGGCACATTGTGCAATCTGCTAAGCAGAATATAGAGTTTTAAAATAGCTACATTTCTCCAAGACACTATCTGCCTGCCACTTTGTGGGATGTTTACCTGGGATTAATAATAGCTGAGTGCCACCCCACTGCCAGTATGGAATAGCAAACAGCCATCTGGGCTGGGACTCAGGCAGGAGAGGAATGGAGTCATAACCATCATATCAGCTCAGATAGTTCTTTTCACACTTGCTGGCTCAGTTGGTCCTCACACAACCCTGGGAGGATAGGTGGTCTTATCCTTGTCGTTGGTGAAACTGAGCCAGAGAATCAGTTCTGTCAAGATCTAACTGCTTGCAGCTGTTTCTCGTGGATCTCCCACCCAGGTCTTCTGACTTCAGCTGTCATTTCCCTGGATTCTGATTAGTGGAGCAGGGGTAGGAGAAGGGGAATGGAGTCTTCAGCAGTTTCCTTAATTTCTGAAGGCCTTAGAGGGCCTTTCTGTATGTTGAAAAGGAAACGAAATATCAGCATGTCCAGGTCCTCCAACTCTTCAATTCTTTAGACTTTCTGGAGCTCTTGTGAGAACTGGCTTGCACTTCTTGGCTGGGAAGCCAGCCACTCACCATGTATTCTTGGAGAGGTTTCCTGCATTTGGAAGCTTCTGGAATATGTGATGCATCAAACCACTGTGACATATCTGTACGGCACCTCACACCTGTGCACACAGGCATGCTTCTGCTGAGTCCAGCTCACTTAGAGATGAGGCCCAGTGTGGGGTCTTTGAGATTTTTCCAACACTTTGTAAGGGATGCCCTGAGCCTTGCCCAGCATGCATGTTGTGTGTATGCTACCTGTTTGTTGACTAATGTACAGTACCTGCTGGAAGCCTTGGCTAATGTACAATGTAAAGTAAGGGACTAGAAACAATGGCTTCAGCTCTGAGTGTCTGCCTTATGATTGGCTTGAAAAAGTATGGATTACCCACGGAGAGAAAGGTGGGTAAGCCCTACTGACTCATGGGTGTCAGTTTTCCTTAAAGGCAGAGCATAACTCCCACTCTTTATAAGGGCTGCTGAGGCAGAGTACTAGACAGCTTGGTCAGTTAGCCCCCTGAGTGACCTTTATTTGAATAGACCCAGAACTTGTATGAAGGTGGAAATAATGGTTTATCTTTATTTACAGCTAATTTAGCCACGATGCTTTAGGCTTTTTGGCGGGGGTATTCCTTTAGGATGATTGAGGCTGGACAAGGGCAGTGTGTGTATGTGTGCCTGAATGTCTGTCCTTTTGTATTTCTTGAATGCATCCTTGGTTCATATAGAAGTGATGGGGAATCCACAGCAGAATTGTTTTAGTGAGTGAAGGCTTCTGTAGCTTCATGTGTGAAGATTTGTCATGTTGGACCCAGTTCATTCTGTTCACCTGAAGGATGGAAAAGAGAATGGGCGGAACTTACAGCAAGGAGGTGATTTGAGCTGGACTTCTAGAAGAACTGTGCATCACCTCTGCTGAGGGTTCCTGAGGAAACATGAAGCCTCTTTATTTGAGGTAGGAGACTGGGTGTGCTCCACAGGATCCTCCCAGTCCTGAATCTGTGGCACTTCGAGATGGTCCCTGGATCAGCATGAGGTGTGGGTGCCAGGATCTAGAGCAGGCATCTCTCTCCATTTTTGCCTTCTGCTTTCAATGCAAGCCCAAGCTGGGTGGAATTGAGGAGATGCATGGGCACGGTGCACCAATATGGGCATTGAACCTGGAACTTTGACCTCATTTCCCTTCGCAGAGAGAATTTCTGGCACTGATCTTAAAGGAACTGGTATTATTTGCATATAAAAGAAGAGAAAGGCACATTGTCCCTCATCTTTTCCAGCAAAGAGCCCTGAGCTGCTCTAATCCTATGGTAGAGAGGGAGGAGGGCCGTGTAGAGGACACAAGGCCAGACATGGTTTGCCGGGAAGAAGGTAGGAGGTGCGAGAGGAACATCTCAGGGCAGGCCATCAACTCTGGGAGCCACAGGCATTGCCTGCTATACTAAACGCACAGGGATGTGTTCAAATGGGCTACTACTTAGAGGTAATCCAGAGTCTAAAATAAATTAGTTAATGGCTAAATGAGCGTTGTATTAAATATGGAAAATCATATATTCTTTTGTGTCACCACCTACAGATTTAGCATCAAAAGGCCTGACAGGCTGAGGACAGTGAAATGCGTCCTGTCCATAAGATGATGCTTATTTATTGTGACTTCTTTCTCTTTTTGTTTCTATTTCCCACTCTGTCTTATTGCTTAGGCCTACGTCAATATTTATGCAGTTGTGTTGTTATTTCCTTGGGGTACCATTCTTCCAGTGTCATTGGCATCAATGAATGTGTGACTTTGATTTCAAGTGTAAACAAACCACTGGCTCACGCAGGGATGAGCCATCTCTGAGACAAGGGCCCCGGCAGCTGCCTGCAGACGCCCTTCCCCCATAGACCTGGACTGTTTTTCAGCCAGATGCCTGAGATGAGAGTCAAGAGTGTCCTTGCAGGGACCTGCTCAACCCCACATCATGTGTCCTGCTGGGAGGGGTGGTACTCACACATGCATCTTCCAACCTTATTCGCTGGTACTGCTTTTCAGCTTGACCCAAGGAGTGGTGTTGGAAGTGTGAGACTGTTCGTCCCCTGCTAGGTAAGAAGGGTGCCAGAGAGGAGAGGTGCTGACAGAGAAGAAGGGAACACAGGCTTCTGCCCGCTAGCCTGTCTCCAAGACAGGTTAACTTTGTGTTAAGAAGCAAACTCATTTAATCTTTTGGCCCTAATAGAAGTTATTTGTATTTTCTCTCCTTCTCTCTTTTCCCTCCTCTCTCTCACTCCCTCTCCCTCAACTCCCCAGCCTCCAAAGAATTTAATCTGCTGGACAACAAACAATACTGTTATAAAACTTTGAAAACAAGAGGGCGCGGCCTCCCTGACAAGGAGAAGGGCATGCCGGGTAATGGCCCGAGGGAGCGTGCCAGGCCTGAGATGGAGCCGGGCGAGAGCCCAGTTGGCTGGGTACCTGGGTGCCTGCCCCTGCATAGCCCACTAGCTGCGCCATCCCCAGGCCAGAGGGGAAGGAACTAAAACAAAAGCGAGGGCAGAGAAGAGCTTGAAAGGGGAAGTTGTACGTGTGTTCCCCTCTCTGTGATCTGATGGGAATGCAGTAGACTGTGAAACTTCCTCCTCCACCTCTTCTCCCTCACCCCTCCCACCCCCCCACCCTCCTTCCTCCTCTCTCCTCCTTCCTCCCTCCTTTGTCCTCCCTCCTCCTCCTCCCTTGTCTTGCTACTCACTGTTCTTTAACCCATCAGACAGAGGTCCTGATAGCAGAATGAGGCTGGAATGGCACTGGAGGTGCAGCCACCAGCTGGGCCAATCAAAGTGGAAGGAGAGAAAGTGGGCTCACAGTTGGCTTTGGACTCGGACCAACCCTCTGTCTGGCCCAGCCTCCCCTCTTCTGTTAGGGAACTGGAACCACGTCACATCACAGGGTGTGCCCGGTCCATGTATGCCCAGGTATTGGGGAGAACTGCCACTTGGAGGTTAGTTCAGGAAGCACCCTGGGCTTCCTGGTGCCCACCTTGGACTGTGCTCTGGGGAGGGTGTTTGACATGTTGAAATGCTCTCTTCTTTAAGATGCTGTGCTGTCCCTCCAGGGAGGGGCAGAGGCTTGCTGCAGAGGCTGGGGCATGCCTCTGGAAGAGTTCTTGGGAACAGGAGCATGCTTCTCCCAGCGAAAGCAGGCATGCCATCTTGTGAGTGTGGTGCCTGGTAGGCTACTGCATCTGTTAGTTACTTCTCTGTAGCTGAAGGAGGAGGTCATCCAGCTCTGCCTGGGGGAAGTGGGGAAGCTGGGCTTTGGGCGTCTCACCATAGTTTCAGTTTCACCTGAAACTATGCACTTTTTAGTCCATTTCCACTGAGTCAAGCAGATGATTTAGGAATGACCAGGGAGCAGTGTTGGTGGTTTGCCTTTGGATCTGCATCGGTTTGGACCCATGAACTGCATGGTGGGCATTGTTTGTGTAATAGACCATTGGCATAATTTTTCCTCTTGCAGAAAGCACTAGCTTCCTTGAAAGCAGTTCAGCCATGCCCATCTTCCTCCGCCAGAGCTAAGCCCTTCTACTGGGGGAACGTGGAGACACCCGGGCTCCAGTCTTCATTCCATTCCTTTTCCTTCCCTTTGCCCTCCACTATCTCCTCCTGTCCCCCCAGCTCATCCCAGGGGCAGGGTAGCCTTGGTGCATCCTTCCATCCATCCAGCAGTTCTGACCCAGGACCCCTGTGCTGGCACTGAGGCTGGGTTTTTTGTCGGTAGTGTTAAGGGAGGGATAGAAAACTGAACTTTTAGGAGTGTGGCTGCCTAGGAACCTAGATTTCCATACCTCTGACCCAGGGGAAGCCAGAAGAACTGTTGCTGGGTCCACGTAGGCTTAGAAGCCTGTTACTTATTGCCTTGTTACCTGAGTAGCAATTTGAGGGGCACTCTGGGTTTGGAGAATGTGATTCCAACACTGGGACTCAGGGCCTGGGAAATGAAGTGGTCCCTGAGTTCTGAGTCCTCCTTTGAAGGCCAACCTGCCAGGAAGGAAGAGCCCGATGGAGGTTTCTGGAGACTTTGGGCCAGCCAGTAACTCCATGCTCCCTCCCCTCCACCCTTGGCCCCTCATGCATATATCCTTCCTTTTATCACCCTTCCCTCTGATGCATTAACCACAGCCACCATCCTGATAGCTAAAGACACAATGTCCAGGCTGCTGCCTAGAATGACAGGAAGCTGGGCTGGACTTTCAGTTTATACATGCAGTGGCCTGGGACTGTCTTGAGGGCAAGACATTCTCCTTTTTCAAAAGAGCCTTCCCCAGGCCCCTTTCTCACCAAGATAAGCTTTTCCTCACTGCCAGGATCCCTGAAATCAGCATTCCCAGAGGGAAGAAGATGGCCATCTGGGCTTGGCTTCCGGCTCCCCCCATCTGGCTGGAACACACATCAGTCACGTAAGTTGCTGTGACTCAGCACCCAGCGCTGCCTTGGCAGAACCTCCCCACATTCTGGATTTGCACACACTGTGGTAGCGCAGCACAAGCCAGCAGGGTTAGGCATCTGGGGGCCAGGGTCTGTCTGTTCAGTGGCTTTGCTTACAGATTTCATAAACAAGGATTCCCACACCTTCCCATTTTCCTCTCATGTTATTTTTTAGGTACCATGCTATGCTTTAAAGACAAAAATCATCATTTATAGAATGAAGTAGAAGCTATCTTTGCAATCTCCAAACTGTTTTAACCAAAGCTGTAGATTACATTTAACCCTTTGATGTGTTTGACCTGCACTAGTTTTTGTTTTTGTTTTGAGACGGGTTTTACTCCCAGGCTGGAGTGCAGTGGCATGGTATCAGCCAACCTCTGCTTCCCGGGCTCAAGCAATTCACATACCTCAACCTCCTGAGTAGCTGGGACTACAGGTGCGTGACACCATGCCTGCTAGGGTTATTTTAATGTATCTGATTTTACATGCATTTACACAAAATATGGCCTCTCTGGGACACTGTATTTCTGCTTCATGCTGTTGCTGCTTTTCTGTCTCAGGTTTCCTGCCCGAGCCCTCTGAGTATTTGACCAAGCTGTGAGCAGTCTACTTCAGCCTCCTCTCCTTACACATGAAGACACTGAGGCCCATTCAGGGCAAGTGGCAGGTCCCTGTTCTCAGAATTAGGGCCGAGCAGGTATTAAAACTCTGTGTTCGTATTCACTGTGTGCCCAGGGAGATGAAAATGCCCTGGTGTGAGAGGAAGCCTCCAGGGAGAATATGGGCACAGAAATGGACCAGGATGGAGTATAGCTCCCACACCTTTTCCCTGAATGGCAGCACTCACAAGACTGACATGCCCACCCCTCTAGGTGGGTGGTTTTTCTCCCCAGGCAGCCCTGCCAACCCTTTCACTTGTGGCCAGTTTGTTTAGAGTCCTTAGGCTGAGGCAGAGAAAACCCATCACCCTCCTTGGATGGCAGACCTCTCAGCAGGCTGGGGTTTTCAGGCTGCCTTCTTACAGGTCTAGGTGGCCTTCTGGCATGGTGCCAGGGAGAGCAAGCCTCGTCCAGCCCTTATCAAACTAACTGGCTGCTTCCTAGTAGGGAACAGCCACCAGCTTGTTTCAGAGAAGAATCATTGCTCAGCTGACTCTCAGAGGAGAAAACTGGTTCTGTTGGGAAGGCTTAGACCTTCATCCAGTGGAATGGGAAAGGCAAAGGATTTCAGTACTAACATGACTTTTTCTCCACTTCTTTTAGAGTGTTTAAAGTCATGCATTGTTAATGGCTTCTCATCTCTTCTTCCAGAGAGTTGAGTTAAATTTTAGAATCCGGGAGTGAGGACCCAGACTCTGGCTTCTGTTAGCTCCCTCAGTGGCAGTGGCCCCCTGATATGTGCAGCCCCTTTGCTTGACTCCAGATGGTCCCGTACGGGTTGCAGGAGAGATATTAAGTAATCATACTGACGACCAAGTGAGATAAGTGGCTTCAAGAACTTGAGGCTGGTGAGGACGACTTAATCTTCTAGCAAGCTGGGCTAGACTTGGGGAAGCTTTCCTGAGCTGAGGGGAGGTTGACTGGGGTTCCCTGGAGTGGCGGTGGGTAGGGGCGGGGCCGAGGGGTGTTAGCTATGGGAGGGTGAGAAGGAGTATTCCAGAAGAGTTAACAGCTTAAGCAGGACCTCTGGATTGTGGAAGGTGGTTTCTGCATCACCACGGGACACCTGTGTGAGGGCTCATAGGGAGGGGTTCGCGGATGCTGGCAACTAGAAGCTGATAAGGAAAAGTGTGGCCAAAATGAAAAGCAGAAAAGAGAATCTCATCAAATCCCCTCATTTTATGGGATTTGGACTCCTAGTAATAACTGTCCTTAAACACTCACCCTGATCTTACAGCCCTCGCTGTTTCCTGGTTAACAGGGCCCAGGTGTTGGCTACAGGTGTCATCACTGAGAGCCCTTGTGTGCAGATCTGCCCCCAGCTCTGCCACCTGTAACTGAGGCTGGCCAGTCCCGCGGTGGGCCGCAGAGCCTAGCACTGGTGTCAGAGTCGTTCGTTGCAGGTTCATCTTCAGCGTCTTTCTCACGCCACAGCCATGTTGGAGAAAAACGGCAGAGGCGCTAGAGGAGGACAAAGCAAGCCGCCCCCGACCACCTGGCCTTCACAGAACCCAGATCACGCTCCTCTCTCTGCCCAAGTATAACACGTTGTGTAGTCAGTATGATCCCCCTTCAGTGCAGAAGTATTGCCTAGGAATTCCCTGCCCCACCCACCCTGTTTTGTTCTTAATGAAGTTCAAGAACAAAATGAGATGATAATCAAGTTATGGAGCAGGCTGCAGTGGGTACAGGGGCGGGAACACAGTCTTTGGAGTTAGATCTGAGATCTGCATTTATTGGTTGTGTGACTGTAGACAAGTTACTTAGCCTCATTAAGGATGAGTTTCTTCTGCAAAAATTGGAATAATTCCTGCTCCATACGACTGCTGTGAGAATGAAATGCCACAACTTTTGATGTTCAAATTCTATTTTTTACTTCTCCTTCTAATGACACATACTGTAATTGCCAGGAACCATAAAAATTATAAGCCTGTATCTAGAGGCCTGAAGAATTGGTAGGGAACCTAAAAGATACAGTTTCTGTTTTGTCTCTTTTCTCTTGGTTATGGTAGCAGAGGAAATGCACATATTTTCTTAGCTTCAAACAACCAAAAAAGTTGATGCAGTAAGGAGATGGGAAATCTAATTTGGAATACTGTGTGCAAATCTTATTTTCAAGCAGATTTTGAAAATAAAACTCAATTCTTATGTTAGAGGATTATCTCCTTGATACAATTATAGGGTACCCGTTTTTTAAGTCACATCAGAGTTTAAATAAGATTGCAAATTAACAGGGTCATATTTGAATGTTCTGATACTTACATGTGGGGTGGGAAGGAGGAACGCATGCTCTTCTCGAATAAGACACACAGAACACTTGCCCTAGCCAGGTGAGGCTCGCCTTCATGTAGGCTAGAGCTTCATTCCATCCCCAGGCAGATAGGGTGCTTGTGACCTGATGAAGTAAGGTAATATATCTGGAAACACTTTGTATACTGTAAAATACTGTGCAAATGCAGGGTAGTACGAATGTAAATATTAATGCATTTTCATAAGAATTTTGGCTATTTCATCATATATGTAATAATTTGTAGTGACTGGCTGTGAATTTAAATAGAATTAATGAGTTTTGTATTACTCTCATCTATTTGAAGCATCAGCTGTGACTTTCACGTTACTTTACACAGCCCTGTGTAACCTCCTCTGTGCCTTTCCCGTGGAGCACAAGTAGAACTGGAAGAAGACATTTCTCCTCAGGGCAGAGGCTGGGTCTTCTGATTGAATCTCCCTTCTTTCTTCAGTGAGATCCTCTTCTTCTGGAAGCTGGTTTCACATGGTGGCTTAGATTTTTCCATCTTTGTATCTAGCACCATTTGAAATCAGTGTTTTAGGAGTAAGAATTGCAGCACAGCCAAGGGTGGACTGCAGAGGAACTGCTGCTCATGGGACTGGCTCCTCCTCTCCTGCCACTTGAGTCTGTTCAAGAAGTCCAGGGAAGAACATGAAGAGCAAAATACACCCTTGAGTTGGTTGGGTTTTGGGAGGGGTGACAGTAGGGGAGGGGGTTGTGTTTAAAATAAACACAGTGGTTTGCCCAGGGGCAGAGGTTGTGATGCTATTTCTTTTGACTCCTAGCAGCCGTCACCAGCACGAATGTGTTGGTAGGGCCTTTGGGTGTGTTGATTGTCATATTCGGTTGGGTAACAATATATTGAGTATTGTCATGGGGCAAAGGAGAGGGCATTACACCTGGAGGACCATTTCATCCCCATCAGCACTGTCATCCCACTCGTAGAGGATGCCCTGGAGTATTCAGCATCCATTGCAGGGCACCCGAAATCAGACTTGCCACCTGTACTGTCAAGGTGCAGACCCTGGGAGCACCACTGGCCCATCTCTTACACAGGCTGACCGATTTCTCCTGGTGTTCAGAGTCTGTTTTTGTCTAGCACCATTTGAAATCGGTTATGATGTAGGGGGAAAAGCAGCAGCCTCGAAGCCTCATGCCAAGTCTGGCCAGCAGCAGCCTGTGGTTTCCTGGAAGATGGATGGGCAGAGAATGGGGAAGGAAGATCACGCTTTTCCCTACTAATTTCTTTAACTGCATGTATGATACATTATTGCAGAGGTAAGAGATAGTTTAATGGATTTTTAAAAATAAATTACTGTAATTTATCTGATGTTCTCAGTTGCATTTTGCTGAAATGTAGTACTGCTATAAATTCTATAAACTGGTTGCTGTTGAATTACCTTTCTGTTGAAAAGTCTGTTCATGCATCCTGACCTTAATAAATACTATGTTCAGTTTATCATGTCTGTGTTTTTCATCTATTATTTTCCATTCATAATTCCGTGACTATGAGAAGTGGGTCCTGAAAAATTAATTCGCTATGCAGATCTTGCCATCTTCATAAAGAATTCGAAGTAGGTTACAGCCAGCCAGACATTAAAAATGAAGCCCATTAAGACAAGAATGAAATTCTATGAGCCAAGAAATAAAATGAGAGAAAAGATTAGGGAAGAGAAGAAATGATGAAGATTGAGAAGCTGAGGGATGCTCCCTATTGAATGGGAAAACTAGCCTTGGTTCCACACGGCTGTAGACACTGCCCTTCTGCCAGCAACTGCTGCTGCAAGGAACTCGTGCTCAACTGAACATACTGTCACGTGGTTCCTTGAAGGGGCGCAGCACTGATTTCACTTGTGTTATAAAAGACTGAATGGTGCTTTTGACTGTTAGTTTATGTCAACACTTGAAAACAAGGCGAGCCAGTTTTGTAAAGCTATTCAGAGATTAGCCAGATTTGACTTGATAGGGGATCAAGCTTGTAGAATCTTCAGGAAGGCAGGCTGTGGCCCCTTGATCAGGCTTTTGGCACAGGAGGTGCATGGCTGACTATGAACTACCTGCAGTACAACTCTCAACCCAGTGGCTTACAATAAATGATGGTAAATCAGCCAGGTAGGAAGCCTTTTCTAGGCCCAACCCCCTGCCAGAGTTTTCCCCCAGATGGCTGCCCTGCCCAGTGGGCTGAGAGTAGGGGGGCGGAAGTAGCATTTGCTGGGAAGATTTGCCGGTGCATGTGTTGCACCCCCTCACTGCAGCTGCAGTGCTATTTCAGGCTGTTCATGGAAGAATCCATGTTCTAATCCCCAGGATGTGGTGGCGGGAAGACCCTAAGTGGTGGTGTTAAGACCTTAAGTTGTATTGTTTTATTCACTTCCCCCCGAGATAGGCTACAATTGTATTAAATACCTACAGGTCTGACATCTTTGGGTCTGTTATACTCCCTACTGATTAAACAGTTTTTGATCCACCCACCACGCTCAGAGCTCCAGCCTAGGTGTTGCAAATACAAACAAGACATGGATTTTGCTCTCAGGAGGCCTTGGTTCCAGTCCTCAAATGCATAAGTGCTAAATCAAGTTCAGCATCAAAGCACAAAAACAATGATTTGCAATGTCTTTTCCATAAAATAAGTTTATGGCACTCATTGAATGTTTAAATAGTGCTACATTGCTAGGTCATGAGAAGCAAAATGTAACTGGGGTGCCTCTCAAGCAGGATTGTTGTATTCATCTGGATATGGACAGCTTTTTACCTAAAATTGCCATTCTGAGGTGGTTTTGCACAATAAATTGGTAATTATGTAGAATGTTTCTTCTGGAGACAACATCTTGAATGAGGTTTATAAGCCATGCTATCGGCCTAGGTAGAAAATGCTTTGCAGGGCATAGGTCCTGCTTACCTAAATTTTATCAGATATTTTAGTTGTAAATTTATAAGTGGGTCTTGGTTAACAGATAATGAAAAAATGATAAGTGAGGGGCCTTATTGAGTTGATAGCACCCTCAAGCCTCATGCAAGTTGGACTGGCACATCCCACCTATGGAAGTAAACACTGATGAATCCTTAATAAATATGGATGGGACAAGTCAAATCTTTGGCCAGTTTAGGTGAAACAGAAGTAAGTCTAGAATTGGATAATTCTTTGTATAAGATACTGGTCCAGACGTTCTCTTTGAGAAGCTGGTGTAGTTTCAGGAGAGTACCTGGCAGACAGCATGTCCATTCTTTGACGGAGCTTGATCAGCACTGTCAACTTTTCCTTGAACACTTTCGTGTTCTATTTGTCTATTCTAATGTGATAGTGCCCTATTCTATCTTCCTATTCAGTTCGGCCAAAGGGCCTTTAAGTTAGTGATCCCTGGGTCCCATCCCTACAATCTCTGGTTTTGCTGGTCTGGGAATGGGCCTGGACATCACTTTGGTTTTTAAAGCTGAGAGCCACTCTTCTGGGGTCTTGTTCCTAAAATGCTTTACTACTCAGTGTGGTCTGAGGGCCCCCAGCACTGGTCTGTTAGTTTCCTGTGAGTGTCCTAAAAAAATTTCTACAAACTTGGTGTCTTAACACAAATTTATTCTTACAGTTAAAGATGTCAGAAGCCTGAAATCAGCTCACTGGACTGCAAGGGCCCCTCCCTCTCAGAAGTGCTGGGAAAGAACAGGTTTTCTTGCCTTCTCCAGCTGCTAGAGCTCCGTTCTTTGGCTTGCTCCCCCTCCCTCTGTCTTCCAAGCCAGCAGGGCAGCCTTTTGCTTCAGTGGCCACAGTGTTTTCTGCCACAGTCAAATTTCCCTCTGCCTCCCTCTTGGACCCTTGTGATTACATTTAGAGCCCCACCTGGATAATCCAGGATACTCTCCCTACTTCAGTTTTCTTAATCTCATCTGCAAAGGCCCTTTTGCCATATAAAGTAACATTCACAGGTTCCAGGTATTAGGACTTGGATATCTTTGGAGGCCATTATACAGCCCACCACAAATTGCAATCCTTAGGAACTCATTAGAAATGCAGAAGCTCAGGCCCTAACCGATACCTTTTGAATCAGAATTTTCTTTTTAAGGAGGTCACCATGTAACTCACTAGCACACTAAAACTTGAGAAGCATGATGCTATGGGTTCCTAACCAAATAATTCTCTAATCATTGAGTCCCAACTTCAATACAAATTGTATTACAGAGTATTTTACCTAGGAACGCTTTCAGGTGAAGGAGGTTCATCGGGTGTAGATAATTTTCCCAGACACCATTCTGAAGTGCTCTGCAACCATTTGTTCCTGGGATTCTCTCTCAATGAAGCCACAAGCCCCAAGCACCAGGATACTTGGGTTCCTGTTTACAGTAGTTTGGCACAGGGTTTGCCACTGCAGCATATAATAGTAGTTTCATTTTTTAAAAAGCTACGTGAGGGAGGTAAATCTATAAATGGTGGTGGAGTCTCCTAACATCAGTTTTACTACCTCTGTACAGGTTTCCTTGGGCTATGCACTATCAAGTCAGGAATCAGGACGGGTGGCTTTTTCAAATCAACGATATTATATTTCTCCAATATTTAAGCAATAAGGGACAGAATTTAAAACCCTTTTAAAAATGTTAATCTTGGCACAGTGGCTCATGCCTGTAACCCCAGTTATTTGGGACGCTGAGGCAGGTGGATTGCTTAAGGTCAAGAATTCGAGAATAGCTTGGGCAACATGAGAAAGCCTGTCTCTACAGAAAAATACAAAAATTATTCAGGCATGGTGGTGCACACCTGTACTCCCAGCTGCTGGAGAAGCTAAGTTGGGAGGATCCCTTGAACCCAGGAGGTTGAGGCTGCAGTGAGCTGTGATTGTGACACTGAGCTCCAGCCTGGGTGACAGATCCTGTGTTGAACAAAAAACATTGATCTCACAGAAGAAGCAGAAGAGGGTTAGTCTTATACCAGATTTCAAATGAAATTTAAAATGTCTTTTGGGAATCACAGCAATGACAAACTTCTGAATAGTGACTCCGTTTGTGAGGGTAAGGAAGGGATTGTCAAATGCCCTAACAGTCCGCAGGAGGGCAGCAGTGTTCCAATTTACAAAGGATTAGTCATCTATTGGTGTAATCTTTTCTGAATGAGCCTAGAAATTTTGATGAAAACAGTGTAGTCCAGGAAAAAAAAAAAATCCGCATGTACGATCACTCAATTTTGAATCATTTCTGGAAGTTATTAGACTCCGCGTTAAATCCTACTCGAGTACGAGTATGCAAAATTTAAAAATATGCAGAAAAGCTCCTTCTTGGTTAAAATGCTAGCTGAAAGACATTACTAAGTTTTAGAATACCAGAGTGGCCTATTTCCCACAAACCCTTAAATCCACTTAAACATCACAAATTCATATTCCTTCTAAATTTCAAGTACCTTCAGCATTCTTACAGATTTATTGTTAGTTACCTTACAAAGTAACTCTTCCCATGTTATTTTATGCCAATCTAAAAAATACATTAGTTTCAAAGTCATATAAGATTTTCCAAAATGCTGTATTCATAGTCAATATAATTTTCACCCAGTAATTTTTTTTTTTTTTTTTTGAGAAGAGTTTGGCTCTGTTGCCTAGGCTGGAGTGCAGTGGCGCTATCTCAGCTCACTGCAACCTCTGCCTCCCAGGTTCAAATGATTCTCCTGCCTCAGCCTCCCAAGTATCTGGGACTACAGGTGCATACCACCATGCCCAGCTAGTTTTTTGTATTTTTAGTAGAGACAGCGTTTTACCGTGTTAGCCAGGATGGTCTCCATCTCCTGACCTCATGATCTGCCCGCCTTGGCCTTCCCAAGTGCTGGGATTACAGGCATGAGCTACCATGCCCAGCTGACCCAGTATTGAGAAAGACTGCTTCTGTATTATTATATGTATGTGTTTACTTTGAGCAGTGCTTCTGTTTTTAAAACCAGATAGCCTTGTTAGCCAAACAACAAAACCTTAATTGAAGTCTTCGGTGAAATTTTCTGATTTAATAGGCTTAATTAAGAAAGCTATACTTTTCTTCTATAAATATATAAATTTATATATTTTATAATTATATATAAATATATAAAAATATATCTTCTATAAATATATAAATATAAATATACTGTATCTTCTGTTTTTACAAGTTTATATAGGAAGGCTGACTGTGGGGCCTGAGATTTACTAATGCATGGGTTTTCAACCTTAGCTGCACATTGGAATCATTTAGGACACTTAGAAATCCCTATACCCAAACCACATCCCCAGATCAATCACACTAGAAATCGCTAGGGGTGGGACCCAGGTGTCCGTAAATCTCCCCAGGTGATTCCAATGTGCAGCCCTGGTTGGGAGGCACTGAAGCCTGCTGAGAAATTTAGCAATCTGACCTAATTCAAGTCTGCAGAGAGAGCAACGATTTTTACAGAAACAACCAAATCCTACTAGTTACATACATCAGATTTTATACTTTGTTTGGACTTGGGTTTTTATTTAGCTCTATGTGCGTTCAATGGGATGCAGAAGATATATCTTCTACTGGACATGTATATATAGATGCTTAAATGTGGCTAACATAAGGTTAGGTAATAAAATAAAGACATAAAAGCTGGGCAAAAATCAGGCAGTTTCATGAAGGGTAATATCTGAGCTGGGCCTTGGAAGATGGATAGGATGTGAACAGGACAACAGGTGTTTCAAGCAACAGTGAACTGGGAATACAGCAGAAAGAAGAGGGGAAATGGTCAGTCTTGACTGAGAGTAGGTTATTTGAAGAAGTGCAATAGAAAGAAAAGTCTTGGGGCAGAAAGTTGGGATTTAATTGTAAAAGGTCTTCAAGTATCAGGCTCAGCGACGTGGACTTCATCCAGCAGGTAATGTGATGTCACTGGATAACTCTGTGCAGTATCTATGTGATGGGCTGTGAGTGGAGAACCCTGGGGTTCTGAGCTGGGAGGGACAGGAGGAATGGCTGTGAGAGAGGAATGGGCAGAAGATGGGCCCCAATTAGAAACATACTTCAATTTGAGAGGAAACCCACTAGAAATAAACACATCATCAAGAAACTTCTCCAAATGTACAATTTTATTTTAACAGATTTGAAGAGTCAATCTTCAAAACAAAAACGAACAATAAAGAACCATGGTGAGACTTCTCATTTTATAGCAAATACATTTTTGCAGCTTAAAACATTTTCTTCATATATGCTTCTTCCTATCATTTAAACAAACTTCCAGAGAAAACTGATCTCCATAGATTTAAGTAACAAATTATTCGACAAAACACCCATTTATGCATATATAGAGTTATCATATAAATATTAAATTTTAAAAAATCAAATAGGAAACAAACTGCTATAAGAGTATATTTATTTTATACATTAAAGTATTTGAATATTCTTCAGTTAGGTTTAAAAAAACATTTTTTGCTTCTAAGCAATTGTGACATTCTTGAAAAGCATATGAAATGGGTATAAACTTAAACTCTGTGCTTAATTCAGAATTCCTGTTTATTCTCCTCAAACTTATCTTCCTAAACATCTCACCAGAGATTACAAAGGAAAGGAACATTACAGGGTGCTATAAACATGTCTTTAGACAGTAAAATATTTATTCTTCTATACTCTGGATTTTCCAGTCGTATCTTTCTCAAGGCAACATTTCTTTGGCCCAATTTGTGCAATTAAATATAAAATTTCAAAACACATCTTTTTCATTTTTTTTTTTTTTGAGACAGAGTCTCACTCTGTTGCCCAGGCTGGAGTGCAGTGGCAGGATCTCAGCTCACTGCAACCTCCACCTCCTGGGTTCAAGCGATTCTCCTGCCTCAGCCTCCCAAGTAGCTGGGACTTCAGGCGGGTGCCACCACGCCTGGCTAATTTTTTGTATTTCTGGTAGAGATGAGGTTTCTCTGTGTAAGCCAGGATGGTGATCTCCTGACCCTGTGATCCACCTGCCTCAGCCTCCCAGAGTGCTGGCATTATAGGCGTGAGCCACCATGCCCAGTCCTCAAAACACACCTTTTAACAGTGTAATCTGAATTGGAGTGGCAGTCCCTGCTTTTTGCCCACTGGCTTCTTTGAAAGAGACTGCTTGGCTAAGGGACTCAGTACAGGGCCAAGATCTGCTACCTGAGCTATATTTAGCTTTTTTTTTTTTAAGACAGAGTCTTGCTCTGTTGCCAGGCTGGAGTGCAGTGGCACAATCTCGGTTCACTGCAACCTCCAACTCTTTGGTTCTCCCTGATTCTCCTGCCTCAGCCTCCAGGTAGCTGGGATTACAGGTGCCCACCACCACACCCAGCTCATTTTTGTATTTTCAGTAGAGAGGTGGTTTCACCATATTGGCCAGGATGGTCTCGATCTCTTGACCTTGTGATCCGCCTGCCTCGGCCTTCCAAAGTGTTGGGATTACAGGCGTGAGCCACCGCGCACGGCCCCTATGTTTACTCTTTCCACCATCCCTTGGTACAATCAATAGCAAATAGACAAAGTGAAGTTACCTTTTTGAGCTACATGGCTTACTCTGTACTCTTTCTTTTAGGAGATGAGGTAAGACACATGCATAGATAAGAGACTTCTAACTAGCCAAGGCAGTGTAAGTGGACTAAGATTCTCAGGTGACTTGAGGTTATCTGATGAATTTAATTCTCTTCAAAACTACCTACTTTTAGAAGGCATGTTTAAAGTAACACCTCTGTTTAAGGAGGGAAAGAAAAACGCGTAATCAGAATTGAGAGTGGGCTACTCAACATAAGGGAGTTCTCTTTGGGAAAATCACAAGGCCACAGCGTTCACTCCACACTGTGAAGTGGCACTCCTGTTACGGGTGTCAGAGTCCTCTTACTTTTTAAGAAAGTATGCATCTGATTCTGAAATTCATGATGCAATTGATTAGTTACGGATGTTTTAAAAAGTGAAAACAAATGCCACACATAAACTTTCTAGTTCTGATATCACCAAACACATTTAAAAATTGAGAATTTACGCTATTAACTTTTAGAGAATTTTCCAATAATATTTTTAGCTAAGGAAGTCAAGCTTGTGCATATTCCCAATTTTCAGTGTTCTTGTTTTTAATGCACAAGAGACAAAGTAGCATACACATATTTGTAAGGCTTTTTATAATGAACATTAGATAAAATAAACTCTATAGTTGGTGAAAGAATGAATTTTAAGAGTTGGCATTAATCTTTGAACAAAAAAGATTTCAAAGCCACTTTCTGTACTAAGAAAATATAATTTCATTTTGAACTATATTTCTCTAATTTTGCCAATTTTATAAAATAAAGCACTTCCCTGCTTTAATATAACCAGGCATGCTGTGCTGACTGGCCCAATAAATCTGAGTGTTATTTAAAGGAAAACAGGCAATATGTTCATACCCAAATTGATAAGTTTCAAAGAACCATCAAAGCTACATTCAAGCCACAATGGAATGTTAGGTAAGCTGCAGTTGCACTCACGAGAGTGAAACTAGAGAGTAACTACTGGGTATGTGCAGATTTTAATAGAATCAAAAGATGAACTGGCAAACCAAGTAGTGGAATCCATTCAACTTCTCTGCTCTGCTACAGTGGCTGATTTACTCTGGTAAGTGGCATATTCAGCTGTACCATCTGCTTTCCTGCAAAGCAAGGTATAAAGATTGTGTCAAAGATAAATATAATTAAGTACAGAAATTAAATTCCAGAAGACTATTCAGAAAATGAACAATTAAAAATATAGTACTAAGCTGCCAACTTGAGAAATAAATTATTCCTTTAAAATAATTTCAAATGTTCAACTGGTCTCACTGTTTAAAAAAAAACAACCTTCCTTTATCTCTGACTTATATTTTGGATCCCCTCCAAAACAAGAAATAGAGCAGCAGCATACAAAGCACTTAGTAACTAACTATGTCCTCATTTTGATTTAGGGTCAATGGGAAAGACCGGAGACAAACACATGCTTTCCTGATCCTCCATTTTAAAGCTGCAGCTCTGGTACAGAGAACCTTTGAAAAGATAGTGGTTCTAACTGTTCAAGTGTGTGATGTCTCATCTACCCCTCACTGTCAAGAAAATCATGTATTCCATTAAGAGAATCTCCTCAATAAACTTTACATCACACTCTTAGTATAACAATAGGCATCTTTGTAAAATCTATTATTCTAGTCTAGTGCTGGCCAAACACAGATGATGCCAGTCACATGTGTAATTTAAAATTTCCTAGAAGCCACTTTTAAAAACATAAATAGGCAAAAGTAATTTTATTTTCTTTAACCCAGTATAACCAAAATATTGACATGTATTTTACGTATTTTGTGCTTAGTGTTTGACACTTGCAGCATACCTGACAATGGACCAGTCACTCTGAAAGTCCTTAGCAGCCACACGTGTCTGTTGAGTATTGAATTGGACAGCACAGCTCTGGGCTCTCCCTACCTTAGTAAATTGACTTTAGTAGACAAATGAAAACTAAATTTGGACCAGTCCCTATTTATCAGTATGTGTGCCACAGCAAACACTCCAGGGATGCCTTCCCAGTGTCACAGCTAAGCATGTTAATTTTGCATATCTTAATAACTCATTTTTGCCTAGTTTTCATTATTGGAACACTAAACATGTGGGAATTTTTTATTTCTTACTCTCAAGGTCATTGTCAGGGTCTGATTGCAAAAATCCAAAAAACTGCCACCTCGGGCATCAATGGGTTTGTTTCTCTTTGTCGGGAAGGCCATCATTATGGTTCTCTATTGTGTTACTACTATACTTATAATATTGCAGTTCCCTAAGGACTGTTGTGATGACTGACTTAATGGTTTGGCCTTTCACTGAATTCTCCAAGACCACTATATTTTTCTCTCTCTCTCTTTTTTTTCTTTTTTGTGAGACAGAGTCTTGCTCTGTCACCTAGGCAGGAGTGCAGTGGTATCATCTTGGCTCACTGCAACCTCCTCCTCCTGGATTCAAGCAATTCTTGTGTCTCAGCCTCCTAAGTAGCTGGGATTACAGGCATGCACCACCATGCTAGGGTTTCACCATGTTGGCCAAGCTGGTCTTGAACCTTAAGTGATCCACCTGCCTTGACCTCCCGGCCAACGTGCCCGGCCACCACTATATTTTTCTAAGTAAATAATTTTTTTCCCATAGTAGTAAAATCTCTTTTCTTTAAATAAAGTTTTAAATAGAAATCCAATCTATGCCAAAGATAAAAACCATTAACATAAATTAAAAAAATATATTTATTGGCTATAACAATGAAGCTATTTTGAAAATAGCAAAAATTTGAAACTGGATTACTGATTGCAATTATCTTATATTAACTACAGCATTCATTAAATTATCTTCAAATATTTACAGACACACTGAAGCTCAGAGAGAGTCTAGAAACTATTTTCCTAGTTGGGTTTAGCCTCGAAAGTATCCTAAGAGATTAAGAAGATACAGTAGTCTTCTCTTATCCAGTTTGACTTGCACAGTTTCAGTAACCCACAGTCAAATACAGTCAAAAAATACTAAATGGAAAATTACAGAAAGAATAAGTTTTAGATTGTGTACCATTCTCAGTATCATGATACTTCACGCCATCCCACTCCGTCCCTCCTGGGATATAAATCATCCCTTTGTCCAGCATCCCCACGCTGTGGACACTATGTGCCTGTTACTCAATGGCGGTCTTGGTTATCATGGTACCTGTGGTTATGTAATCTTTATTTTACTTAATGGCCCCAGAGCACAAGAGCAGTGATGCCGGCATACTGTTATAATTGTTTTATATTATTATTACTTGTTGCTGTTAATCTCTTACTGTGCCTCATTTATAAATTAAAATTTATCATAGGTATATAAAACAGCACATATATACATATATATACACACATATATATGTATGTATATATATATGTTTAGTACCATCTGAGGTCTTGGAATGTCTTCCCCGTGGATAAGAAGAACTACCGTATACAGGACTGGGTGCACTCTGACTGCCAATTCTGGTGGGTATGTTTTGTCTTTCCCTTTCCCCCTGTGATCAAAGACACTCCTTTGCTTTTCCTAAGAAATTGTCTTTCCAACTGGCCTTTGTAGATCCTGCTCCCAAACTTTTGATTATAACCTAGGGTAGGGGCTCACATTATAAGAGGTGGGATATGTATCTCCCTCTCTTCCCAGCTCTGCAGATACACATTCTAGCATAGAGGAATAGTTCTAATTAAATTCAAAGACAGAAGGCGGAAAGGGTCAAAGGGTTTAGGGCAATGCAATCCATTACTCTTCAAAATCTGAGGACTTTTTCGTTTTCCTTTAATATGCTAAAAACATCCCAGCCCAGGGAAACTGATAAAAGGCCTTTACAGAGTTATTTATACACTGCAACTGAATACATTTACAAAATTAAGTAGAATTTATTTTGGTTTCTATAAAAGGGCATTTATCCTCCTTGCTCTTAAAATGATTTGATTCTGTGGTTATTTCCCCCTGGGCTCACAAATTCTTACTTTTGGATTCACAGCTGTTTTACAAGGTACAAGCGAGGTAGTCTGATGGGGGAACATAACTCTATTTAAAGCCTACGTCAAAGCAAAAGCCTGTCAGGACACATTATGTTTTCAAAAGGACTGGTATAGGAAAACAATAATTTAGCAAAGGAACAGGAACATAAATTTCCTCTTTGATATTTACTCCCAATATCTCTTTGCTCCAATTATTGGTATCTATATATCCACTGAATATTTTTCAAAAGAAAGGACATCTGAAAAGAAACAACAGAAAGCAGATACCTTTTAATGATAAAAGCAAACCTTTCTCTCATCTCTTCTTCTCAGAGAGAAGTAAAATTTACTTCTCTGTGGGTTTCATCAGTTAGGTATGTGCTGAACAGAGGAAGGGAAAAGGGCTGAATAAAATAGTGACTTCAAACCAAAAAGAAACAAGAGTAGCATAACAAGTGGGATTAACATCCATGATGGAAAAGAATGGCAGGAAAGCTGAGAATTAGGTTCATGACTTAAGACTTTCTCATTCTCACTGAAGGACTGGAAACATGAATTTTGTATTAGAAGCTACTTGAACTTTGAAGTCATACAGATCATGCAGCAGATAAACAGACTGGAAATTCCTGTTTAATATATTTATCTTTGAAACCATTTTGTAAGAAGTGAGTCATGTCAAAATGTTTTCAAGGCATAACACATAGTTGAGGAGAAATGATACTGGTCTCTAGCACCCAAGAATTTTTGTTGTTGTTGTTGTTGAGTCAGAGTCTCGCTCTGTTGCCCAGGCTGGAGTGCAGTGGCGTGATCTCAGCTCACTGCAACCTCTGTCTCCCAGATTCAAGCGATTCTCCCGAGTATAGCTGGGATTACAGGTGCACGTCACCACACTAGGTTAAGTTTTGTATTTTTAGTAGAGACAGGGTTTTACCATGTTAGTCAGGTTGGTCTTGAACTCCTGATCTTGTGATCCACCCACCTTGGCCTCCCAAAGTGCTGTGATTACAAGTGTGAGCCACCATGCCTGACCAGATTTTTTTTTTAAAAGACAGCATCTCACTATGTACCCAGGCTGGTTTCAAACTCCTGAGCTTAACCCGTCTGTCCTGTCTGCCTTGGCCTCACAAAGTGCTGGGATTACAGGTATGAGCCACCAAACCCAGCCTAACACCCTCAATTTTGAGGGAATACATTGAGTATGTATTAAATACATGTAATATTATCTTAGAATCAACTTTATGACATCATGTATTTTTAGATGTCTCTGGAGTTTTGCATTGAGAAGTTCTTCCTGTGGCACATCTGTTTTCAATCTGAGGGGACATCCTTGCATTGCTGAAACATTTTTGAAAGGTCAAATGCTAAAGAATTTGAGGGCCAACTAGAAAAACATCTAAGTTAATTTGATCCTCTTTTGCCCCATGTCACTATATGCCCCAATTGCCTGACCTGACCACTTTTTATTTTGGGGGGGAATGAGTTTTGCTCTTATTGCCCAGGCTGGAGTGCAGTGGCACGATCTCAGCTTAATGCAACCTCTGCCTCCCGGGTTCAAGCGATTCTCTGCCTCAGCCTCTCAAGTAGCTGGGATATAGGTGTGTGCCACCACGCTCAGCTAATTTTTGTATTTTTAGTAGACATGGGGTTTCGCCATGTTGGCCAACCTGGTCTCAAACTGCTGACCTCAGGTGATCTGCCTGTCTCGGCCTCCAAAAGTGCTGGGATTACAGATGTGGGCCACGGAGTCCAGGCTGACCACTATTTTTAACAAAGTAATTGGGTCAGTCAATATTAATGTAACATTAAAAGTCAGTTTAGTTTACACAAAATAACAAATACCCTAGTGGAAAAAAGGAAAAACAATTTGTCACAGGTAATAAATACATAAATTATGCAAATAACTTTAGTAACTTAGCCAAACTGTCACATGTTCAGGATGATTTAACTAGAGTTAAAAAAAAATCATTACAAGTAATGAAAATATTTATGTGAACAAAAATCATCTGTTGTTCAGAAGCACAGTCGTGCCATGCAATACAGAACTCAAGCAGTAGCAAAAACAGGGCTGTGGCTTCCAACACTAAAAAGTATGGTAGAAGAATCAGTAAAGAAAGGAAATGGGAGGGGAAAAGGCGGGAGCATGTGGATGGGAGCTGTTTTGGACTAATTGGTATCCTATACTGTTCTTAGCTGAGAGCTACGAAAGCAGAATACTTTAACCTTTTGGCCATCTTTCATCAAGTCATGTAAATGATGTTGGATGATCCTAAAATGACTACTTACACTATTTTTGTACTTTGAGATGAAGGCTGCAGAAGGGTAATTATGTTCCCCAATCACCATAAATACCAGTTTACATCAAATATGGGCTTTAACAGCAATTTGTGATTATTTGGGCCTATTAGCCTGCTTCCAGTTACCCCTGGAAGTAGAGCAGTAACTCCAGACATTTTATCATCTTTATAAGAAGTTTCTAAGGCCAAAACAGCCAATCTGGGGGGACAAGATTATAGTCATTAAACTGCAAAGAAAATAAAAGAAATCTTTATGTTTTTAAAGAGTTTAAAAAAAAAGTAAGAAAAGCCAAGTACTATTTATTACCCCAGAGCCTTTTTTTAAGGATACACACGGATGGGGAATCTTAAAAACTCCAATTATCTTAAACATTAGAAAAATTTGCCCATAAGCTTGATAGTGTTTCTTCAGGTCTCAACAACATGGGCACATCAGTAGTGGCCGACACCCTGGTCAGTGTAGCCCAGGCCCAGCAGCAGCAGCACCGGGAGCTCACTAGACAGGCAGGGTCTAGGCTCCACCCCAAACCTAATGAATCAGACCCTGTACTTTAACAGATTTCGAGGTAATTAATGTGCACATTAAAGTCAGAGAAGCATCTGCTCTAGACTCTGAAGAACAAAGATAAACCACTCTCACATTCAATTCAGCTACCAAAATAAATGGGAACTACAAAACAATAGATCCATAAAGAGAGCCTAGCTTTGGATTCGGCCATACGTATTATGCTGAATTTCCAATTGAGTATGTTCCTGTCATAAAAAGGGCAACATCTAACCTAAAAGATTCCCATGCAGTTTATATTTTAAAATTCAAAGGCAATTATGAGTTTCCTCTCTCACACTATTTTTTGGACGATTTTTCCTCAAGTTGTGCTACTATTTACAGAATTACTTATGTTGCATTGGCTAAAGATATAACACCTTCCCAAAATATTTTAAAATTTTAATAATAGCAGTTGTCTGTTGGACCTTATGCTGTAAAATATGGGCTTTAAAAAAAATCACCAAATTAATTTTGCAATCTCAGTTCACTATTGCTACTGAACTTTTAATTTGGGAGTACAATGGTCAGATAACTGTTCAGTTTTAAAAGATCCATTAAGGCCGGGTGTGGTGGCTCATCCCTGTAATCCCAGCACTTTGGGAGGCCAAGGCAGGCAGATTACCTTAGCTTGGGAGTTTAAGATCAGCCTGACCAACATGGTGAAACCTGGTCTTTAGCGCAGGTACAACAAATTAGCCGGGGGTGGTGTTGTGCACTTGTAATTAGCCAGCGTGGTATTGCACGCTTGTAATCTCAGCTACTTGGAAGTCTGAGGCAGGATAATCCTTTGAACCCGCCCAAGGTTGTGCCATTGTACTCCAAACTGGGCGACAGGGTGATGATACTCCATCTCCAAAAAAAAAAAAAAAGAGAGAGACCCATTAACTGCTAGCTAGAGAGAGTTTGATTAATACTTGTTAAGCAACCTTTAAAAATTCTAATGCAGTGATATTTTAAACAAAGAAGGAAAATGAGCAGAATGTGATTGTATTTTGCTTTCCTTAGAAGTTGTTTCTACACAAATCTTATGGACTTGTACACATATTCCATTATTAGTATTTTGTACTCACATTGCTGTAGATATGTAACTTTTAAAACATACAACTGATAAATAAATCAAATATGTATATTGCATTCCATAAATACAAGATTTAAGATTCAAGTGAAGGGATTATGGGTATTTAAAAAGATAACCAAGTAATATGAAAAAAATTTGAGTTTCTTATGAGTAAAGAATGTACTTTTATGACTTAGCCCAAACCTGACAATCAGTATAAAAGGAATATATATCATGAAATCATGAGTACCAAAAATCTTAAAATAATTAGGTTTGATTTCAAAGCTATTTCTAAAACTAGAGGGGGCAACATTTTTTTTTAAAAAATCAATAAATATGAATATTATCTTTCAGAAATTTTAAAGCACCTAATCTTAGTTTATGTTCCAGGATTCATTCTAAGTATTCTGTCAAAATGTAAAATTTGAGTTTTTCAAACTCAAATACAGGATTCATTCTAAGTATTCTGTCAAAACTAAAATTTGAGTTTGATGTTTAAAAACCCTATTTTTGCTAGAAGATATGTACTTGTACAATTTTCTTCTATTCTAAGCCCAATTTTTACATTTTTATAGATTAAAAGACACACAAAAGTTAATTGAGGTATCTTATAAATCTAACCCCTCTCAGCAAGTTTAACCCCATCAGTTTTACTGCAATCTGATAAATTCAGAGGGCATAAGAGAGAAATCAGATAGTGTTGTTTTTAATCCCCCAGTTTAACATGTATAACAACTCGAAATGAAAAGACATCAAACTGGGTATTTAAATGAGATGCCTACATAGCTTCTTACAACTAGCTAAGCTATATAGACAAGTGGAAACTTTCATTATAAAAATTCTAGTGCATACAACTGTCAAAGTCTCCACAGCGAAATATTTTAGATTTGATTTTGGCCACCAGTGCAATTTAAGAAATAGGGAATAGTTAGGGTAGACAAGGCCTCATAGTGGTCATGATTTGTTAAATAACTTAAACCTCAAATTCCAGAGTTTTCTTAAAGTCATAATAGCGGTAGTAACTTGCACAGATTTTTTATGTTGTAGTGATGTTAAAAGCTGAAAATATTTTTAGTAAAGAAATTCAATTGGTAGGACACACTAATGCAGGCACTTTTTTTTAAAAAAAGATAGCATGCGATACTTAAGATTACAAACTTAAACTGTACAAAAGCATGTCAAGGATAAGAAAGACTAAGAAGTTAGAAGAAACATGCTTTAATTTACCCTTTCTTCTTCCTTCTTTGAAGATATCTGTGCAGGCCAAAAGAAATTATTGCAACTCCAACAACTACAAGAAACCAGGAAACAAATGACATGTAATTCTGAAAACTGATCACCAAGATTAAAAATCTAGCAGAAGAAATAAATGTTGGTTACATTTCAGTGGTCAAATGTTACGTTATTTAAGCACCTACATATTCATATTACATCCAGACTCTTTGCTATCTAAATCCAACTCCCCATAATCACTTACACAGTGCATAGTAAGTCAGAGAAAAGTCCTTGCTTTAATCTAGAAAAATATCAAAAGCGCATTTGGGAAGCCAACTCCTATTACTGATCATCTTGAGAAAATATGTATTACTTAGGCTTTGTTACTAAGTGGATACATAGAATATAACAGAATATAAAATCACTAACACCAGGCAGGTAGTAAGTATATAAAATAAAAGGTCAGGTTTTCCTAAATTGGCTTAATTAACCAACCAATTTACAAGCTATAAAACTATAGAAACTGAAAAACTATTTTTTAAATGCATGTCTTCACAATAATGTTTGGATTTAAGTGGTGTCAAAATTTGTGATACTTACATATAGCAATAACAATCAGAGCAATGGCCCATTCATCTGAGAAAGAAAGCAGTTCAAAGATGTTGAACACACAGATCTCCAGATAGGATTTATTTCGGTCAGATCATCTAAACACTTGATATGGTTTGGCTATGTCCCCACCCAAATCTCATCTTGAATTGTATTTCCCATAATCCCCACGTCATGAGAGGGACCCCATGAGAGGTAACTGAATCATGGAGGCAGTTTCCCCCATGCTGTTCTCATAAGTTCTCATGAGATCTGATGGTTTTACAAGGGGCTTCCTCCTTTACTTGGCTCTCATACTTCTCCTTCCTGCCACCATGTGAAGAAGAATGTGTTTGCTTCCCCTTCCTCCATGATTGTAAGATTCCTGAGGCTTCCTCAGCCCTGCAGAACTATGAGTCAGTCAAACCTCCTTCCTTTATAAATTATTCAGTCTCAGAAAGTTCCTTATAACAGCATAAGAATGGACTAATATAACACTACGGAGAAAAAAAAAGTTTATATAGTTTTAGCATGACTACTAGTGCATCCAGGTCATTTTGATCACAGAATCCTTCTAATCAGTTTCCAGGTTAAGGGTTCTACTTGTGGAACTCTTAATGGAAACTCACTTTTCATTGTTTTTCTCTATAGCTACCACATCAGGTTATTTAGTAGTACAGTTATTAACAATTAGAATTCACTACATTAGAGGAAAATAATTTTGAAAACTATTATCCCATGAGAGTTGGTTTAGTTGAATAGTTATTCTGTCATTTCTCATGATTTTGGAAGACATTTAACTTATATTTTTTCCTCCAAAAGTAGATCTGCAGAGTGAGTCATAAATAAATTTCTATTATTCTATCACCCAGATGGTATTTACAGAGTCTTCACAAATAATACTTTATCTTATCAATCCCCTTCCTACCCTCTCTACTTCCCTACTCTGCCCTGCCCCAAAATTAAGACATCGTCCTAAATACCAATAGGATTCCCTTTATAAATGAAACACCACAGCACACATGGATAAAAAATATACAGAAAAATTTGAGCATACATTTTTGACTGTCTAGGGAAAATGAAATAATCCTACAAAATCTTAATTTTTAGAAGTGTTTCTGTCAGTAATACCTTTGCTTCTAAACTGACATTACTTTTGCTATAAATCAAATTGCTGTAAGTTAAAGCATAAAGTGCCATGTTTAACTCTGCTTTTCTCATCTCATAAACAGTTATCAAGTGTTTAATGGTTGCAGATGGAAATAGATTTACTGGCACAATGACACTTGGACCACAGATTTTGGAGGTAAGGCAAACACTAAAAAACAAGCCGAAGGTGCATTATGTAAAATGATTAACCATTACTAAATGAGAAGTAATAGACTGTTGTCTTTTTTTACTTATTAAGAAATCTTTATATTTCATTGGCCTTTATCACAACTATATGTCATCATTTGCTTTAATATGTATTGTGTGAACTGCATGAGCCTCCATCAAGTATGTTAAACCAGTTTGTTACATAGAAAATGAACCCAACTTAGATTACTTTAAGGTTCATGTATATAAAGGTATGAATAGAAAGAAAATTTATCAATGGATTGCCATCATAAAATAACAATATAATGTGAAAAGAAAATTTTGTTTTATATATTTTAACCTACCTACAAACACAGCATGTAAGAAAGCTATCCTACCCTACTAGGGATCCTATGTTGGGGCACCTCATAGTAACTGTAATTACCTACATGTTTCTACATACACTACCACTTATATTAGTCATGGTAGCTATACCAACCCAAACTGTTAAGCATTCCTTCATCAGGATTGGGATAACCTAGAAAAAAGAAAAAATAGATTAAATTAAAAAAAAAAAAAAAAAAGAATAAATAAAACTTAAAATCCTTTAAATTCATAGGGTGATTTTTTTTCACCTTTGTAGAAAATCCCTTAAAATATCATTTTCCTTATAAACTATATTGTTTCTCATTTAAAGTAATATTATAAACATTTATAAATGTATATTTAATGTCATCTTTTTTCTTCTTGCCCACTCACATTTCCTCTGACAATATTCTGTGGTACAACATGTAAATTTATCTTTTTTTTTTTGAGACGGAGTTCTGCTCTCATTACCCAGACTGGAGTGCAATGGCGCGATCTCGGCTCACCGCAACCTCTGCCTCCTGGGTTCAGGCAATTCTCCTGCCTCGGCCTCCTGAGTAGCTGGGATAACAGGCATGCGCCACCATGCCCAGCTAATTTTTTGTATTTTTTAGTAGAGACAGGGTTTCACCATGTTGACCAGGATGGTCTCGATCTCTTGACCTTGTGATCCACCTGCCTCGGCCTCCCACTATATTCTCAAAATTAGTCTATAAATCCAATGTCATTCTAATTAAAATTAAAAGATAGAGGGATTAATAAATGCTTTAGAGTTGACCTGAAATGGAAGGAAACTTCCTCAACATAATAAAGGCCATATATTAAAAACCAACAGCTAACATCATACTCAATGTTAAATGAATGAAGGCTTTTTCCCTAAGATCAGGAACAAGACAAGATGTCCACGTATGCAATTTCTATCCAACATAGGAGTGAAAGTTCTAACCAGAGCAATTAGGTAAGAAAAAGGAATAAAAGGAATTCACCACTGAGTAGGTCTATCTGGAAAAACGAGCGTGGCGCTGTTAAAAAAAAAAAAAGGGAATTCAAGGCTGGGCATGGTAGCTCACGCCTGTAATCCTAGTACTTCGGGAGGCCGAGGTGGGCAGATCACCTGAGGTCAGGAGTTTGAGACCAGCCTGACCAATATGGAGAAACCTTGTCTCTACTTAAAATACAAAATTAGCTGGGTGCGGTGGCATATGCCTGTAATCCCAGCTACTCAGGAGGCTGAGGCAGGAGAATTGCGTGGAGGCAGGAGACGGAGGTTGCAACGAGCCAAGATCGCGCTATTGCACTCCAGCCTGGGCAACAAGAGTGAAATTCAATTTCAAAAAAAAAAAAAAAAAGGGAATTCAAATTAGAAAGCTCTGTTTGCAGATGACTTGATCTTTTATGTGGAAATCCCAAAGGATCACACACACACACACACACACACACACACACAGGCAAACATCTCTTAGAACTAACAAATATATTCAGCCAAGTGGCAGGTTACAAAAAGAACATACAAAACTCAGTTGTATTTCTATTCACTAACAATAAATAATCTGAAGAGGAAATTAAGAAAACAATATTATTTGTAATAGCATCAAAAAGAATAAAATACTTAGAAATAAAGTTAACTAAGGAGGTGAAAGACTTACATACTGAAAAGTACAAAACTGCTAAAAAATTAAAGACATAAATAAATGGAAAGATACTTGCATTTATGGATTGCAAAATTTAGTATTTTTAAACTATCATATTACAAAGCAACCTTCAGATTCAGTGCAACTCCTATGAAAACCCTGATTTTTTTTTTTTTTTTGCTGAAATAGAAAAATCCATTCTAAAATTCATATGAAATCTCAAGGGACCACAAATAGCCAAAACACTCTTGGAAACAAAGCAAAGTTGAGAAGACTAACGCTTTCTGATTCCAGAACTTATTATAAAACTATAATAATCAAAACAATGGTAATGACAAAAAGACAGACATAGAGACCAATGGACTAGAACAGAGACATCGGAAATAAACCTCTGCATATATGGTCAAACGGTTTTCAACAAGAGTCACAAAGAACAGCCAAATGGGAAAAGAGCAGTCTCTTCCACAAATGGTGCTGGTAAAACTGGATATTCACAGGCAAAAAAGTGAAGCTGGACCTTTACCATATACAAAGATTAACTCAAAATAGATAAAAGACCTAAACACAAGAGGTAAAACTATAAAACTCTTAGAAGAAAACATAGGGGAAATGCTTCTTGACATTGGATCTGGCAATGATTTCTTGGATGTAACACCAAAGGCACAGGCAAGACAAGAAAAAAATTGGATTTCATCAATTACCAGCAAATTTTGTACATCAAAGGACACCATCAACAGAGTTAAAAGACAATCCACAGAATGGGAGAAAATATTTACAAATCATGTATGTAATAAGGGAGTAATATCCAGAATATATAAATAACTCCTAAGACTCTAACAAATATCAACCCAACATGAAAATGGACAGAAGACTTAAATAGATATTTCTCTAAAGAAGATATACAAAGGATCAATAAGCACATGAGAAGATTCTCAACACATTTCTAATCATTAGGGAAATGCATATCTAGTATGCATATCTACTTCATATCTAGTAGGATGGTCTATGGTTTGAATGACCCCTTCAAAACTCATTATGAAATTTAATTGTCAATGTGATGTTATTAGGGGTGGCACCTTTAAGAGGTGCTCAGGTCATTATGGCTCTGTCCTCATGAATGGACATATGTCGTTATTGCAGGGTTGTGTTTGTTAGTCAGGGCATGGTTATGCCCCTCTTACTCTCTCTCTCACCCTCTCTTTTCCCTTTCACCATGTGATAGCCTCTGTCATAATACAAAGCAAGAAGGCCCTCACAGATGCCCACACCTTGATATTAGACTTCCCAGCCTCCAGAACTGTGAGAAATAAATTTCTGTTCATTATAAGTTACTCAGTCTGTGGTATTCTGTTCTTACAGTACAAAACAGACTAAGACACTTGGATATTATTGAAAAAAACAATTTAACAAGTGTTGGTGGATATGTGGAAAAATGAGAAACATTTGTACACTGCTGGTGGGAATGTAAAATGGTGCAGCCATTGTGGAGGACAGTATGGCGATTCCTTAAAATATTAAAAATAGAATTCCCTTGTGATTTAACAATTCTACTCCCAGGTATATAACTAAAAGAAGTGAATACAGGAATTCAATGTTTATAACAGCATTACTCAAAAGAGCCAAAAGATAAAAACAAACCAACCCAAGTGTCTAGAAGCAATGAATGAATATAGTATATACATATAATGGACTATTATTCAGCCATAAAAAGGAATAAAGTTCTGACTCATGTCACAAGATAGATCTAGATGAACCTTAAAAACCTTATGGTAAGTGAAATAAGCCAGACACAAAAGGACAAATACTGGGATTCCATAAGAGGACTCCACTTATTATATCTAAATTATATGAATTTACCTAGAATAGGCAAATTTACAGAGACAAAAATAGACAGTAGTTACAATCAGGTGCCAGAGAGGGAGGAATGGAGAGTTACTGTTGAAGTAGAGTTTCAGTGTGGGATGATTCTATTCTATTCTAGAGATAGATGGTACTGATGTTTATATAACAATGTCAGTGTACTTAATGCCACTGAATTATAAACTTAAAATGGTCAAATGATAAATAAAATGAAAAGTTGATTTGGAAAAATTAACATGAGAGTACCTTAGAAATTTCTGAAAAGAAGTGTTCTGGAAGTTATTAAAACATATAGTACTACAGTGAAAAAAAATTGCTTCTGGTACAAGAATGGAAGAATAGACAAAACTCAAAGGAGAAAGGAAGATGGAACACCTATGAATGCAATGTATGATACAAATTGGCATTTCAGATCAGTTGGGGAGAAGACAACTTATTCAAAAAATGTTTCTGTTTAGCTATTGGATGGTGGTGGGTGGGGTGGGGAGAGGTTGAACCATGTATCTCATTATATACACCAGAATGAATTTCAGATGTACCAACGATTTAAGTGCAAAGACCAAAGTCAGAACACATGGTTGAAATTTTATATAATTTTAGCATATGGAAGACCTAAAGTTTTACTAAGAAAGACACCAAAGTCATAGCCACTAGGAAAAAGATCAATACATCCAACTACCTATTAATGTAAAACGTCTGAACATATAAATGACCATGGATAGGAGAACAGTTAAATGAAATATGGTATATACTTAAGTCACCATTAGAAAAGATGAGAATAAATTTAAACACAACCCCAATCTAAGAGTGCAAGTGGAAAAAGTTCAAGTTGCAGAAAAATATGTACAGCATGACATCATTTTTAACAAAAGGCAAAACACCAAACTACAGTATAACTACACATAAAAATGTTGATGGTCCTAGCCAAAGCCATCAGGCAAGATAAAGAAACAAAGTGTATCCAAACAGGAAGAGAAGAAGTCAAACTATCTGTCTGCAGATGACATGATTCAATATCTAGAAAACCCCTTAGTCTGGCCTAAAAGCTGTTCCAGATGATGAACCTCAGCAAAGTTGCAGGATACAAAATCAATGTACAAAACTCACTAGCATTCCTATACACTAACAACAGCCAAATTGAGAGCCCATTCGGAGAAGCACTCCCATTCACAATTGCTACAAAAAGAATAAAATATCTAGGAATACAGCTAACCAGGGAGGTGAAACATCTCTACAATGAGACTTATAAAACACTGCTCAAAGAAATCAGGGAAGACACAAAAAATGAAAAAACGTCCCATGCTCATGGATGGGAGAATCAGTATCATTAAAATGGCTAAACTGCCCAAAGCAATTTACATTCAATGCTATTCCTATCAAACTACCGACATTCTTCACAGAACTAGAAAAAACTATTTTAAAATTCATATGGAACCAAAAAGAGCCTGAATAGTCAAGAAAATCTTAAGCCAAAAGAACACAGCTGGAGGCATCACATTACCTGACTTCAAACAAGGCTACACTAACCAAAACAGCATGGGGGTACTGGTACAAAAACAGGTATATACACCAATGGAACAGAATGGAGAGCCCAGAAATAAGGCTACATATCTATGACCATCTGATCTTCCATAGAACTGACAAAAGCAATGGGGAAAAGATTCCCTGTTCAGTAAATGGTGCTGGGATAACTGGCTAGCCATATGTAGAAGATTGAAACTGGACCCCTTCCTTGTTCCATACACAAAAATCAACTCAAGATGGATTAAAGACTTACATGTAGAACCCAAAACTATAAAAACCCTGGAAGACAACACAGGCAATATCATTCTGGACATAAGAACAGGCAAATATTTCATGGCAAAGATGCCAAAAACAATCGCAACACAAGCAAAAATTGACAAGTGGGATTGAATTGAAGAGCTTCTGCACAGCAAAAGAAACTATCAACAGAGTAAACAGACAACCTACAGAATGGGAGAAAACTTTTGCAAACTATGCATCTGACAAAGGTGTAATATCTAGCATTTACGGGAACTTAAACAGATTTACAAGAGAAAAACACTATTAAAAAGTGGGCAAAGGACATGAACAAACACTTCTCAAAAGAAGACCTATATGCAGCCAACAAACATATGGAAAAAAAGCTCAATATCACTTATCATTAGAGAAATTCATATCAAAACCACAATGAGATACCATTTCACACGAGTCAGAATAGCTATTATTAAAAAGTCAAAAAATAACAGTTACTGGCGAGGTTGTAGAGAAAAGGGAACACTTATACAGTGTTGGTGGGTGTGTAATTTAGTTCAACTATTGTGGAAAGCAGTATGGTAATTACTCAGAGAGTTAAAGGCAGAACTACCATTCAACCCAGCAGTACCATTACTGGGTATATATCCAGAGAAATATATATCATCCTGCCATAAAGACATATGCACATGAATGTTCACTGAAGCACTATGCCCAATAGCAAAGACATGGAATCAACCTAAATGCCCATCAATGACAGATTGGATAAAGAAAATGTGGTACATACACAAGGAATACTATGCAGCCGTAAAAAAGAATGAGTTCATGTCTTCGGCAGGATCTTGGGTGGAGCTGGAGGCTATTATCTTTATCAAACAAATGCAGAAACAGAAAACCAAATACCGCATGCCCTCACTTATAAGTAGGACCTAAATGGTTAACAACTTATGAACACAAAGAAGGAAACAACAGACACTGGGGTCTACTTGAGCAGGAGAGTGGGAGGAGGGAGAGGAGCAGAAAAGATAACTACTGGGTACTAGGCTTAACACCTGGGTGATAAAATAATACGTACAACAAATCCCTGTGACACATTTACCTATGTAACAAACCTTCACATACAAGTTTGAAATTCTACAAAAATATATTCAAGTACAACTCATGTCATTAAAAGTTATAAAAAGTAATCTATATCCAATAGTACAACAAGCTTAAAACTGACAAAACAAAAAAACCTGGAAAACACTGCTTGCTTCATATTAAAAGGGCTTTAATTCATAATGAGCTCTCAAAAATCACTAAGAAACATATTTTAGAAACCTAATACAAAAATAGACAAAGCACATGAATAAATAAATGTGTATCAAAAAAAGTTCAGATTCACTGATAATTAAGGAAATGCAAATTGGTCAGGCATGGTGGTTCACACCTATAATTCTAGCACTTTGGGAGGCTGAGGCAGGAGGATTGCTTGAGCCCAGGAGTTAGAGACCAGCCTGGGCAACATGGCAAAACTGTCTCTATAAACAACACAGAAAAAATTAGCTGGGTGTGGTGGCATGTGCCTGTAGTTCCAGCTACTTGGGAGGCTGAGGTGGGAGAATCACCTGAGCCCAGGAGGTTGAGGCTGAAGTGAGCTGTGGTCGCACCACTGTACTCCAGCCTACGTAACAGTGTGAGGCCCTGTCTCAAGCAAACAAACCAACAAACAAACTAAAAACCAACAACCAAGAAATGCAAATTAAAATAAGATGTTACTTTTCACCTATCATTTAAAATTCTTAACATTTTTTAAGGTATGTCTAAAGTTTTTAATTTAAAAAAATTTTAAGTAAAAAAAATTCTTAACAATATCAGTACGATAAAGGGCTAACCAACCTGGATAACGTGAAACTGGAGGCTTGTAAGTAGGCCTCGGACCTAGAAAAGTAAGTTTGATTTTATAAATTCATCAGGGCCTTATCAATATAAAATTATGACTTTAATTTTGACATTGATTTTTAAAGATTATTAATCAAAATGAAGACTACATATACTTTACAAACTTTGCAATTCTACAGATTAGCATTTGCCTATATATATAGCTGCATAGGTATGTAAGGATGTAGGTACAAGAATGCTCACTATACTCTGTATTTTATAATGGAAATCCTAGAAGATAACCATATAAATCACAAAAGTAATGTGTGGCCGGGCTTGGTGGCTCATGCCTGTAATCCCAGCACTTTGGGAGGCCGAGGCAGGAGAATCACTTGAGGTCAGGAGTTCAAGACCAGCCTGGCCAACATGGAGAAACCCTGTCTCTACTAAAACTACAAAAATTAGCTGGGCATAGTGGTGAGCGCCCGTAATCCCAGCTACTTGGGAATCTGAGGTGGCAGGAGAACCACTTAAACCCGGGAGGTGGAGGTTGCAGTGAGGTGAGACCATGCCACTGCATAGCAGCCTGGGTGACAGAGCAAGACTCTTGTCTCAAAAAAAAAGGAATGTCCTTGGGGTAAACATATGTATCTTTTTTAAAAACTGTAAGTGGTATCATACTACATAATTTACATCTTCCTCTTTTCCACTTAGGATTCCTGGCTATTTTTTCATGTTAGCAATTTAGATCTACCTTAACATAATTATGTCACTATTTAGTTGTCTTCTGATGATGAAAACTGACAACCCACCTATATCTTACTAATAAAAAAGAAGGTCCTAATTCAACATATATATGTATCCCCATAATCTGGGGATATAATTTCATATACATATATACATATACATATGTGTATATAAATATATATATACATATAATATGTATATATGTATATAATTTATGTATATATGCATATAAATGTATATAATTTATATACATATACATATGTGTATATAAATATATATATTATATACATTTATATACATTTATTATATTATGTATATACAAGGGACAGTAGTAATTGTGGGAAGAGCATTAGCCTGGGCAGACTATGCTTAGTTAACATCATTTCTATGGTCTTCCATTTCCATTTATACACATATATTATGTATATGTATATACATAATATAATAAATGTATATAATGTATATAATTTATATACATATACATAATATATATGTATATGTATATAAAATTATATCCCCAGATTATGGCAAATAATTTTAGAATCACTATGTATAACAACTAAAATGGCTATACAAATGTCCTCCCTCTTTTCATTACTAAAAATGATGAATGAGTGGACATCACCAGAAATTTGAAGGATTTTTTTAAAAATCACCAAGAATTTAAAGGATTTTTGAAAAAATATAAGCAGGAAGTTACTAAACCTGAGACACTGGAAGTTGGAGATACTGTAGTGGGAGAAGTCGACACTGGAAAACAATAATGTAGATTGGATCAAACACTTGGGAGTTATTGCTGGCATTTTCTCCAGGAATTTATAAGATTTTTAATAAATACAAGGAAGAAGCTACTAAACCTGAATGACTCAAGGTTGGAGGTTTTGTACTGGAAGGAGGCAGCTCTAGGAAATAAAATAATGTTATTAGATCAACCACCTGGGAGTTATTGCTGCCATTTCATTTATATGAATTATGCCCTTCTTGACTTACTTAGATAAAAATGCCCATGTCTTAATTCACTCCAAAAAGTTGTTGTAACCTACTTTTTATACATAAAATTATTGAACCAGAGAAAGTATGTACCCATCCAATGTACATAACATGCTGAGAACCCTGGAAAAGCACAGAAAATCACCACGGCAGAATTTTATGTGAATTTCATGTCATACATCTAGCATAGAAATGAATACAAAACAGAGTTAAATACTAAAATTGTTTCTTTTCGGTTATTCTATATGACTTACGGTTAATATCAAATAAATGAAGTCTAAAATGAACAGCAGCAACAACAACAAACCAAGACAGAAAAAAGACAACCTTTGTACCTTTAGCACACTTTGGAACTGGGGGATCCCAAGTACTGTTACTGTTACAGACAATTGTGTCACTGCCAATGATGTGAAAACCTTTATCACATTCAAATATAACAGTTGCTTTGTAGTAAAATTTTTTTCCAAATCCTGCTATCTGTTTTCCATTTTCAATTACTGGAAATCGACATTTGACCACTGGAAAAGGAGAGAAACCCCAGAATTAATGGAAATCTGCTTTAACGGAAAAAGTTGTACCAAGTAGTAATTTCCAGTGGGAACAGAGACAAGGAATGGAATGCAAGATGTGAAAAACATTTCTAAAAAGTCTTTAAATGTTAAATATTTAAATATAAAGCATTTTAAATGATATGTTCTCCTTAATATTTTTAAAGGTTAGTTTATTGCATATAATTTACATACAGTCAAATTCACCTTTCACGTGTACAGCTATATGAGTTTTGACAAACGCAAATAATCATGTAACTATCACTACAGTAAAGTTCCATTACTCTCCAAAATTTCCTCATGCCCTTTAGTGAGTTACCCTTCTTTTACCCCACCACCCCCTCTTCTACAACCAGCCAACCACTGATTTGCTTTTATCCCTATAGTGGGACGTTTTCAGAATGTCACATAAATAGGATCACGGCCTTTGTGTGTTGATTTATTTTTTTGGTTCTTTCAAACAAAACCTTCTAACTCATGAAGATACGCAGTAGTTCACACTGTTAAAAATGAAATGCCAAGAACATGTGAAGGTGAGAAACAGGGAACTCTGTAGCTAGAACCGTTTTTTGACTTGAACTGACCTGTATTAAAATATATTCGAAATCAATCATACAGGAGGAGGAAGTGCAGACGCCTGCTTTGTTTAGTTACAGATAAAACTATTTACAAAATTATTCCAGAGTATGTGCGAATGAAGAAGGAAATACACTGAAAGATTACCTTTACACTCTGGAGCGTCATCACTCCATAATGAATTGTCACGACAGTAAATCGTGCTCTCTCCAATAAGGGAAAATGGATCTGGTCCAGGAGCAGGATCACAACTATAAGTTACTGCATCAAGATATTCGAATACTTCTACATCACTAAAGGTGTGTTTTCCATTGTTTATTTTTGGAGGTGGTTTACACAAAATCTCTTAAAAATGTGGAAAAAGAGGGAAGGAAGTATAAAAGATTAAGACAGCATTAGTAAAATTTCTAGACTTTCAATACATTCATCAATATAGGGTTTCTACAAGCTGGTTGTGAATTCAATATTGATTAAAAAGAAGATTTCTATGAGCAAATATCCCAAATTCAAACCATTAATGTACTGACTAACTTTCAGAACAAATCTCATTTTCTTAAAGTGTAAATACCCATTGATATGGTCTGCATCTGTGGTCCCCACCAAATCTCATGTTGAATTGCGGTCCACAGTGTTGGAGGTGTGGCCTGGTGGGAGGCGGTGGGATCATGTGCGTAGATTTCTCATGAATGGTTTAGCACCCACCATCCTCTTGGTGCTGTTCTCATGATACTTAGTTCTTGGGAGATCTGGTTGTTTAAAAGTGTGCAACACCTCTCATCCTTCCCACCTTGCTCCTGCTCCTGCCATGTGAGACATCTTCTTCCCCTTTTGCCTTTCCCAATCATTAAATTTCCTGAGGCCTCCCCAAACCCCCAGCTGATGCCAGCGTCATGCTTCCTGTACAGCTTGTAGAACCATAAACCAATTAACTCTCTTTTCTTTATAAATGACCCAGTCTCAGGTATTTCTTTATAGCAATATGAAAACGGACTAATATACCTATATTTCTTTGCAAGGCCACGCTAAGTTTCACTCTAGTCATCACAAGAAATGCTGACAATTTAATGAGAAAATATGCTTAACAAAGTGGGTGGTTGAGAAATCCTTTGCAATTTATAAATATATCCACTTTCTAAATCAAAATATCCATTTTCTAAATTGGTGGTTCATAATACCACCAAAATATTATTGTCTTTTTTCACTGTCATCCTTACAAGTGTATAGAGATTTTTTTTCCAAAGTCTACATATTGTGTGATAATACAACAGGCCCAATCCGATCTTGCTTTAAGCCAGATGCTGAAGAGATATGCAAAAAAGTGTGAACAATGCCACTGTTCCTACTAGTTTTATTTCGTTTTGGAAAATTGTTATTTTTCATTAAAAAAAGGTACATATGTTAATATGTATTGCATCTGTTCTCACAATTCATCAGGCAGGGTGTGGTGGCTCACATTTGTAATGCCAGCACTTTGGGAGGCCCACAGGGGCAGATTGCTTGAGCACAGGAGTTCAAGACCAGCCGGGGCAAGATGGCAAAACCCTGTCTCTTCAAAAATTACAAAAAGCCAGGTATAGTGGCACATGCCTGTAGTCCCAGCTACTGAAGAGGCTGAGGTTGCAATGAGCTGAGATTGTGCCACTGCACTCCAGCCTGGGAAACAGTGAGACCCTATCTTAGAAAAAACAAAACCTAAAAGAATCAATAATTATTTTTAAACCTCTCAGTTTAAATTCTAATATGATAAATACCAATAGATATAACCCATATGAAAGAAAGCTCTTTGGGATCTCTGTTAATCTTGAAGTGTAAAGGGTTCCCTGAGGCAAAAAACTTTGAGAACTACTTGTCTAAATTTTAAAAAAGAGAATTTACTTACTTTGACATATTGGGGGCCTACCACTCCAAACTGCGTCTGATCCTTTAAGTTCACAATATAGAATTTCTTTACCAATTAAGTAATAACTAAATGAGAAAAGAAAGGGTTAGTGTTTTGTGTAGCAATTAATAAGACACATATAATGATGAAGGAACTTTTTATATGGTTGCTTTTCTGCACTGCAGTAATTTGAGGGGGTGGTTTCTAAAACATCATACCATGTAATAAAAGTGCTAAGTAAGTCTGCATTTTAATCAAATAAAGAATTTCTCCATTTGAACATATATTGGCCAGGAGCAAAGATGTCTAAATAAATCTGCTGTGCCTGTCTGCCCAGCATCTTTGCTATCTCCTGCAATCGCATTACACATTCATTTCTGTACCTTTGCTCAGACCACTCTGCTTAGAAAGGACAAGGACTGTGTAGAGAGATCAGGTCCTAGAGCTGGAATGCCAGGATTTGAGTCCTTGCTCCTTAACGTACTAGTTTCTTGAGCTTGGGCAAGTCACTTAAAGTTCCTCTCACTCAGTTTCCTAGTTGATTAAAAGGGGTAACAGTACATACCTCATGGAGTTGTTTAGAGGATTAGATAAGTTAGCATTTGGCACATATTGATACGTGAGTTTTAGCTCCTATTAATATTATTTAGAACAGAATGTCTTTCTAGGAATAGCTTACTGAGTATAGGAATACTTTCATTGAGTATACCCGTATACTCGAAATCTCTGATTTAAATTCACAGGAATCTCTCTTCCTTCTGGACTTCTGGTGTAATTATCATGAATAATTCTACGTATTTAGCATTTCTCTTTTTATCTTTGATAGCTCTCAGTATATATTGTTTCTCAATAATGTTAGAACTTCTTTTAGGGGTGTCCATGTCTTAAACTTTTGGTATCCCTCAAGGGCCTAGCAAACTCCATGTAACTTTTTTTTTTTTTTTTTTTTTTTTTTTTTGAGGCAGGGTTTTACTCTGTTGCCATGCTGGATGGAGCACAGTGGCCAGTCTCAGCTCACTGCAATCTCCGCCTCCCAGGTTCAAGTGATTCTTCCACCTCAGCCTCCTGAGTAGCTGGCACTACAGGCACGTGCCAAACGCCAGGCTAATTTTTATATTTTTAGTAGAGACAAGGTTTCACCATGTTGGCCAGGATGGTCTCGATCTTTTGACCTCGTGATCCACCCACCTCGGCCTCCCAAAGTGCTGGGATTACAGATGTGAGCCACCGCGCCCAGCGGCTCTATGTAACTATTAACTGAATATTCCAATATTTCTACTTAACCAAATTTTAAAAACTGTCAGAGAAACTGCCTTACATAGTCACAGGTGATTTTTCCTCCAAGATTCACTTATTTTATCTTTTTTTTTTTTTGAAATGGAGTCTTGCTCTGTCACTCAGGCTACAATACAGTGGCATAATCTCAGCTCACTGCAATTTCCATCTCCCAGGTTCAAGTGATTCTCCTGCCTCAGCCTTCTGAGTAGCTGGGATTACACGCACATGCCACCACACCTGGCTAAAGTTTGTATTTTTAGTAAAGACAGGGTCTCACCATGTTGGTCAGGCAGGTCTCGAACTCCTGACCTTGTGATCTGCCCGCCTTGACCTCCCAGAGTGCTGGGATTCAGGTGTGAGCCACTACACCCGGCCATTATTTTTTCTGTATTATGGTGTATTACTGCTATTGCTTGAATCTGGTTTGTGTCTATCAAAACTCATATTGAAATTTAATTGCCAGTGTAACAACATTAAGAGGTGGTGGGGCCTTTTGGAAATGATTAGGTCATTAAGAGGGATAATGCCTTTCTAGAGAGTCTTCATTAATTCTTGTGGGAGTGAATTCTCATTTTTGTAGGCTTGGATTCATTACCATAAGAGCAGGTTGTTAGAAAGTAAGAATCCCCTCCCTTGTGCTTTGACTTTTTTGCACATGCTAAATTTCCCTTTCACTTTCCAGCATGTTATGATGCAGCGTGAAAGCCCTTGCCAGACACTATTGCCATGCCCTTGAACTTCCCAGCCTCCAGAAATATAAGCCAAATAAATTTTTCTTTATAAATTACGTAACCTCAAGTATTCTGTTATAGCAACAGAAAATGGACAGAAAATTATTTACTCTCTAAATGCACATTTCTCTTAAATGTCCAGTATCCCCAATATATACGACTTCAAAAGCCCTACAGAACAAAGACTATTACTGAGTGCTCAGTGCCTGTTCTTGAGATGCTTCATATTGTAGCAGTCTCAAAAATAAGGTTTTTCAACTGAAAGATTTTGATCAACATGATGGTTAAAGGCTAATCAGGTCAGTTTTGGTTGGGTAACACCTTACAGAGTCACCTGGATACAAGTGTATCTTTAGTTGACAATTCTGCTTCTCACAGAAATGAGAGAAATAGCTCTCATTTCTGTGAGCTCTACTTCAAGTCGAAGAGTTGGCAGATTTCAGTTGGAGACACTCAGTTGTGAAGAATAAATTCTCATGATTACTACCTATATTCTTAATGCTTACAACAGGCTTATTGTCAGATACAGCAAGTAGTTTTGCTTTCCTTCAGTATCAATTTCTTTCTATTTACTATACATCTTGCCTATCCCCATAAAACATCCAAGAGTTGTTTGGCTAGAGGTATAACTTGTCACATCGAAAGCAAAATTAAATATATATGAATGCTTAAGAAGAAAAGCAAAGCAAAAATAAAATTACTAACATTTCCCTAATTTCCGCTAAGGAACAACTTACCCGTCATTACAAATGAAGTGCAGCTGATTTCCAAATGAGTAAGACCCATTTGCAAGGATTGCTTCGCCATGTAAAGGATTAGGTATATAGTGACACACTTTTTCTAAAAAAAAAAAAAAAACAATTTGAGATTTTTCAATCCAGTTATTAAAGATCTGAATCAAAATCAAAGTTCTGCATTGCTCTTTTGAATGCATGGGAATATTTTTTTCTTTATTTACCTATTATAAGGGTAAACTTAAGATTCATGTCCACCTAGGCAATCTATTGCCAAGAAAAAGATTTCTTGGAGATTGCAGTTTCTCAAAGCCTGCAAAAAAGCATTGCTATCTGAAACCTCATTTCACAAGAAAAAAAAAAAATCACCATAGTGAAATATGTACCCCAAAATGTGTGCAAATCTCTAGAGAAAGAAGAAAACAAAAACAAAAAACAAACAAACAAAAAATCTCTAGAGCCAGCAGGAGAAAGAAAAAAAAAAAAAAGAAAATAAAAAAAGAAATCTCTAGAGCCAATAAGAAAAAAAAAAAAAAAGGCTTGTTTACTTACTAACACAGGGCTCATCTGAGATCGGTAGCCATGTGTGATTCCGATCACAAATACTATGGGTGAGAAAAGGAGCGAAGTGGTGGTATCCTTTTTTACAGTCATATTCTACTTGTTCCCCAACCTTATAATAGGGTTTTGGTTTGCTAGTGAGCTCCATAGCTTCAAATGTTGGTGGTGGCCCACATGCATCTAGGATTAAGAGAATAACAACATGAAGATTGTATCACTTTAACCAGCAGTGGACGGTGGTCTGGCAGCAGGTGGTATACAAAAATAGAAAGGCTGTTGGCAGGCCAGGCGCGGTGGCTCACGCCTGTAATCCCAGCACTTTGGGATGTCAAGGCAGGCGGATCACCTGAGGTTGAGATTTCAAGACCAACCTGATCAATGTGGAGAAACCCCGTCTCTACTGAAAATACAAAAATTGGACAGGTGTGGTGGTGCAGGCCTGTAATCCCAGCTACTCAGGAGGCTGAGGCAGGAGAATCTCTTGAAACTCAGGAGGTGGAGGTTGCAGTGAGCCAAGATTGAGCCATGGCACTCCAGCCTGAGCCACAATAGCCAGACTCCATCTCAAGAAAAAAAAAAAGCTGTTGGCAAGATTTTAAATGTTTGTTCCATGCGTTTACGTGAGTGTTGGTAATGATGAAGGAAACAGGACTTGCAAGTTTTAAATAACATCCTATTAGCTTTTGTTTTTTTTTGGAAATAAACATTCCACAGTAAACTGAAGAAAGAGCAATAATGTTTTTGGTCGTAAAATATATATGGATGCATCTTTCCCCACATTATTCTAAATTCATTTGAAAACTAATTTCTCCACTAAGAATTCTTCTTCAGTACCATAGCACTCTACTCAGATTCTTCTTCCATAGTTTAAAACACTGACTTCTGACAGCTTGTCACTTCAGGCTGTCTTCTCTTAGGAGGCACGTTCCTGGGGGTCAAGGACCATATTCTTCTTTTTCTACTATACTCTACCCACTCTGCAGGTGCTCAAAAAATGCTGACACTGTCAAATTCTATCTCCAGTTAGGCACTCAAGAAATTGCTGCTGCTGTGCCTGGGAAAATGAAAACAACCCAAGTTTGGAGTCACGTTGTGCTAAGTCAAACAAAAGGCTCAAGCTGCCCTAACAGGACAGGAAATAACATGAAAGTCTGAATTTATGGGCTGGACATGGTGGCTCAAGCCCGTAATCCCAGCACTTTGGGAGGCCAAGGCGGGTGGATCACGAGGTCAAGAGATCGAGACCATCCTGGTCAACATGGTAAAACCCCGTCTCTACTAAAAATACAAAAAAAAAACATTAGCGGGGCATGGTGGCGCGTGCCTGTAATCCCAGCTACTCAGGAGGCTGAGGCAGGAGAATTGCCTGAACCCAGGAGGCAGAGGTTGTGGTGAGTGGAGATCACGCCATTGCACTCCAGCCTGGGTAACAAGAGCGAAACTCCATCTCAAAAAAAAAAAAAGAAAAAAGAAGGTCTGAATTTATGATGGTGATTGTTGATTTCTGAGGAGCCGGTTGCTTTTCAGAATTACTCACCCTGTGATTTAGTCCTCTCCCTTCTTTCTTGTCTCCTTTGCTGTACTCTGCTACACTGAGTAGGTTGGCAGGCCAGCAGTATCACATCTTGGTCCTTTGCTCATGCTGCTTCCTCTTTTCTGAATACCCTTCCTTCCTGGCCAGTAGCTATGACTCCTGCTCAACTCTTGTCTTCCTTAATCATTTTCTTCCTTAAGCATTTTCTGCCTCCCCCTACAAAGCATTGATCAGTCACCTTTCCCTGGACTCTCCCCTGCATGGATCTCTCAGGTAACTATCACCTGCTTTTGTGTTTAATAGTTAACATGGCCGACTCCTTTCATCCATGTGACCACAACACCCAGCACAATATGTCCCTCATAGTAGCTATTAAGAAAAAATTTGGTACTCAAAATCCACCGCTGTCAAACACAAAACAATGTGAAGAATATACTGTAACAATTTCATATTGAAAATAATCATTCTAAGGCACAATGGAGAAAGAAGATTTAGCCATTTCTTGTGTTGCCTATCTCTGGGTCTTTTGATATCCTGGCAGGTGATCAGATAAGGACGGCTCTCTTTGCATTGTAGTATTCCGAGAAAGGAAACTAAGAAGCTACTCTGTAAGCACTTAGTGATCTTGGCTTCTTCCTCTGGAAATAAGGAAAACATCTAAAATTGGCAGAAGAGACCACACACAACAGGAGACTGTGGGTTTTGTCCAAAAAAGTGGCTTCTCTTCTGGAGGAATGAGACTGGCCTGAAATTTGATATGTGTTTCCTTCTGAACCCTTTGGCAACTACCTTTGAGAGAGCAGGTCTCCCATGTGCAGCATTGTCTGCTTACAAAACCTTCTCCTTGTGAGAGTGAGTTGCTCCAAAAATTGAATGTTTATTTTAGTTCATGTATTCTCCCTGCGTGGCATCATGAGTTCTCATTTTTACTTTCTCTAGGTTTCATACTTGTTGTTGATTTAACCTTATCAACCTCAAACTTAACTAAGAATGAAGAGAAGGAAAAACAAGGTTATCTTCCATGTTGCACCCTATTTTATTTTTCTGTGTTCCTCTATTTCAAATCACTTTCATTATCTTCTTCAACTTCCTATTTGTGTGTGTGTGTTTTCCTTTTCGTTTTTTTCTGGAAACAGGGTCTCACTCTGTCACCCAGGCTAGAGTGCAGTGGTACAATCAGGGCTTACTGCAGCCTTGACCTGCAGCCTTGACCGTGGGGGCTCCAGTGATTCTCACTCAGCCTCTCAAGTAGCTGGGACTACAGGCATGCAACAAACTCCACACCTGGCTAATTTTTTTTTTTTTTTCATTTTTTGTAAAGGTGGGATCTCCTTATGTTGCCCAGCCTGAACTTCTAGTACTAAGTCTATTCTAAACATTAATCTTAAAAGAAAATAAAAGGCCTTTCGTTTTCTTCTTATCACCACTGCTCCCTCCTCCCATCACCCTCCTTCAAAATGAACGTTTTAATAATCACTGAAATGCCAGACTTAAGTACTGGAAACCCTACAGTCAACATGAACAGGGGAGGAAGATCCTTTCGGGCCCTCAGCTGCCCCTGCCCTGGCTTTTTAGGTACCACAGAAAAACCACCCTGAGCATAGCTCTTTAAACAACCTTCTTCCTGGAGGCAGGAGGAACTTTTTCCTAGGCTCTAAGCCCCAGCCAAATAGTATATTTAATTTTCTGGTATTTAACAGATGTCTATATGGATACTGAGTCAGTATTGATATGGAGGCAAACAAATTGGGCTTTTGGAACCACAAATGTGACAAGACAGATAAGATCCCTGCATTCTGATGGGGAGAGACAAAGAATAGAAAAGGTCATTTTTAAAGCGTGATTACAAGTGAAGAGGGACTTGAACTGGGTTGTATGTCTCCAACCTGAAACGGGGGGCGGTCAGAGAAGGTCTCTGAGGGGATAACATACCAGCCGAGTTTGCAGAAGAAAAGAGCCCGTTTATGCAGCAGTTCAGGAGAATGTTCCAGGGCTGAGAACAGCAAGCACAGATGCCCCAAAGAGGCAGAGTTTTGTCTCTTTGATGAGCAGAAAAGCCTTCCCTGCCTCCAGTCCATTTGTTAAATGCTGTCAGAAAATTATACTCCTTTTCTCCAGAGCACTTCCCTTGGTTCATAATATATTTGTTACTATTACGTTTAGTTAATGTCTGCCACTCCCAATACATTTTAGCGAATAGTTATTGTTTACTGTGTTCCCAGCACTGAGCTTGCAGCAGTGCACAAAACAAAGCCCCTGCTTATCTTCCTGCATGTACATGTGTGTAAACAAATGGCGAAAAAAAGGATCAAGAAAATAGGAACGTTTGGGATTGCCTACCAGTGTAATAGCACCACACATTCTAGGCCGACATTCGTTGAATGAATGTTCCTAAGGAAAGAAACGTAACGTACAACCTGTACACGTAATAGGATCCTAAATATAAGTTTGGACATAGATACACCTGAAGCGCATATAAAGTCAGAAGGAAATAGTCCAAAATATTAAAAATAGTTGTCCTGTGATTCTGTTCGTTTTGTTTAATAAGCATGTATTTCTTAGCTTTTTTTTTTTTTTTCTAGATAGGGTCTCACTCTGTCACCCAGGCTGGAGCACAGTGGCATGATCACAGCTCACTGCAGTCTTCACTTCCCAAGCACAAGCGATCCTCTCACCTCAGCCTCCAGAGTAGCTGGGACCACAGGCATACACCACCATGCCCATCTAATTTTTGTATTTTTTGTAGATATGGGGTTTGCATGGGGTTTTGCTTGCCCAACTCCTGGGCTCAAGCAATCACCCCACTTGGGCCTCCCAAAGTGCTGGGATCACAGGCATGAGCCACTGCACCTGGCCTAGTATGCATTTTTAATAGTATTATTCCATTCAATGAAATACAAAACAAATTTAGTGGGATGGGCTTCAGCTTTAGTTTATGAGTTGCAGGGAAAACAGATTAACATAATTTCCTTTCCTTTGTTAGGATACTAATTTCTCAATAGGTTTGGTTACCAGTGTTTTTTAGGTTTCTTCACATCTCTCAAATATGACTCAAACAATGAAAAGAAGGAAAATTATGTCAAAAAGCCATTAGGTAATGGAATCAGAGAGTGTCTACATTGGTTGGGAACAGGAAGATGACTCCATGACCCACCCAAGTCCCAAAAAACCAGCTAGTTAAAAATCAAGACCAATAGGATCTCAGGCAACACGGAGACTGTTCACAGAAGGCACAAAACGCGTGGCGTGCCCTTACCAGCATCTCTAACCCCAGGCACTGAGAACCTGTTCTCACCCAACATAACCCCCCTAGCCCCAGAGTCCACGCTCACACCATTCAAAGCAAACAGTGAGCTGTCTTGTCCACCGTGAACTCTGAAGGGCAGGCCACTTGCACACAACACAGCACGCTCCCAACACCAGGCCAGGCCCCTGATCGCCCAGCACAGCCCATGCCAGCCCAGCCCATGGGGCACAGCGGACGGACGCGCCGCAGCACTTTCTGCAGATACTGCCGAAGTGCTAAGGAACACCCGGCTCACCAAGGCACCAACCGCCCCGCCCAGGGAACACATGTTAAACTCTCACCGGCGGCACAGCACGGGCCCTAGCAACACTCCCACGCACCCGTGCACTCCAAAGCAAGCCCTTACCAGGGGCACCCAGTGCGCGCTCCACTTGCCGACTGGACTCAATCCCGAAAACAAGGTGCAGGCTTTTGTTGGGGGCGCAGCCAGACCCTACGTAAATTCGGGCCGCGCACATCACTCCAGCAAACAAGCTTCACCTCGGGCTCTAAGTGGTCCCCGCATCCTCCGCCACACACCCCAGGGATCTGCGCACTGCGCTCCTCGGAGAACCCTGGCCTCGCCCTCTACCCCAAGCCGGCAGGACAAACGGTCAGTCCCGCCCCGCGCCTCCTGCCCAGCTGATCCAGCAGAGTTCTAGCTTCACCGCTGACGCGCGAACCCGCCCCGGGATCCTACCAGAGCAGGAGGACCGCAGCAACACCAGGGCCGCCAGAAGCAACCCAGGAAAACGCCAGGAAGGAGAGGGACACTCGCGGCGGCTGGGAGGCGCCATGCGCGTCGCGGAAGAAGCCGTCATTTATCCGGAGGTAAGCAGAGAAACCGGGAGCCAGCTGAGCAGGGAAGTCCCTTGTGAGTCCGCTTACGGGACGCAACAATCCCCAAACTCACAAAGTGCCCACAGCCTCACAGCGGGTGGGCGTGGCCTGAGCCGCGCCCGAGGCGGAAGTGAGTAGAGGCCCCGGGGCGGTGGGGCCAATCGGCGGACCGCTGGGCGGGGCCTTGGCGCTCAGGGACAGCCCGTTGGCCTCCTGGAGATAGGGCGTGGCCTTGGCAGGGCCTAACCCTGCAGGCTCCCCGGGCCTCGCCTCTTTTCTTGCTAAACCGTAGGGCCACAGTTCTGGAAACCTGAGGCGGCCTGCGAGAAAGGGCTGGGTCACCGCCAAGTTTGTGACCCTGGAAGGGTAGAAAGAAAACTAAGCTGCCGTAGGACTGTCTCCGGGAACTCGGGATTCAAGAATAAAGCCCTTCGACCTAAAAATAGAGATCCAGAGGCCAGGACGGGCGTCACTCTGGGCCATCAGCCCTCAGGGTTAGTTTTATCCTGGGGCACTGCAGGCTGTCCGGACTGCCTGGGCCCTTACACGGTATTTGCCATTAGACATTATTAGGAGCAGTATTTGAGTTTTTCTTGCTTGGATGCCTGCTGCTGAATCGTCTCTGGCCTTCTTGTTTTCAGTCTCAAAGGTTTGGCTCCTGCACTCCCAGCCCGTAAGGTAATTTGCTCTTTGCTCTCCTCCCTGGAGAGTAGCCCCGCTGGAATCTAAATTATTAAGCGACATCAGGCCCTTAGCATATTGGGACTCTGGGGCCCTTGCCCTTGAGCGACTAAATGTTTTTTGAAGATGAAATATACATGCATGAACAATGTAAGGACAAGGGTGTCCTAAGTGCCAAATTCTTGGAAGCAATAAATGCAGGAGGATTGGGATGGGTAGAAATTGTTAGGTTAAGTGGATAAGGGGGAGAACTTTCTTTTTTTGTGAAACAGTCTCAGGAACAATGCTGGAAAATTAAGAATGAGCAGGATTGATTTGTAGCGTTGTGAGTCAACCAGTGTGACTGGTAAAAGGGGAAAAAAGGGACGTGACTGGCATTAAAAGATGAAACAAAAAGTTGACATTTCTTCCTCTCAGATTGGCACAGAATTAAAACGTCAGCCAATGTAAGTGAACGTGTTGCAGGGGGACCAGCACTCTGGTCTTAACATAGCTTTTCAGTAAGTTAAAAGTCTTAAAGTGGACATGACTTCTGTTAGGCTGTCAGTTCCCAGAGAAATCATCAGAGCTGTGAGCAAAGATTTATAATTTTGGAAAAAATGTAAACCCTAAGTGTCTAGCAAAAGTAATAAGGAGTTCTTGGTAATTACCTTTGTGTGATGGTATTCTATTCAGTGACTCTTGCAAAAGAATACCAAGTATGAGAAACTATGATATAATCGTCAGTGGAAAAAGCAGAGTCCAAATTGGCATGTGCCTTTTGGCATTCCTTTTATTTAAAAAAAGTACCGTATTGATACATAGATACGTAAAGCAACTAGGAATACAACAAAACTAACAAGGGTTGAAAAGACTATAGATATTTCACTTTCCTTGTGCTTTTCAGTTTTCTGCTTTCTATGTTGACCTTTTGTTACATTTAGAATAAGGTAAAGTAAATTTATTTTAAAAAATCAAACCTATGTATCAGGGGCTGTTTTGTTCATAGAATTACGGGATTAGAACTTGTATTACCCAGGGTTAACATATGAGAGAGAGGACGATGAGGAACTGGGTGCTCAGTGTATACACCTAAAATGGGTCTTATAGAATTATACAGTTTAAATGTATTTAACACAGTTCTATAACCGACATGTACTGAAGACTCTCTGGGTTCGCCAAACCATGGAATTTCCTCTTCCTGTCAGACCAACGAAAATTTTTAAATTCTTGGCAGAGATTATAAGACAGTAAGTGTGGTGGTATGTCAAATCAACATCTTAGTATCTTGGATTATAAAATTCAGACACTCCATGACTACAATTAAAAGAGGTATAACTGAAGAGATAGTAAATAGGAAACCCAATGAGGATAAATTATTACTTCCGTTAATGTATGGTGTGAAAGAGTGATATGACAGACACGTTCTGTGGCTCAGTGCCAGCACTCATTTGTGAAACTGCATAGTTTATTTATTGTTCTTTGCAATAATAAATATTAAAAATTCTCCACCTATTTTCAGGCTTTGAAGATTTTTTTTCTCTAGAGAAGTTTTATTATAAACTATAGAGGGAAAAATAGTGTTTGATTTCCTAGTTTCAGGTGTCAGATTAGATTCAAATATTGGTATTTTATTGAAACTTTCTTCTAATTAGTAAAATTTTTATCCCTGGGGTTAATCAAGCCATTATTAACATACTGGAAAACTTTCACATTAAATATTTAAAGCTTATTTTTATTTGAATCAACTGAGGCTTCATTTGAATGGTTCTGAGACTGGTTCCCTACTTTTTGGATAAGTTTAATGAGTCAGGGATAGAGTTTTCTTATATCTACAATGCCAAAATCTGTAGTAGGTGCACAATGAATAGCTGGTAAATATTGGGTGAAATAAATGGTTCTTGTGGTCAAGTGCATTTAACACGTCTCTGCCAATTCTCCCCCAGCATGACTTTACTAAATGCCCAAAAAGTTCTTAGATATTTTGATTTAAATAATTTTTGACCCTAGGAAACAAATCCAGATCTCTCTGTAAAAGGGATAACTACAACTGTCTGCACAGCAAACTTTCCTAAACCAGGTGTTGAAGGCTTACTTGTGAAGTGGACCTGTGGTCTATCCCTTAGCCTTGAGATCATTTAGTGACTGAGTTCAAATGGAGGGTGTGGACAATGAACTTCCTGAGGCCTTAACAGGGGTAAAAATTAACGTCAAGGCTTTGAATGAAGTAGGAGATTAAACACTAACATTTCCTCTAACTGCCCCTAAAGATTTTGTCAAACTGCCACCGAGAAGAAAAGGAGAGAATGGAGGGTATGTGTGTTTGTGGACCAGGTTTAGAACTATGTGATCTCCTTGAAGGGCCTTATGAAGGGCAGTGTGGGTGGAGGTTGGTGTGCGGGGATGTCATTAAACTGTGGCCAACTCTTTTAAAATTTGATGTTAGGTGGTTTTTTGCCTCCCAAATTAGCATACTGTATTTAAATTATGCTTTTCAGGAGCAGGTGTAGCAGCATGAATGGGCCTCTATTTGTACCTGCTAAGCACCTGCCAGCCAACTGACCTTTATATTTAGCTGTGTCTGATTTTCTCTTCTGTTACCATCAAGAGCATTTCATGGCATTACACACCAACACAGGGATTGTGAAAACACTCAGGTGCAGAAAGAAATGCACTTCTCAGAAGGAATGGTTTCCTCTTGGCATTTGAAGGCTTTTAAAACACAAGTATATTACAAACGATATTCTCTAAGTAGATTTGGAAAATAAGGTATTTTATTCCTTTCTCATTGTAATGGTAAGACAGAAAATTTTATTTAAGCATTATAAACTTTACACACTTAAGCGAGCTAAAAAAGCAAACAAAACAAAGAATGTTAGGGCTAGGAATAGCTTCAGAGAGCAACTGGTGTCCAGCCCCTTCTGATAAGGCTCTGACGTGTGGAGGAACACCAGGTCCTTGGCCTCGCATCAAGTTGGATAAAATGACAGGGACACAAGTGGAGTGGTTTCAATGAGTGGAGAGTTTAATAGGCAAGAAAGGAGGCAGAAGAAAGAAGGAAGAAGCTCCCCTGTACAGAGATGGAAGGAGGGCAACTTCAGAGCCGAGAGAGGAGACCCCAAGTGGGGCAGAAACCAGCTAGGTATATGTAGAGGCTGGAGGATGTGGTGCCTGATTTGCATAGGGCTTAGCAGATTTGTTTCACTAGACATGTCATTCACCCAGCCCATGAAAAAACTGGCCTTCCCACTCTAGCCTTTTAATATGCAAATGCAAGGCACCATGATGTTCTACGCACATGGGTTTATGTGGGGTCATGTTGCCAGGCAAATGTGGAAGTAAGGGCAAGAGGACAAGGATGGGAATCACCATGTTGGGTGGAACCAGTTTCTAATGGCCTGTATTTGTATATCGAATATTGCCCACCTGGCTTTAAGGGCAGGGGCTTTCCTTCCAGACAGGAAATCTATCTGGAGCTGCTTTAAAAGAAACAAAAACTTTCCAAGGACCCCTCTTCCTCTCTATCTGCCTGAAATAGTTTCTTGGCCAGGCAGGGTGGCTCACACCTGTAATCCCAGCACTTTGGGGGCCGAGGCAGGCGGGTCACTTGAGGTCAGGAGTTCAAGACCAGCCTGGGCAATATGGCGAAACCCCATCTCTAATAAAAATACAAAAATTAGCAGGGCGTGGTGGTGGGTGTCTACAATCCCAGCTACTTGGGAGGCTGAGGTAGGAGACTGGCTTGAATCCAGGAGGCAGAGGTTGCAGTGAACTGAGATCACACCATTGCACTACAACCCGGGCAACAAGAGTGAAACTCTGTCTCAAAAAATAAAAAGAAAAACTTTCTGAAAAAAACAAAACAACCTTTTTTTCTCTCTCTGTCTAAAAGAATAACTCCTATCACATTTACCCCCTGTGGAGATATCAACTTAACTACTGTTAGGGAGTTTTGGGGTGACAACTTTTCCTGGCTACTTTCTGCTGAAAGGGGCATCAAATGGGGAACACCAGCTAGGGCTCCTCCTGGGGTCAATTTAAGGGTTCTCGGAAATAGGACGTGTCCACTCACGGTCCAGTTTGTAGACCATTTGGAGTTTGATTGCTTCTAGGCGACAAGAAACAATTTGAATTACAGTATTGAGTATACAGTTTTCAAATATTAATACAAGACATACAAGCAAGAGAGGCGTTAATAAAGGGGTTAACCAATTCCATAAAGAAGACTAGAATTAATTAAAGAGGGATTGTAGCTACACGGGACTTTCCTGAGCTTGTTAATGATTTTGCATTTTTCCTGAGCTTGTTAATGATTTTGATCTGATATTTAAATACCTGTAGATTTTCCTGTACATTAGTAGAGGTGTTAATCCAGAAGCAGCATGTTTTATTTAAAAGTGCATCACTAAACCCAAGAAAAAGTCCTAGCAGACTCAGTGATAGTAAAACTTTCATGCTTCCTTTTTGTCAGTAACTATTATCTTGCTATAAGGATAATAATTAAGCAAAATACACAGCAATGGAAACTCTCTGTCCAATATTTCATTTAGAAGGTGCTACCATGTATAATCTTATTGCAAGAAGTAGAGTGAGAGTATAGCAATCCCCACAAGTGTGATGTAGTCGATAATTTCCATCTAAAATTTTACTTTCTAAGACATAGAATTTCCTTATGTCTTAGAAAGTAAAATTTTATGAAGTTTCTTAGTTTTATTTTCCTAAACAAAGAAACCTCCAGGTTATGGGCACCTTGCTCATTTTCATTACCTGGCAGAATTTGCAGGATGATTGCCCAGAACTAGCATATTGATCCAGATTTTTACATTACTCATCCAGTTTCTTCCAACCTGCAGGAGATCACCATTTGATTCACAGGAATAAGCAGGAGTAATTTAAAATGTAGGCCAAAAGCTTAAAAACAATGAGACTAGGATTTAATGACAAATGTATGCTAAGCTTTGGAGCACAATTTGTCTCACCAGTCCTCATTTTTGGTAAGAGCAAATTATGATAGGACTATGTGTGTTGTTCATAGAATAAACTTTAGTCTTGTACTTGGCCTGGTTATTTGCATAAAGTGCAGCAAGAATCATTTCTACATAAACTTTTTGGATTGGCTTTGATGAAACTCTGTTCTATAAGGAATTCCAGATAAGGCCTTTAAAGCCAAGTCCATCATGGATTTGTATCCTCAAATACCTGTGAGTTGGGTGATCCTCTCCTCTTGAGATCCCAAGATAAACTTGGAGTTCCCAGACCTGTTAGAAAGTGACATTATTTACTGACCATAGGTTAGGAACCCTGGACATGGACTGTGTAGACAAGGTATGAGGCCAGTTCTCCCCAAGGGGCTTTTATTGCCTCTGCATGTCAAGCTTGATTCCTTAAAGGGAAACATACCCTTTCAGTCAAAGCCTTGGTAAAATAACCATTTTCTCCTGTTGTGTCCTGTTGACAAAGAAAAAGGAAATCTTATTGCACTGATGCAAACAACTATATTTCCATAAGTTAAGAGTACTCACAGATGGTCTCCAAATTCTAGAGGAACCAGGCAGAGAAAAATAAACATGCTCCAAATTTTGTTCATGGAGTATACCTTACTCAATTATTAAAGGCCATAAATAGCTTAAAATGAGTTTCCTTGACTCTGAAAAATGAAACAAGGATCAGCAATATTCCAAGCAAAAGTTAAAAAGTTTGCTTTAACTTTCTGAGTGTAGTCCATTTAGTTAACTCTTATTTTGCTTGGTATTTGTGAACATGTCAGTTCTTCATGAGCCCTGTACATCCTTTCTCTATTCCAATGACAATCTTCAGAGCTATTAAAAACCTGCATTTGAGAAGACCTGTTAAAGTCCTTAATATAGCTTGATTATAAACAATGTTTTGAGATGGAAGAAAGCAAGACATTTGTCTATGAATGGCAACATTTCCAGGACAATTACAGTTAAAAATATGACTGACAAAGAAGTTTATTTATCTCCATGGCTTCCAATAACTTTAGCCTTAATTATAATTGATAGCATATACTTAGACAATAGAATTTTGGAAATCCCATACAATTTTGGAACATATATTATTCATCAAAATACAACTTAAAGAAGATTGGACATCATTTTGGCAATCTCAAGTGACTAAGCATGTCAAATAATCTTGTTTACCTCTTTTCTGAATGTTTCAGGGGCCCTTGGAACCATCCAAAAAGCCAGGCATCAGAAAAGACAATTTCGAAACTTGAAGTTTGATTTTGGGATGCCTGTTAAATGTTAGAGGTTTAAAACACTTGATGTTATGAAATAGAATTCCAGATTGCCATAAGTTATTTTGCCAAAATGATGACTCAAAAGGCAAAAACATTTTATTAACCTTTACTATGACATGAAAATCCTATTCAAAGCCAAATTTTACCCTTGCATTAGTTTGTTAATGTTAACCCCAATTTGTTTGAATGAAACCTCATAGATTATTCCATCTAATCTTAACCAGTTTGACGATGAGGTGAAATCTTTACAAACGTTTTATAACCTTATTACTAAAGGGTAGATTAATGTTTTAAGACCTCCTTGCTATGCCTTTATTTCAATGCTCAATTTATGAAAAGACCATATAGATCCTATGGAAGAAGACAGTGTAGTGCTTCTGCCATGCATTTCATTGCAAAACAACCCAAAGCCACTTGGCTTATTTTGTAATTAGCACATCCCCCATGGGAGTCTCATCTCTTAGTTGGGGGTGGGGTGGGATGGAGATGTTTCCATATCTTTCAGGTGGCCAAGAGCATCCTACTCTAATTTATAACTACTATTAACCATCCCTATTTCCAGCCGGGCGCGGTGGCTCAAGCCTGTAATCCCAGCACTTTGGGAGGCCGAGGCGGGTGGAACACGAGGTCAAGAGATCGAGACCATCCTGGTCAACATGGTGAAACCCCGTCTCTACTCAAAATACAAAAAATTAGCTGGGCATGGTGGTGCGTGCCTGTAATCCCAGCTACTCCGGAGGCTGAGGCAGAATTGCCTGAACCCAGGAGGCGGAGGTTGCGGTGAGCCGAGATCATGCCATTGCACTCCAGCCTGGGTAACAAGAGCGAAACTCCATCTCAAAAAAAAAAAGTATATTTCCTACCTAGTTATTATACACCAGATCTCTCTCATAATGCTAAGTAGTTTCTAACACCCCCAAAATCCAAAACCATCAGGCAACACAATGCAAAACAGAATACAGCCTTTGATTTTGTGAGGGATCTATCTACTTTTAATTCCTGGAGTTTGGTGAGGAAAACAGAGGTTTTCCCAAAATGGATCTGTGGCGCCTCCTGTGTTTTTCCCAAGGAGTCCCATGCTACCAGAAGTTGGGCCTTCTGGTACCATGCTACCAGTCTTAGGGCCTCTCATGCTTACATTAAGAGTGGTAAGACAGGCCAGGCGTGGTGGCTCAGGCTTGTAATCCCACCAGTTTGGGAGGCCTAGGTGGGCAGATAATGAGATCAGGAGATTGAGAGCGTCCTGGCTAACACGGTGAAACGCTGTCTCTACTAAAAATACAAAAATTTACCTGGGCGTGGTGGCATGTAGTTCCAGCTACTCTGGAGGCTGAGGCAGGAGAATCACTTGAACCCAGGAGGCAGAGGTTGCAGTGAGCCAAGATCGCAGCACTACTGCACTCCAGCCTAGGTGACAGAGCGAGACTCCCTCTCAAAAAAAAAAAAGTGGTAAGACAAAAAATGGAGAAAAACAATTCAAGTGACTGAGAAGAAAAGAACCTTTTTCCAGAAAAGCTTTTAAATATACCTGTAACTTGAATATCCACTTTTAATTAAACTGACCACTCTTTAAGAGCATATTTTTAAATTCCTTGTTACTTGACTTTAGCCATGCCAAGCAGTTAAGATTTCTGACTTTTGAACCTTACAAAAAGTTGCCTCACAGGTGAAACTGACCAGCCTTAATCAGGTTATGATTTAAGCAGGAGTGCACAAGGCATTTTTTAAGGGGTGATAGGCAGCTATTGAAACTATCATTGCAAAACTGTGACTGAGACAGTGAAAGAGATCCAACCCAAACAACTCCATTTTGTTTCCAGCCCCCAAGCTGTTCTTGCCCATCCCTGGGCATAAGTTGAGCCAACTTTGTCAGGAGCCTGGTTTGCAGTTTATAGTTTAAAACAAAGATGATAACAGCCCCTTATGAAGATATGCTTCCTTCTTGCCTGGGGACCAGACCAAGAAACTAGCCATAAGATTAGAAGCCATGGCTTAGGGGTCATGCAGCTGGAGGCTGCAAGACTTTTTCTCTCTGTAAACTGCTCTAAAGATCAGTGCTTAAGATATTTTGTAAACCCTGCTCCTGATGGGTTAGCTGGCACCACCCTGATTGACAAACTGGTTTATCTGACTTTGTGACCCTCACCCAGAAACTGACTCAGCACAAGAAGACAGCCACCATTGTAAAATGGCTGAGACCGAAACAAAGTATTGCCGCAAGGTTACAGGTTATGTTCCTAAGGACATTAAACAAGATGGAGGCTGTAGCCAAGTTTGTTACTGACCATTTTGTTGGGCTGGCTTTAACAGCAGGCTTATGAGGTCCTGGGCCTACATCCTAACCTAAGATATCCTTTCTTTGACGGAACTATACAGAAAGACATGTAAAGCACATCAGATTGTCTACAGCTTAAGACCAACCTCACAAATCCTTTTTCATTAATTATAAATTTACAGAGAACATAAACTATGATCCTTATTATCCCTTTTACTGGTTTGCACAGGGAGAGAGAAGCCAAAAGCCCAACTGGTAAGAAATTTTTACCCTTTTGTTAGCATATCAGGCTTCTGAGTTTCCTTCCCTCAGCTCAACTCTAAGCAAAGCATTTTAAGATGTAGAAAATAAACCTTTCCCAGGTTGGAAGAACATTATAAAAGAGATAGAATCCATTTTAAACTGCAAAAGAAGAAACAACACCTTAGAAAGGAGTTCCAGTTAGGGTTGTCAAGAGCTATTAGCTCTTCCTATTGGGAGTGGTGTTTCCCCTATTTCTTTGGCTTCCTTATTTCTTGTTCCCCTTTTGGCTTACTATAGGAGACATATTGTTCATCTCCAAAATTCTCTTCTCCTTGCAGAGCTGCCTGTTTTAGCTATAGTTAGGGTTTGGCTTAGGAGCAGCACAACAGTCCTCTATGAGAGGTCAAATACCTGAGTTAAATTTTAAGCTTCTGTATACCTCTCAGGGTTGTCAGAAAATCAACCTAAGACTCCTTTTACTTGTCTAAGGTTCTGCAATGAGAAGGGAACTTGAAGGGGCCCCAGATAAGGGGGACCCTTGGATGGTTCCCCTGGAACTTGTTTCTTTAATTTGGGGGAATTAAAAAGGCCATTCCCTTGTGCAAAAGAAAATAAGCCATTTTTTCTTTGAAGTTTCAGGGTTGAAGGAGTCCCAGTGCTTTAAAATACACTCCAGGGGACTGCATGTTAAAAGACTGTTACCCATCTAGAAAGAGAAATGAGAACAAAAGCATCCTTTTAGTCTCCTTCCTTTCGGTATGTGATCCAGATGGAGACAAAATAGTAGAGGGCATCCCCCCAGCTATATTCTCTCTGGGATTCCTGGATTCCTGGCACGCATTTAAATGTACCGTCCATGACCACACACGTGATCCTCCAAGCTATGGCACTAGAGGAAATAAACTTTTGGGCCTTAGTTGCGCCATCCCCAAGCTGTCTTAGTCCTCTGCCTTTTATTTCCCTTTGACCTCCTAGACTTTTGTGGCCTGTGTGCCTTCCTAAATGGATATCAAGAAAAATCACCTAATTGGGCAAGGCCCCTTTAAGGGAGGGGTCATGTTAGATTGAGCTCTATATCCTGCTATTATAGCAGGTGCTAAAGCATTTACCCATTGAAAAATGGTTTTGGTTAACTTCTGGACTTAAAATCCCCTCACTAACTTGGACAGGGCTGAGGGGTGAAAAAAAAATTAAGAAAATCCCCTCACTAATTAAGTACTATCTTAATGGGAGACAGAATAGATACCTTAAAGGGATTTAGGAATTGAATGGTCATTTACCTGCCAGTGGGACAACATTGAGACTAAAATTTGGCTATAGAAGACATCTTACTCTTAACTGTTAAAACCCGAGCTTTCCCATCCACAGAAGTAGCAGTAGAAAGGTGCAAAATGGAAGAGTTGTGAAGCTGCAATGTGTCTCATGAAGACGATTTTTATTTCCACGACACAGACACACATGAAGTGGTTGTAAGGCGCAGAGAATTTAATAGGTAAGAAAGAAGGGAGAAAAAAGGAAGAAGCTCCCCTGTAAAGAGACAGAGGGAGGAGGCACAAGAGCCAAGAGAGGTGACCCCAAGTGAGACCGAAACCAGCCAGGTATATGTAAAGGCTGGCGGTGTCAGTGTCTGATTTGAATGGAGCTCAGGTGATTGGTTTGACTAGGCATGTCATTCACATAGCCCATGAAAAACGCGCCTTCCCACCCTAGCCTTTTAATAAGCAAATGTAAGGCACCATGATGTTCTACACACACGGAGATATGTGGGGGCAGCCATGTTGCCAGACACATGTTGGACAGCAGTGGGAATCACCATGTTGGGTGGCCCAGTTTCTAAAGGCTTACATTTGCATATTAAAGGTTGCTGGCCCAGTTTTAAGAGCCAGGGCTTTCCAGCTAGACAAGAAACATTTCTGGAGTTGCTTTAAAAGAAACAAAAAGGTTCCAAAGACCCCTTTTTCTCTCTATCTGCCTAAAATAATTTCTTAATAACTCCTATCACACAGCTTTTCAGATGAAAATGTAAGGTCAAAGGTCAGCAGCAGGGCTTAATAATACAAGTTAGGCAGTATAGTATTTTGCTTACAGTAATATGCCGTATTTCCCATTACAACTGATGTAATCAAAAAAATATTTTGGCTTTCTTGCAATTAAAAAGTCACAGGTGAGGTTGCAGTGAGCCCAGACTGAGCCACTGCACTCCAGCCCCAGGGCAAGACTGTCTCCAAAACAGAAGTCACAGGCATTGCATACTTATTCATCAAATTGCCACTGACCTACTCCATTCTGGAAAATAAAGGACATGGGATTTTTTTTCTTGTGATGAGAAATTTTAATTCTAAAAAAGACCAATTCCCACTTCATTTTTAGTCCTCTTTTAAAAGATACTTCTTCAAAATCCCAAGAAATAAAAGAAATTTGCTAAAGATCCAGCTAATTAGAAGTCCTACTGTGTATCTTTACACTGCCTGCTTGCCCTTCTTTTCTTGGTGACCTAGCTGTATGTTCTTTGCCCATTTTTGTGGGGTGGAAAGAAGTTTGGTCTTTGAATTTTTAAGTACTCTCTAAATAATAAAGCAATGACCCTTTGTGATGTAAGTCGCATTTTTTTCTTGTACTTTATCAGTTGATTTTGCTTATGCTGGGTTTTTTTCCTGACTTTCAGGATTTTAAATTGAAATTCGAGTTCATGTCTCTCTCACTCCTTATATTGCTGTCAAAGTAAATGCAGCAGAATTCACCTTTAAAGCAACTATTAAACAGAATTACACAGACATGAGCAGTAGTCATACATAAAGCTCTCCTTAATGAGCCGATTCCAAATTATAAATATTTTAAAAAGGAAAAACAGCCAACTTGTAAACCAGAAATTCCAGGCAACATATTATTCCTTTAAGTAATCCAAGCTATTTTCTACTCTTAAATGCAGTCTTTTCCCCTGAGTAGATACTGTGTGCTTTTAGCACGTGGCAGAAGGCTGGGGGTTTCCCAGTGATGCACACCAAGAGGGAGGAGCTTTGCTAGGGGGAAGTGGCAGCGTCTTCAAGTGCACATGTCTGCATCTCCGTGAAGTCACTTCAAAGACGTTATGAAGCTTAGATCTTATTCTGTTGAAATCAGTTGGCTCCTTTCCAACCCAACATTTTATTCGAGATGTTCTTCAGCGTTATGGTACTTTGTCAAGGAAGGACACTGAAATAACAGGATGGCTTCATTTAGTTAACAGTATGGTCGACAATTGAATTTCCCAGAATTTATAGACTGATAATCATGATGCTAGCAATCCATATAAATTACAAGGTCATTGGAAGTGTTTATTGCCCTCTGTGATGGCTACCATGTAGGGCACAAGAAATATAGCGTAAATGGAGACATTGAGTAGATAAGAGAGAGATTAATGAGTAACTTGACCTTTTCCTTTTTTAATTTTGTCCAAAGAAAAAGTGTTCTCAGAGTTGTGCTACTAAATAAAGAAATAAGGAGCCTCATTCCATTCTAGAAAATGTACAGGTCACTCAACAAAAGAAGTGTTTTTTTGAGTCTCTTGTTCTAAACCATGGTGGTAGCAGGGGCAGGAACAGGAACTTTTTCTGGAGGGGTCATCTTGGAGGGGGTCAGCTTCAGAAAACAGTCCTCCTCTTCTAATTACAGTCAAGAATAAGCTACAGTGGTGGATTTAGTACAAGTTACCCAAATGCTTCCCCAGTCATACAGGAGCCTCTCCTTTTAAGGCCAGGAATGGTGTCCTTCCATCAATGGACAGACCTCCTGATGAGGCCCTCCAGCTCATTTGCTCCTCGGTTATTACTGCCACCAGATTCTTCATCGTCATTCTCCTTTCATTTCACTGGACTTCCCAGCATCACTTGTTACCTGTGTTTTTCCAAACACTCTTATGTCTAAAACACAGCTATGTCTTTGAGCCTGCCTCTTTACTCTGCCCCAGAAGCTGGGTGCACAGGTCTTAACGCTTGGCACAGATTCTAAGTCACATCTCATCTACCGTATTTTGACACAGATGATTCACTTTGTTCCAGTGGAACACTGGTCCAAATTCCAAGCTTAAAAGGGAAAGTTGAAACAAAAATTTTAAGGACTTTCTACCTACTAAAACACGATCAGTCGTCAGTGCACACAACTTGAGGTGTACTCTGATGTAAAAGAGTATTTTCAAAAAGATGAGGGTAAATGAAATTTTCATAAATTCATTTCTCAAATGATTAACATGCTCAATTGATTATTGAACATTTCTCATTTGATTATACTCAGAGATTTGGGGAGATTTTAAAGAAATGTCTATTCAACAGAAGGTAATTTAACATGGGAAAGAAAACACATAAGCACAAGGTATGGTACATTGTCAGTGGATAAGAATGTGTGAACAGTAAATAAGCAAGTAAATGAATGCAATAGAGTTAACAGGCCAACAACACATGAAATGTCAATTATTATAGGTTATGTACTGTTACGATGATGATAGAAATGTTTGTCATTTGGTGAAAGAAAGCAGGATTCAATATGTGCAATCAATATAATCTCAAGATGTACATGCACATGTAAAATAATATGAAAAGAAGCTTAAGAATTCTGCTAGGTAGAGGTTATTGCAGGTAATTTTTACATTAATTTGTATTTTTTCCTAAAGAGAGACATCATTTTGGACTAGAGTTATTTGGGAGAGCATCTTGGTTGAGTGAATTCCGAGCTGGGTTAATGGAATATAGATAAAAACAAAGATGAAAAAGGCATATGAGATCAACAAGTATGATATCATTTAAGCAGATGTGCTTATTAAATTCAGTCTTAGTTCAATGGACTGAATGTTTGTATCCTTCCAAATTTATATGTTTGTATCCTTCCAAATTTATATGTTGAAAATTTATAGGATCTATGTTGAGGGCAGAGCCCTTGTGAATGGGGGAAAAGAGACCCCCAAGAGCTCCCTTACTCCTTTCCTCTGCTGTGAGGATACAAAGAGATTGAAGTCTATCAACCAGAAAGTGAGCCTCACCCGACACTGAATTTGCAGTTGCGTTGATCTTGGACTCTTTATCCACCAGAACTACGAGAAATAAATGCTTGGTTTTTAGAAGTTAAATAATGTTTTTAAGAGACAGGTTCTTGCCATATTTCCCAGGCTGCCTCAAACTCATGGCTCAAGCATTTCTCCTGCCTCAGCCTCTTGAGTAGCTGGGACTATATGCAGGTTCCACTGTGCCCTGCTTAAATGCTTATTCAAACTGCCCAGTCTATGGAGTTTTTGTTATAGTTGCCCAACTATATATACCAACAGACTAAGACAGTTGGTATATTAGAACAAGGAGCATCCCAGCACTTTGGGAGGCCGAGGCAGGTGGATCATGAGGTCAAGAGATCGAAACCATCCTGGTCAACATGGTGAAACCCCGTCTCTACTAAAAATACAAAAAATTAGCTGGGCATGGTGGCACGTGCCTGTAGTCCCAGTTACTCAGGAGGCTGAGGCAGGAGAATTGCCTGAACCCAGGAGGTGGAGGTTGTGGTGAGCTGAGATCACGCCATTGCACTCCAGCCTGGGTAACAAGAGTGAAACTCCGTCTCAAAAAAAAAAAAAGAACAAGGAGCAGCCTTGAAACCTACAGTAAGTTTACCACAAGTTAAAGATGCACTATGTAACTTCATAGAGAATTATGGCAAAAATTTCCCCTTGAGGTAACACTCTTAGTGGTGTTTAGCTCACTCATTCATTTGATTTATTTATTAAGAATCTCTTTGTTCCAGGGACAGTTTAGATATTGGTGAAGATAAGACAAAAATCCCCCACTTCATGGAGGGAGAGAGGCAATAAACAAGGAACTTAATTATTTAATGAATTATAATAAAAGAGGATAATTCTGTGAAAAAAATAAAGCGGGATCAGAGAGACCAGGAATGTGGGGGTTAGGGTGATACTGTCTTTACTAGGATAGTTAAAGTAGGTCACCTTGAACATTATAAAGAAAGTAAGATCATTTCTGTGTGTGTATTCCCTCTATTTCTGTCTCATGTTAGTTTCTTTTCTTTTCTTTTCTTTTGGTTTTTTGAGACAGTGTCTTGCTCTTGTTGCCCAGGCTGGGGTACAGTGGCTTGATCTCGGTTCACTGCAATCTCCACCTCCCGGGTTCAAGCCTCAGCCTCCTGACTAGCTGGGATTACAGGCGCCTGCCACCATGCCTGGCTAATTTATTGTATTTTTAGAAGAGACAGGGTTTCATCATGTTGGCCAGGCTGGTCTCAAACTCCTGTCCTCTGGTGATCCACCCACCTTGGCCTCCCAAAGTGCAGGGGTTTTAAGCCTGAGCCACCACACCCAGCCTCACTTTAGTTGCTTAGGAAGTCTTCAGACTGATTCTGCAGTTTCTGAATTGTCTCCCAGGTTTGAGGAAGACTTCAGCCTGCATCTATCCAGGCCTGGTGTGATTGTGGCTCTCCCATAAAGCAGGCCATCTTGTTCTACACTATCCTATCACTGTCAGTCTTTTTTAGCTCCAGGATAGATGGCTCTTCTGACTTGATGACCACTACGATACTCTCCACTTATATTCTGTGTTTCTCACATGCTTCCTTCTTCTTTACTATGAGGCCGTTTATGCCCTTGTCTTTCTGTGAGGAAAGCTTGAGCTCCAGATAAGGAATAATCAGCCCTCCTCACACAGCCACAAGACTTAGCTTATTGGCCACACCCACTCAAAGAGGAATGACTGCATGATTGATTAACCAGCCCAACTCCTTCCAAGATAAGGCACCTCTGCCTTCTGATTATTTAAGTTTATTACTTTTTCTTCCCAATTTTAGCTATGTGTTATTTCTAACATGAGAATCAATGGTGTTTGGTTATACTAATGCACTCACTATCCTGAAACCCCCTTTGCAAAGATTATGAGAATGAAAGAAATCTAACATGGCTGACTCCATCTTGCTTCGAGCCTCACAGGCAGGCTGGCTTCACTCATTCCTGGATGTAGGCCAAGGTAACCATGAAAGGAATTTAGTTTATAATTTAACTTTGGAGCAACGATAATAACAGTCTCTATCTAAAACTAGCTCCCTCCTTGCTCAGGACCTGAAAACTTATGAAAGCCAAAAAGATTAGGATTATGAAAGGGACCTGAACTCTGCTAAGATACAGGCATAGTTTTTATAATCCACTACTGCTCATCAGGAGTCAGGTGGCCAGAGGTCAGAAGATTTGTGACTTCCCTAATTGCTCCTATAGATAACATCACTACTGTAGAGTGTATGAGTGGTCTCTGAGACGTTTTTCAGATTTTTGCATTTGGCAACTGACTGACTCTACCTGGACCTGTGACTCATGACTCAACTGGTCCTGTGGCTTCTACCTAGAGGTGGATACAGCACATGAGGACTGTTTCATCATCAACCAATCAGTAGTACCCATTCCCTAGCTCCCTTCCTACCAAATTATCTATAAAAACCCTAGCCTCTGTGTTCTTGGGGTGACTGAGTGATAACTCCAGTTCTTCCACATGGCTGGCCTTTGTAAATTCAACTCTTTCTTTACTGCAATGTACCATGATCTCAGTGAACTGATTTTATCTGCACAACAGGCAGGAAGCAGCTGTCAGACAGTTACAATCCCAAGAAGTGAAACAGGCCAAAAATGAAAGTTTAGGAAATGTTTAGAATTTTTCCTGGATTACACATATATAACAGGTTTTAGTGTGGGTTACATTGATGTTTGGGAGGTTTACCTCCCTGACCTTTAAGTGTAATGAGGATCATGATCTTTCTTTCTGCCACATCCCTGGTACCCCCGTCAGAGAGAGAATGGTTGTGCCATGGACGTTACCCTTTAAAAGAATATGAAGAAAATAGGCAGGTTTTACAGGACGAAAACATGAAGAAATGGTACATGCTCTGAAGTTGCTTACACTACACAAGATAATCATTTTTAAAGAAATAATTTTATGAAATGGTTGAGTCATGTTTATGCCTGAAGATGATTAATATGAGGAAATGATCTTCAATCATGTGGGTGAAAGAAATCAATAGTCAGGCTTGTGAATCTTACCCTCCAGATGATTAACAAGGAATAGGCCATAAAGTATGAAGAATGACATCATTAGAAGGGTGGAGATATTCAAATATCTTCAAGATATTAAAGTATCTTGAATATTTTCAAAAGGAAGAAATAATCATTTTCCCTATGTGGTTTTAATTAGAGACTGGTATAAATACTGAAAATTAGAGTCCCAACTTCTTTAAATCAGATTTAATATTTTTTTTAATTAACTCTCAATTGTAGTGGTACTTAATGAGAAACTTTAAGAGGAAAAAATGTATTGACACAGAACATTGTTAAGGTAAAGTGCCCAGCTACTTACCTTTTGTTTTCATAAAGAAAAAGAGCAAAGAATATTTATATGTCCAGCCATAAAATATAGAGAACATTAGTTAGGAAGGATAATGATTTAAATTTAAATCTTGACTAATTCAGTATTTCCCATGAAATTGACTAGGCTGTTTACAGCAAGATCTACTATGACAAACTACTTTTTAAAAAGTGTATTGGCATCTCTCTGAAATATGTAAACTTCAATTTCTGTAAAGCTTGTTGTAGGAAACTGCACTTGTTTAGATTATTTGCTATAGAAAACTGTTCACTTAAAAGTTATAAATTCAGTTTTTTATGGGTATAGACTTTGCTCATCAACCTTATAACATTGCTAGTATTGATTCTGGCCTCATTAATATTGTTATAATTCAATCAACCAGTACAAAAGCTGTATACTCTTTCCTGTCAATAAAGACATTTCTTTATTCAGATCTTAATTTTTGGAAGTTTTTTCTTTTTTTTAAGTTTAAAAAGTTAATGGTGGTCTGGTACAATGGCCCACGCCTGTAATCCCAGCACTTTGGGAGGCCAAGGCAGACAAATCACTTGAGACCAGGAGTTCGAGACCAGCCTGGCCAATGTGGTAGAACCCTGTCTCTACTAAAACTATAAAAATTAAACAGGCATAGTGGCACATGCCTGTAGTGGGAGCCTGACACATGAGAATTGCTTGAATCCAGAGGTGGAGATTACTGTGAGCCTAGATCATGCCACTGCACTTTAGCCTGAGTGACAGAGTGAGACCCCATCTCAAAAAAAGAAAAAGTTAATGGTGTTTACAAAATATTTGTTGATATGTTAAAATATTAAAAGTCTCAATTCTTCCCCGTCAGCCTATGTATGCCATATGATCTGTGTGCCATAAGAGACCCAATCTAACTTCTAGTACTATGATAGGATCTGGGCTTAGAGGTCAGTGTCTGCAATGTCTTAGCAAAACTAGGATATCAACAGCTAATGAACACCTTTTTAAAAACTCCTTTTGCCTACTTTCACTTTCTGTAAAACTCAACTTCTTCTTAACATGCCGTGTATGTGTGTTTGTGATTTGAAATAGAGTCTCACTTTTGGCGCAACAGTGTAATCTCAGCTCACTGCAGCCTCTGCCTCCCAGGTTCAAGCAATTCTCATGCTTCAGCCTCCCAAGTAGCTGGGTTTACAGGCATGTGCCACCTGGCCTGGTAATGTTTTGTATGTTTAGTAGAGATGGGGTTTTACCATGTTACCAAGGCTGGTCTCGAATTCCTGCCCACAAGTGATCTGCCCACTTTGGCCTCCAGTAGTGCTTGCTGAAATTAGAAGCATGTGTCATCCTACCTGGCCAAAATGCTGGTTTTTTTTTTAATGTTCTTAGTATCCTATATATTTCCTTTAGTGTGAATACCTCTTCATCTAGACTATGTGTCAAGGGCCTTCTTTATAAGAATTACCACATCTGTTTATGTAGCAATGGGTTTGTTTGTCTTTTACTTTCTTTTGACTTCCAGGAGAGGGTAAGTACAGTTTACATTTCTTGGGATAATATGGGTATACTTACCCTTTTCTGGACTTTAGAATTACCCAAGAGAGGAAAATGGTGAATAAAATAAGGAAGATTTTACCAGATAAAGTGCCTAGGCAATAAAACAAGGTAATTAAATGCATGAAGACTATGACTCATAGGTTTTAAACTCTTAGTATCCATTCTCACTACAGATTGTTAATGCTTTTTTTTTTTAAGGTGTAACTATACATTCTGCTTTACTCTGGGTTTCTGTAGCATTAGCCTTACTCCTACAGAGGTATTATAGTTAAGGGGTGAGCTGAGCTGTTTTGTAACCTTTAGTCCAATATCAGCCTTTCCACAAGTAAGCGAAAACCATATGGTGCAGCTGCCCACTGGCTCTCCATGGCCCTGCCCATGTCTCCTGCCTAAGACTCAACACACAGGCATTTCATTGTGACAATACAGGAGTTTTCTCCCTTGTTGAATTATATATTGAGGTTCTTTGTCCATTTATTGATTGTTGAAGTGCACAGTCTCCACAGATAGGTAGATAGCCTGGTTAGACCGAGGCTACCCCATTCTGTGGTCTTGGGCAAGTTACCTGAACCTCTGTGTCTCAGTGTCCATGTGTGTAAAAAGGGATGTAAGAATACTATGCCACAGAGGAAGCAAACTCTATTAGAAAACTATTCTGATATAGGCAGATCACAGATATGGGCTCAGAAGACTGGTCTGTGGCTATTTGTGTGAATGGACACTATCACCATTTGGAAGCATACTCCAGGTTGTAACCCAAAGAAGAAGTTGCATTCTCCTACCACATTCAAATAAAGAATTTTTGACACTGATGAATGATTGATTATTCGTTTGTAATGGTTCAAAGACAGTAAAGAAGCTTTGATGAAGGTTACTCAGTATGCATATGACGATGCCAGTTTCACCATATCCTGGCTTAAACTCTTCATTATTTTCTTTCTAGTTGAATTTACAGTTCAAGATATCTTGATCTCTTTTTTACATTTCATTCATTATAGGTAGGTACTCACTGTTAAAGATGCCAGAATTCCTCAGCAAACCCTTCATAAAACTTACCAACTATGAGAGCATTATGTGCACCTAAAAGGAAGAAATGAATTACAAAAACGTTACTCTGGCATGCAACATGATTGAACGGGACCACTGAGCCTGTGACAATTCATCCTGATATTTCTTTAGGACTCAGTCTAATATTTTTTCTAGTTCAAAAAGGCATTGTTTTCACTCACATCCTCTCATTTTACCCTTTGCACTGAGAGAACCCCCCTTTTTTTTGAGATGAAGTCTAGCTCATCCATAAGCTGGAGTTCAGTGGCACTATCATAGCTCACTGCAACCTCTGCCTCCTGTGATCCAGTGATTCTTGTGCCTGAGCCTCCTGAGTAGCTGGGATTACAGCCACATGCCACCACACCCAGCTAAGTTTTGTATTTTTAGTAGAGATGTGGTTTCATCATGTTGACCAGGATGGTCTCGATCTCCTGACCTCAAGTGATTCCTCCGCCTCAGCCTTCCAAAGTGCTCAGATTATAGGTGTTAGCCACCACGCCTGGCTGAGAAGACTTTTTAAAAATAACTATTTTGGTCATAAAAGCAATACAATTACAGAAGAAAAGAAAAAAAATCACCCCAAACCCAGTACCCACAAAATGTTTTGATACATTCTCTTCTGGCACCTTTTTTCATTTGTGTGTTTTCACAAATTTATATACTAGAAATAAAGTTACAATAATGGTAAAGTAATATAATCTAGTAGATGCATCATAGTGTATTCAATAACTTCTATTGTGCATTTACATTATTTCTAGTTTTATTTTTCTTAAAACCCTTAATAAAATGCATAAAATATTTTTATATTTTACATTATTTCCTTAGATTGACTTTTAGATGGGCTGACTGGCAGGAATAGTTGTATTATTAGCCACATACATTGCATAATTGTTTTTCATAAGTGATTTTGCCAATTTACCACAGTACTTTCAACATACAACAATATCAGTTTCATCACACCCTCACTTTTTATTGGTTGTTCACATAAAAGCCTTTCTGTCATTAATTTAGTGAAAAATCAAAAACATAGTACCTTGTGATTTTGCATTTCTTTAGTTCTAATGAGGTTAAACAGTTTCTATGTATTTATGTGCCAAGGCGGAAGGACATTTACACCATTTCTCTAAATCTTGCATCCTAAGGTAGTTTCTTCATTTCCCTGCAGAAACGTTCAGGGCCGTGATGCGTTGAACTATGCAGAACTGAAGAAACTCCATTTACCTTAGAAATGTCATGGAGACATTTTGTGAACTAAGAAGGTCCAGAAGGCGGGGGTAATATTGACAGACAGTCTGGGTGGAACTGAGAGAAGCTAGGTTCTAGGAAAGCAGTTGCTTTAATGAATGGGATGCTGGGTAATGGAAATGGGTAAAGAGGATTTGGGGACATTTTAATGAGCATCATATAGTGTAATTTTTCCTCTCAAAGACATTCAAGTAAAAACTGCTTTTAGGTTTTACCTATTTTCTGGAGTTGAACTTATTTGTCTAGCATGCAACACCATGCTAATTAGTCTTAAGACAATGTACATAAGGGTTATACATCTTAATTCTGGCTTTAAAGAGGACCTGGAGATTACCCCTTGCTCTGAGGATGATGTTGAAATGAATCAGGCCTCTGATATAAGCGGTCCATTGAAATGAGGAGACAGGGCATCTGAGTATCGCAAGAAACTCTTCCTTCTATGTTGCTTGTACCCAGAGGTTCCCTTTTCTCTTTGGATTGCTATTCTGTTTCAAAACCCTCTGTGGCATTCAAAACACTCCAAGCTTGGACCACCTTCCCAGATTACTTCCTCATCTTCCATTTTAGGAAAGTTCAGGACTGGTATCTTAAGCAATCTATTCCCAAGCCCTAGGGAAAAATACTGGGTTTTATTTTTTCTCTCTGTTTCCATGGTCTCTAAGATCATGAAACTTTGTTTGCCTCTTCTTACTACAATGCAGTAAGATGTCAAAGGCCTAGACTAGATAGGATAAAGAGACTAGGAAAAAGAAGGCAAAGGGGACTGCTTTTAGTCTGAGTGTTAATTCAGAGAGACAGAAGGAGTTTCTCTGTGGTCCAGCCCAATTCATGAGGAGTCTACACGAAAGTCTGAGTTCCAAGAACCTGCTGGTTACCAGTTATTTAGCCTATTCTGATTCTTTGCATGTATCTTCTTCATTCATCTGAAGAATTGCCTGTTATCCAGTGTGTGGGACTTTGGCCCGTTAGCTTTCTATTTCATTATGACAATATTTAAATAATCTTTCTTGATGAATTCTATATTGAGATCCTTTGTCCATTTTTTATCATTAAAGTGCACAGTCTCTACAGACAAGCAGATTGCCTAGCTGAACCCAGGCTATCCCATTCTGTGCTCTTGTGCAAGTTACTTAAGCTCTCCCTGTCTCAGTTTCTATACCTATAAAATGGGATAACAAGAATACTACCCTCCCTGTAGGTTGTGTAATTAAATTAGAAGGTATCTTTTATTTTTATTATTTATTTATTTTTTTGAGACAGAGTCTTGCTCATCATCCAGACTGGAGTGCAGTATTGTGATCTCAGCTCACTGCAGCCTTGACCTCCCAGGCTCAGGGGATTCTCACACCCAAGCTCCTGAGGAGCTGAGACTACAAGCATGCACTACAATGCCTGGCTAATTTTTTATATTTCGTAGAGACAGAGCTTTACTATACAGCTCAGGAGTTCAAGAGCAATCTGGGCTCAAGTGATCCTCTCACTTTAGCCTCCCAAAGTGCTGGTATTACAGATGTAAGCCACCATGTCTGGCTTATCTATCTTTTAACAGTGGTACTAAGTATTCATTATATGTTAACTTTTACAACTAGTACCACAACCACCACTATTGCTACCTGTATGATAACACTACTAACCCTTTGCTGTGTTTCCCATATATTTCTTATCTATCTCCTGGCTTAGTTATTTTTCAACATACAGAAGTTCTGCCAAATTGGCCAACAGGTCAAAAAAGTCAACACAATGCTCACGCCTGTAATCCCAGCATTTTGAGAAGTCGAGGAGGGTGGATTACCTGAGGTCAGGAGTTAGAGACTATCCTGGCCAACATTGTGAAACCCTGTCTCTACTAAAGAATACAAAAATTAGCCAGGTGTAGTGGTGAGCGCCTGTAAACCCAGCTACTTGGGAGGATGAGGCAGGAGAATTGCTTGAACCCAGGAGTTGGAGGTTGCAGTGAGCCAAGATTGCACAATTGCGCTCCAGCCTGGGCACCAGTGTGAGACTCTGTCTAAAAAAAAAAAAAAAAATTAAAATGTCAACACCTTTTGTGATTTAATGGTGTTCCGTCCTTCCTGGAGGATGGACCTGGTGTAGGCAGTCACAGCCACAAATGCACCTATGGTAGTCAGGTACTGTCGTTTAAAGCCAAACTAGTACATCAAAGGAATGAGCTGTGGAGGATAAGAGTACGATCTTAAACTCTGCTCTTCCAAGGCCTCCTGAGTTCCCTTTGTTAATGGCGAGGTGAAGCATCAACCAAACATAGTCAGTGGCTTGAAAAAACACTTAGATACAGCATAAAAAGTATAAACCCCTACATCTGCGTTTCTTAAATTACTTTATAGCGTTATCGGTTCTGAAGTAAATTACGTCATCTTCGTATACTTTTTGTGCAGCACATCCATCTATCCAGGATACAGACAACTCGTAGTAGCAGAGGAGGAATCAAAGACTATTTTCTTTAGCATTTGTTTTCAGTACGTTGAAAATATTCTCTGCAAAATGTGGACATTACCAATTCTCTTCACTGTCCACCCCCTTTTCTCCTTACCATCCCTCACTCCTCACCCCACACGAAGGGCCATCAGATTACCAACAATTGAGACACAGTGTGCCTATCTAGAACCCATTTTTCACTCACTTGGGATGTAGTTTTGTCTCTTACAGTCATAGCAAAACCATTTTCACAAGCAAAAATGACTGTCTCTATAGAAATATGAAAGTTGTCACCTAGATATTCTGAACCCATTTAGGATATGTGGAAGCAGATACTGACCAGCAGGAGCAGAAAGTTCACAGCGAGAGGCGGGGCTGCTCCAAATCCCATTCCCTTCAGGGTCACTTGTGCAGCGGATGCTCTCCCCAATGAGGTCAAAGGTCATTCCTCTGTCTGGGTGGGGGTTACATGTGTAAGATACTTCTTTTCCATAGGGAATATCTCAAAGGGGAGTTTCTGTGTGACTCCCATTAAGAATAGCTGGAGGATTTGGACAAAATATTTCTAGAAAGAAAACAAGAGCTTTGAGTTCTATTACAGTTTCAAATAAAATGACTGAAATCATGGTAACCTGTGACTGTGCTATGAATAAATCTTTTACTTTTCAAAAAAAAAATATAACTAAGGTGGATGAAATGTAAATCTGTAAGGCTTTTGTTGATAAGGAACTAACTGATGTGAGACCTAAATTACAATTTATTGCAAAAGCCCAACGATGGTGTTTCTGTACCATCCAGGTAGCTATGTTCATAATGAATTTGGAAAGTAATTATTTTTTATTTTAAACAACACCCATGTAGTTGCCTACTTTGCATCAGGCATAATAAGGTTCCTGGGTTCTTATTATCTTGACAATGAGGTTCAAGACAAAGTGTTGGCCATCAGAAACCATAAGTTCCAAGGAAATCTATGAACGTTAATGAACATGCATGAACATCTTTAGCAACGTAAATGTTTCTTGGTGATTCAAGATCATTATCATCAGTACCAATACCAAATATCCAATGATCTCATCAGGACACATTGATAAGGCTCTTTTTACCTAGTTTAAGTGGTGCCAAAGAGCCTCTTTTTCTTTCTTCCAAATTATTAGCTATTATTTTTTCTTCCTTTCAGTGTGGTTGAAACAGTTCCTTCCCCAAAACCAACTGATGCTTCTAATTTGGTATGAATTCAGGAAAATATACCCAAGTTTATCAGAATTATGTGTATATAAAAGACTTGTTATATCAAACAATGTTTGACTTCTCATGTTTGAATATTATTTGTTTGTGTTTTTCCTGTTTACTTATAGATTTATTTTCAGTTCTATCTGTCTCTGTAAGGTTGAGTTTGTTGGATACTTGAGTTTCCTCAGGTATTGAATTTTTTCACCATAGTACTCACCATAAGGTATCCAAATAGATATCTGTAAGTTATTTTAATACAGTACAAATTAAAATAAACATTTTTCAATCAAGAAAAAAAGGTTTAAAAAATTCTTGCCTTGCTTTAGTAGACAGAATAGGATAAATCAGTAATGCCTGATTTATCATGTACTTTTATCTATCAGTTTCTGAATTTTGACATTTTATTTATGCACATGGTTTGGAAATGTAGAACACCATATCATTTCAGACACTGATGCATTCTTTTTGCCCTTCCACCATACTAACTTATCATATAACTCTATTTTATTTTCTCTATAATATAGCCCTATTTACCATTTTATATATTATAATTTTAGAATTTTGTTTACTTATTTCTTTTTTGGTTCATAGTCTGCTTCTCAACAAGAAAATATACTCCAGGAAAGTAGGGAGGCATCATCACTATTCATTCACATTTCATTGCTTTTTCTACACATGGAAAGTCATGGCACATGGGAAGCCCGGTCATTAAACACTGCAGGCTAAATAACAGGCTGACTAAATTGTTTATGATGTATGAGAAGATAAAAGAACATCAAAATTTGGCTGGGCATGGTGGCTCACACTTGTAATTCTAGGACTTTGGGAGGCCAAAGTGGGAGGATACCTTGACCCCGGGAGTTTGAGACCAGCCTGGACAATATGGCAAGACTCCACCTCTACAAAAAGTACAAAAAATTAGCCAGGTGTGGTGCCATGCACCTGTAGTCCCAACTATTGGGAGGCTGAGGTAGGAGGATTGCTTGAGTCCGGGAAGTTGAGGCTGCAGTGAGCTGTGATTGCACCACTGAACTCTGTCCTGGGTGACTCTTGTCTCAAAAAAGAAAAAAGAAGAAAACAAAAATTTTTTAGAGAGATTACTCCTTGATAAGGAAACTGAAATATAAATGACTGGATAATACTTGCTGCACCTTTATGTCATCTAGTTTCTGGCCACATATTCCCCACAAAATTAAGCACTGTCATTAAACTAAATGATTTATGGATTAGTAACAAAAACACGTGTCACAGAAGACCTACAAGACCTTTCTTGAAATTCTTCCAACAAAGAAGTATTTTTATCAGCAATTTAGTTAAGTAAAGATCCATACAACAGGTGATTTAATGCAGGAAAATACACTGGAAAACAAAAATGAGAGCTATCCAAACTTCATAGTTGTTCTTCCTACTCACGATCACACACTGGAACACTGCTATTCCAAAGGGCTTTCATTCCAGCCAAAACACAATGACTAGCAGACCTGCCTTTTAATTGGAACCTGAAAAAAAAGTGGTAGCAAATGTGTGAGCAATTCCCATCTCTCCCTTGATTTCTTCACTCATAGATGCTCAGCTTCCTCACTACCATTTCCTCCTTGACTAGCATTTGGTTCTTAGATTCAGGCCCAGCTAAAAGTCTCAGTTCATTAGGGATCTGAATTCTTCAGTAGCTGGCAGAAACTCAAAGGCCAATTTATTCTAAAGAATCATGCCACCCTGTGACTAGCAAAGCAATTAGAGCTGATGTTGATAACTGCCATATAAACTTCATAGCCCAGCATCACCTACAGAATGCATGAACCAGACTTCTCCATGTGCACAAGAGCCATAACCTTCAGGTGTCATCTTTCACTGATGGCTCTCTGACATCCCACTTATTTTCATTAATGGGTGAGGCAGAACAACTCTTAAAATGTTAGGCAAAGCAAGGAACATCTAGAAAGAGAATGGGCATTGTTCTTCTTGCCATTGTAATTGTAATGGGCCAAAAGGAGGCTCATAGAAGCATTCTGAACCACATGCTCTGAGAAAAATAGACAGATATCGGGGAAGGAGTCTTTGCCACCCTGAAATGCCCAACTTATTACTGAATCCCACTTCCCTTCTGAAATCTGAAATCATTCTGAAATTGGAAATTATTATTGGGTGATGGACTTTGTAAACGCCAAAGATTCCTTGGAAATCGTTAAAACTAACTGCTTAATTGCCCGAGTTATCCTCCTAGACTCATAGTACACCACCAAGAGTAATGGATACACATAAACAACTAGTAATACCCCTTGAAACTGATAGAAGCAGGAGGCAGACAAATCCTAGGCAGACATGATTAGGTTCCCAGTGAAACCCGACCTTCAAGCTGAAGACAGTTTAAAGCATAGCTACAAGTTCCAGGTAAATCCATGGACTGGATTCAGAACCTCTCCTCTTGTTTGGCATACTTTCCTCTGATTGATTCCCACCCTTCATCTATTTTACATATACCTGCCCTTCCCTAATTGGTTTTTTACACTGTCGTGCCCACCTTTGAGTGGTGGCTTTGTTTTAGCTGCTTTTGCATACTCACAAACCAATCAATACACACTTCCCATTCTGAGTCCATAAAAACCCCAGACCCAGCCACACTGAGAGAATGACCCCCTGACTTCATCTGAGGGACCATCCTTGTATCTTTTCTCTGCTGAGAAACTGTTTTGTCATTCAATAAAACTCTTCTCCACCCTCCTCACTCTTGGATTGTCAGTATAACCTTATTCTTCTTGGATGTAGGACAAGAAGTCAGGACCCACCAAACACAGGTACAAAGGCTATAACACAGTGGTCCTCCATCCTTTGCTGGAGGAGGGCAGCTGCTCCATGTGATAGGAAGCAGCATCAGGCCAAGGCAGCCCTGGAGATGCAGGCCAGAGCAGGGCCATGGGACTGGCAGAGCTGTTAACACAGCGCCATCTGTTGGGCTGCAGGCATTATCAAATGCTAAGAGCTATTAGCACGTTTAACACCCCCTCTGGGGCTTCAGGGTTGTGGGCACCCCTATTTGGGCACTACCATGTTCCCTTCAGTGCAACATGCCTGGTTCAGCTGCAAGCCCCAACAGAGCCCATTACTGTGCCAGTGCTTAGAGTGGCCAGCCAGACCCCACACTCTCTTACTCACACACCCCCTCCCACCAAGGGCTGAGCATGCAGTCCTGGCAGCCATGGGATCCACGTCAGAGCACAAGCCAGGCATGGCCCTGTGGGCCAGGTAGACAAGATGTCTCCTGTGGTGAACCCGGACCAGAGCAAGGCCTGGGCAGGGGCGTTACTGGCCAGAGGTCACCGGCTGGCAAACTGGCTCAGAAAAATCCTGCATCAAAACAATTACACTGGCCATTCCTCACATGAAGATATGTAATTGGGTTAAAACATACTTATCTATACAGTATTATAGATTCCACTATTGATTGGTTTTCAGTTTCCTAAAACAACCTTTGCCTTACTTATTATGAGGCAAACAATTTTTGTCCTATTCATCAATTTTTTTCTAGCACAACTTTTATAAAATTATGTTATTTTGCCTCCAAATAAATAAGTACCCATTCATTTCAAGTTCCAACCATGTACTCAAGTTCAGTGACTGTATTTAGGTTTGTACTTGACACTGAGTTGTGTATGCCCTTTCTCTTTGTCTCCTGAAAGTGGTGCCAGTGGGCCGGGCGCTGTGGCTCATGCCTGTAATCCTAGCACTTTGGGAGGCCAAGGTGGGTGGATCACTTGAGGTCAGGAGTTCAAGACCAGCCTGGCCATCATGGTGAAACCCCATCTTAAAAAAAAAAAGTGGTGCCAGTTAGTCCCTACCCTTATTTGAAAACTACCTTTCAATTAAATAATCTCTCTGGGTACTTCTTATCTACTAGTTCAGCCCTTTTTTAGGATTAACTCCCAAACTCAAGAGAGTCATTCTTCACACTGAGTCCTTGGTCTCAACTCTGGGTCTCACTCACCCTTCATCACAAGCAAAGGACACCTTTGCTCCAAGCTGGAGATTAAGTGGAAACAGCACACGGCCATGAGGCAGTTGGCCCAGGAAGTCATCACAGGATTTCACTAGAAGAAAAATTAAAAAACATGAGTAAGACCTCCATGTGAGGGGTACAGAGAGCAATCTGGAAACCAGAGAGTCAAGGCACCTGCACATCTGGGGGCTTTAGGGCTCCAGTCTCCCTGGGGTGTGCAGTGCAGAGAAGCAGCCCCTCTGAGGTCATAGCCAGGCTCACAGCTGTAGAACACTTCCTGTCCAGGTGAAAAGTGGTCCTGATCACCTGGGGTATGCTCACTATGCAGGATTTCTGGAGGTGGCTGACACACTGTGGGAAGGACAGTTCCAGGATACTTGTTCGTTATGGGGAATTTCCTTTGCTATGTCCTATGCTTGCTGAAGACCTCATAGCTAGTAAGTGGTAGGGAAATAGAACCCAATTCTCCCTAGCACAAGACCTCAAATTCACTTGTAAATATACAGGGCATGGGTTTTTTCCCCAGCTCTGGCTATGCATATGGAGTTATTAGTATTTGTGGATTCTTCATCTACATCTTTCATAGGAATGCAATCCCAATTTTCACCCCTGTTATTAGGTAATGAGACTGTCTCCTGAGCCCAAGCCTGTTTTACAGATTTCCCCTCCATTTCTCTGATTGCACACCTATGACTAAAGTACAGCCATACTGTTTCAGGACAGGCATCCCCCCAAATTGTAGCTTACTCTGGAAGGGTTCTTGCCTCACCCAGGAAAGAATTCAAGGATAATCCAGTGGTGCTAGATAGCAATCGTTTAGTGAAAGACGCTGCCTCTTGCAGAGCATGGCTAACTCACAGGCAGTGGCAGTGTGACCAGTCAGCAACATATGGGCTCCTAGCAGGCAACTGTATTCATACTCCCATAAACCTATTACATGTAAATTATTATTTTTTAATTTTAATTTTTATTTATTTAATTATTTATTTTGAGATAGAGTCTCACTCTGTTGCCCAGGCTGAAGCACAGTGGTTTGATCTTGGCTCACTGCACCCTCTGCCTCCTGGGTTCGAGTGATTTTCCTGCCTCAGCCTCCTGAGTAGCTGGAATTACAGGCATGGGCCACCATACCCAGATAATTTTTGTATTTTTAGCAGAGGCAGGGGTTTTGCCATGTTAGCAAGGCTGGTCTCGAATTCCTGACCTTAGGTGATCTTCTACCTTGGGCTCCCAAAGTGCTGGGATTACAGGCATTAGCCACCTGGCCAATTACATGTAAATTAAGTGGCAGATCAATGCAAAGTGAGGAGATCATTTAGAACTTTTTAGGAAAGGGGCAGTAATTTCCAGGTCATTGCCATGGCGTTTGTAAACTGTCATGGTGCTGATGGGAATGTGAGGGCAGCTAGGGAATGCTTTCATCGCCATCTGCTGGTTCCTGCTAGGGATTGCTTTTGTCGCCATCTGCTGGTTCCTGCTGTTTCTTCACTTCATCCTGTCTAAGCCAGATCCTGTTTTGGTCAGCAGGATTGTGAACACAACACAAGCCCTGCCCATCTCCGACCTCAATACATCCAACTTTGTGTGTCTTTATCTGTTCGTCTTCCCAGCTCAGTGGTCGCACAAGGCTAACACGGGTTGGTAGAATTGTAAGCTTCTTCTCTGTCCCTGTGTATCAGCCATTACACCTCCCACTCCACTGCTAAACCAGCTATTGTGACACCAGTAGACAAGATGAGCTACCAAAAACAAAAGCCCTTAAATAAGCCAGCCCTTTGTCGAGAGAGGACATATTATTTGGAGAGTGTCTGACTCAACGTCTGCCTTTATTTACAGTCCTGTTCTCCATGCTTAGGGCATCAGAACCCATATAACATCAACCTAATCTGCACCTCATTCAAGATGAATTTAAAAATCGTTACTTAACTGCCTTTGAGCAAGTTACTTTCACTCTTAGATTCCTGGGCATAAAATGTAGGAGGTGGATGGCTTGAGCCCAGGAGTTTGAGGCTGCAGCGAGCCATGACTGTATCACTGTATCATTGATCAGCCTGGGCAACAGAGATGGACCTTAACCCTAATATATAGGTTTTTAATAAAATAAAACACAAAATAAGATGTAGGAGGCAGACCATTATAGACAAACTCTAAAGTCTTTGTCTCTATTCTGATGCCATGGTTTCTGTCATAAGGCAGTCGCTTTCGGTCACCAATGGATGCTGATAGAAGTATGGCAAGAGCCACAGCATTCAGACTCTGGGGTCGGAGACCCTTGCCTTTTAAAATCCTAGGTGTCTCAGCTCGAGCATGTGACTTGGCCAGTTTACCTAACCTCTGAAAGACCAAGCTGACTACACTATTAAATTGATATTACAATAGCACAATTTCAAAGTGTTGTTTCAAAGTGTTGTTTTTCACTTATTAAAATGAGAAAACGTATATAAAGTGCGAGTGCACAGCTGACCATGAAGTCCATGTAATTTTTCAATATGTTTGAGAGATATTGTAGTTGATACTTTGCCCTGAGAATGCATTAATAGGTGAGTCCAGAATAACTTTTTTCTTGGCTTATTAAGGTCTTGCTTTTCACAGTGAAGACACATATGCATGGGTGCATGCACATCCCAATTCTTAATTTCATGCTTCTTTTTCCTAAATTTGGTCTCCCACCCTGCTCACCACACATCCCTCCCTCTGAACAAATACTAATCTCCTGATCCAGCAGCAGCTCATGGCATTTGCAGGGCCCTTCTAGGTATCAGACAGACTCACCCCTGGAGCAGCTTGGTAACTCTGGCTCCCATTTGTTCAGGGGCTGGCATTGCACACGGGGGGATCCTTTCATGACAAAGCCAGGCTGACACCTGAACTCCGCAACTTCATTTAAGGAAAATAAGCTTCTGTTGTGAGATACCATTTTTCCATTTTCAACATTTGGAGGCGTGCATTTGTTAGGTATCACACACTGAGGGGCCGGGCCACTCCAGATGCCCTCTTGATCCTCATTGCTGGTGCAGTATATGGAGCGCTCACCCACGAGCTCAAACACCTTTTTTCCTTCACTTCCAGGATTGCAGCGGTAGGTCACCACTGATCCATAGTGAAAATCCTCCCTGTGGTGCTAATGAAATCTCCATTGGCGATGGTGGGGGGCAGCCCACAAGTTATTCCTGGGAAAAAAAAGACAGCAAGTTAACCAAAACAAAACCTTGGGACAGCGTCTTGCTCTGTCATGCAGGCTGGAGTGTTGTGGCATGATCATGGCTCACTGCAGCCTTCGCTTCCCAGGTCAAGCAACCCTCCCACCTCAACCTCTCAAGTAGCTGGGATTACAGGTATGCACCACTATGTCTGATTTATTTTTGTATTTTTAGTAGAGATGAGTGTTGGTCATGCTGTTCTTGAACTCCTGACCTCAAGTGATCTGACTGCCTCGGCCTCCCAATGTGCTGGGATTACAGGCATGAGCCACTCACTGTGCCTGGCTAATAGTCCATGTTTATATTTCCCCTGCTAAATGAAAATTTAACTATGTTACCTCACCATTATTAATTTAGTTCTCTCTCTATATAGAGGGCATTTGCCTTTATTCTACTGGTTATTAACATAAAACTTATAGCATAGCTGTTTTTTTTTTTGCAATGGGGTCTTGCTGTGTTGCCCAGGCTGGAGTGAAGTGGCAGGATCATGGCTACTTGCCTCTCTAACTCAAGCAATCTTCCCACCTCTCAGCCTCCCAAGTAGTTGGGACTATAAGCATGTGCCACCATGCCTATTTAATTTTGTATTTTTTGTAGAGACAGGGTTTCACTAAGTTATACAGGCTGATCTCGAACTCCTGGGCTCAAGTGATCTGCTCACCAAGGCTTCCCAAAATGCTGGCATTACAGGTGTAAGTCACCACACTTAGCCCAGTATAGCATCTTTATTAAATAATAAAAGCCAAAAGCTCGGACAGAACTAGTAAAGGTAAAGCAAAAATATACAGTATTACAAATAATAAACACAATACTTGCAGATTCAGAAGTAATAAAAAGAACTGAATATTGATCTACAGCCAAACCACCCTGAATGCGCCCATCTCATCTGATCTTAGAAGAACTGAACGCTGCATCCTACTCTACAGTAGAACAGTGCCCAGCCAGTATATTGGCCTTCCACAAAGTTCGTGCCCACTTTTCCTCCCATCAGTGGTGTTCTAAATTGCTGATTTCCTCACACCATCACCAAACCCAGGATTATACCCATTTTATATTCCTTGTTAGCTTGCAATTGCTCACTCCTCTTTGCTCCCCAAAATGAAGAAAGCTCATCTTCCAAACAACTGACAGGGAAGATGGCATGCACCTGTTTAGACAAAGAATAAAAAGAAAGGGCTGCATTGCTTGAGTATCTGCTGTGGTACTAAGAGCCTGCAGAGGTTTGGGGTTTTTTCTTTCACCAAGTTTGTATTTGTTGACTTCACTAAAGAAAATGCTCTTCAAACTGGGAGGTGTTCAGCCAACAGAAGAGGAAATTGGAAGCTATTTAAATGAGTTCAAGACTAGTTTAAAATAAATTACACCTCAAGATAAGAAAAAAAAAGCATTTCTAGGTGAAGGTGGAAGTTTGGAATTCTGTGAGTCATTTTTAGGATATGACTGGGATATGACTGCATTTTTCAAATATCAGAAGGATCCCATTTCCAAGAGGGATGAGATTCATTCTTTGTAATTCTAGGAGGACAACTCTAGGATTCATTGGTGAGGTAAGTGGGGAAAGAGGTTTCAACTCACGTTGACAAATTGGTGGCTTTGTGCTCCAATGGGCAGCATTGCCTGAGAGGATACATTCAGCAGATGACCAACCAATGAGGCGGTACCTAAAGGCAAACAATGGAGAAGAATTGTGCTGTGCAAACCTCAGCAGCTTCCTCACAGCGTGCGTATGTGGCAACCCAGAAGGATTACAATGCAGGTGAAGTCTACGGCCCCGCCTAAACTTCCAGTGTGTTCCCAGCTGCTTTCATTTCTCTTTCCTATTCTCTCACTATTGTAAGGGATATTTCTGCTCTAACTTCTCCTGGCCCACTTTGCTTCTTAATATCTTGGCTTCATTGTGGACTGTATCTGGCACCAAAATAACACAATTATTTTGTAGATCTGTTTGACAATGTTTTTCTTAAGTTCTGTCTTTTCTCAGATCATTTCTGCCATTTTTTGTTTGCACTTTCCCTTAATGTGCGTGTGTATATAATACTATGACATTTTATTTGAGACATGGCTTTTATAAATACAAGATTTTTTGCTTTTGATCCTGTTTAGGAGACTTTGTTTTTTGACAAGAAGATTAAACCAAATGTATCAAATAAATTATATATTTGATTTGCTTTTTGTTTGTTTGCTTGTTTGTTTGAATAGAGTCTTGCTCTGTTGCCCAGGCTGGACTGCAATGGCACGATCTTGACTCACTGCAATCTCCGCCTCCCCTGTTCAAGTGATTTCCCTGACTCATCCTTCTCAGTAGATGGAATTACAGGCACCTGCCACCACACCCAGCTAATTTTTGTATTTTTAGTAGAGATGGGGTTTCACCATGTTGGCCAGGCTGGTCTTGAATTCCTGACCCCAAAGTGTTGGGATTACAGGCGTGAGCCACTGTGCCTGCCTGTTTCTCTTTTTCATCTTTTCCTCCTACATTCAGGAAAATTTGGTTAACTCTTCTTTTTGCTTTAATTTTCTGCAATATTCAGTGTGTTTGCTATATATATATATATATATATATATATATATATATATATATACACACACACACACATACATGACACATGTATGAAATGAAATATATAAACAGACTGAATACATATATTCATCCCTGTACAAACTTCCTGGCTAGTTTCACAGAAGTATTTGTACAACTGAATCTTGCTAAATATGAAAAGGAGAGTGTTTTGAAAGTTTCCCTGTTTTTTTGGCCATAAATCTGTTCTGTAGGAAGAAATTTCTCCTGATTTTTCAACTTCGTCTCTTTTACATGTATTCCTGTTTCTTGTCATAAGCTCAGTGATTTTCTGCTTTATACCATAGAGAGGTTCACACTTATTCAGCAATGCAAGATGAGGAGGACACAGTCAGGAAATTTATCAATTGTATTTTTTAAAATGCTCAAAAAAAAAAAACAGAAAAGAAGAAATTGGATTTATTCTAAATTTACCTTGTCAGATTCTAGATACTGTGGTCTGTGAGACCGAGTCTGGAGTCTGGTAAATGTGCTGGACATCACAAGCTTCCTTTCAGTGTTTGTTGGGGTGGCAGAAACGTAGCCCCGACTCACTACCTGGCTTAGCTGTTCCCGTGAAAAGTGAAATTGAGGCAGCACCTCCACTGTGTGCTGAGCAAGGGTGAGCACCAACAGCTGGACTGTGCACTGTGAGCACTTGACGCTTGATATTTTCAAAGGGTTGAATTCTGTTATAGGTTGAATCATGTCTCCTCCAAATATGCTGAAGCCTTGACCCCCATTCCCTGTGGATGTGATCTTACTTGGAAATACAATCTGCAGATGCAATCAAGTTAAGAGGAGGCCGTTAAGGTAGGCCCTAATCCAATATGACTGACGTTCTTATAAAAAGAGAGAACTCAGGACACACACATGCACAGAGGAGAACCGCATGTGAGGACACAGACCCAGAGGGAAGACGGCCATGTGAGGACAGAGACAGAAATTTGAGTTCTGTTGCAACATATCAAGGAAGCTCTGGGGCTCCAGAAGCTGGAAGATGCAATGAAGCATCCTCCCGTACAGGATTCAGAGGGAGTATGTCCCTGCTAACTCCTTGATTTTGGACTTCCAGCCTCCAGAACAGAGCTCCAAAAACTTTTATATTAAGCCGGCCATTTCATGTTATAGACATACCTCAAAGGTATTGCAGGTTCAGTCCAGACCACCACAATGAAACAAATAGCACAGCAAATGAGTCATATGAACTTTTTGATTTCTCAGTGAGTCTAAAAGTTGTGTTTATACTATACTGTAGTCTATTAAGTGTGAAATAGCAGTATGTCTTTAAAAAGTCATACTTTTTTTTTTTTGAGACAGAGTCTTGCTCTGTCACCAGGCACCAGGCTGGAGTGCAGTGGCACAATCTCGGCTCAGTGCAGTCTCCACCTCCTGGGTTCAAGCAATTCTCCTGCCTCAGCCTCCGGAGTAGCTGGGACTACAGGCGTGCGCCACCATGTCCAGCTAATTTTTGTTTTTTTTAGTAGAGACGGGGCTTCACCATGTTGGCCAGGATGGTCTTGATCTCTTGACCTTGTGATCCACCCACCTTGGCCTCCCAAAGTGCTTGGATTACAGGTGTGAGCCACCATGCCCGGCCAAAAAAGTAAACCACTTTCCAAAATGGTTTACTGATAAAAAATGCTAAAGATTATCTGACCTTCAATATCATAATCTTTTTGCTGGTGGAGCGTCTTGCCTCAAGGCTGATGGCTGCTGACTGATCAGGGAGGTGGTTGCTGAAGACTGGGGTGGCTGTGGTAATTTCTTAAGCTAAAACAATAAAATTTGCCACATTGACTCTTCCTTTCGCAAAAGATTTTCCTGTAGTGTGCAATGCTGTTTGATAACATTTTACCCTCTGAACTGCTTTCACAATTGGAGTCAATCCTCCCAGATACTGCTGCGGCTTTATCAACTGAGTTTATGTAATATTCTAACTTGTTTGTGGTCATTTTGACAATGCCTATGTCATCTTCACCAGGAAGAGACTCCATCGCAAAAAAACTACTTTCTCTGCTCATTCATAAGAAGCAACTCCTCATCTGTTCAAGTTTGATCATGAGATTGTAGCTATTCAGTCACATCTTCAGGCTCCACGTCTAATTGCGGTTCTCTTGCTATTTCCACCACGTCTGCAGTTATTTTCTCCACTGAACTCTTGAGCCTCACAAAGTTATCCATGAGGATTGGAATCAACTGCTACCAAACTCCTGTTAATGTTGATATTTTAACCTCTTCCCACGAATCATGAATGCTCTTAATGGTATGTAGAATGATGAATTCTTCCCTGCAGTTTTCAACTTACATTGTTCAGATCCATCAGAGGAATTGCTGTCTGTGGCAACTCCAGCCTTACAAAGTGTATTTCTTAAATACTGAATCTTGAAAGTCAAAATTACTACTTCAGCCATGGACTGCAGAATAGCTGCTGTCATCAGGCAGGAAAACTACATTCATCTCCTTGTCCATCTCCATCAGAGGCCTTGGCTGATGAGGTGCAATGTCAATGAGCAACAATATTTTGAAAGGAATCTGTTTTTCTGAGCACTAGAGCTCAACTGTGGGCTTAAAATACTCAGTAAGCCACGCTGCAAACATACCTCTGCCATCAGGCTTTGTTGTTCATTTATAGAGTACAGGCAAGGTGCATTTAGCATGATTCATAAGGGCTCTAGGATTTTTAGAATGGTCAGTGAGCATCGGCTTCAACTCAAAGTCACCAACAGCATTAGCTCCTAAAAAGTCAGCCTATCCTTTAAAGCCTTGAAGCCAGACATTGACTTGTCCACTCTAGCTGTGAAAGTCCAATTGATAGCTGTTTTGTCTACATGGAAAATCTGCTATTTAGTGTAACACCTTCATCGATGATCTTAGTTAGATCTTCTGGACAACTTCCTGCAGCTTCCACACCAGCGCTTGTTGCTTTACCTTGCACCCTTATGTTATGGAGATGGCTTCTTTCTTTAAACCTCAGGAGCCAACCTCTGCTAGCTTTTACCTTTTTTTTTTTTCTGAGATGGGAGTCTCACTCTGTGGTCCAGCGTGGAGTGCAGTGGCACGATCTGGGCTCACTGCAACCTCTGCCTTCCGGGTTTAAGCTATTCTCATATCTCAGATTCCCAAAGAGCTGGAACTACAGGCACCTGGAACCACTCTTGCTAAGTTTTGTATTTTTAGCAGAAACAAGGTTTCACCATATTGGTCAGGCTGGTATTGAACTCCTGAACTCAGGTGATCCACCTGACTTAGCCTCCCAAAGTGCTGGGATTACAGGCATGAGACACTGTGCCCAGCTGCTTTCAGCTTTTTTTCTGCAGCTTCCTGACCTCTGTCAGTCTTTACAGAATTGAAGAGAATCAGGGGCTTGTTCAGGATTAGGCTTTGGCTTAAGGAAATGTGTCTGGTTTGATCTTGTATCCAGACCACTAAAACTTCTTCTGTGTCAGCAATAAGGCTGTTTCACCTTCTTATCACTCATGCGTTCCCTGGAATAGCATTTTAAATTTCCTGAAGTACTTTTGCTTTGCCTTTACAACTCACTAGCTGTTTGGTACACGAGGCCTGGCTTTTGGCCTATCTTGGCTTTCAGGGTATCTTCCTCACTAAGCTTCATCATCTCTAGCTTTTGATTTGAAATAAGAGATGTATGACTCCTCCCTTCATGTGAACACTTAAAGGCCATTGTGGGACTAGTATTTTAGTATTATTGTGTCTCAGGTATTAGGAAGTCCTGAAGAGAGGGAGAGAGAAGGGGAGTGTCTAGTTCATGGAGCAGTCAAAGCATGCACATAATTTTCTGTCTTATATGGGTGCAGTTCGCAGTGACCCGAAACAGTGACAATAGTCACATCAAAGATCCCTGATCACGGATCACTGTCACAGGCGTGATAATCATGAGAAAGTTTGGGATATTGTGAGAATAATCAAAACGCTTCACAGAGACACAAAGTGAACACATGCTGTCGGAAAAATGATGCCGACAGACGTGCTTGTCACAGGGTTGGCGCAGCACTGTTTACAATAGCAAAGACCTGGAATCAACCAAAATGCCCATTGATAATAGACTGGATTGGAAAAATGTGGCACATATACACCAGGGAATATTATGCAGCAACCAGAAATGATGAGTTTGTGTCGTTTGTAGGGACATGGATGAATCTGGAGAACGTCATCCTCAGCAAACTGACACAAGAACAGAAAATGAAACACCGCATATTCTCACTCATAGGTGGGTGATGAAAAATGAGAACACATGGAAACAGAAAGGGGAGTACTAAACACTGGGGTCTATTGGGGGGAAAAGGGGAGGGCCAGTGGGAGGGGGAGGTGGGGAGGGATAGCCTGGGGAGAAATGCCAAATGTGGGTGAAGGGGACAAGGAAAGAAAAGCACACTGCCATGTGTGTTCCTACGCAACTGTCTTACATGCTCTGCTCATGTACCCCAAAACCTAAAATCCAATAAAAAATTTAAAAAAAAAAGCAGCATAACATCTGCGAAGCGCAATAAAACTAGGAAGGCCTGTACTTGGTGATGGCAGCCCTAGGAAGCAATCATGCTGTTACCAGTAAGATTTGTTCTCTCACACAGATGCTACATGGCCTTCTCTTTCTTCCAGCAATGGGCTGGGCTAGGGTTGTTTGTGTGCTTTGACTATTACACTCTTTCCTGATTTATTTTCCTTCCCATCCAGTGAATGCCATACTTTTTATATGTGCACTGCTGGTTTCCAGCAAGGATACAGATTTTCCCCCTAATCTTCTCCTATCTTTGTTCATTTCAATCAGGCATTAACACCTGTGTTCAAGCCTCTTAAGAGCAGGTGGCAATAGCCTAGTTTCCTTCCTGAGATGTGGCTAGGTGTATGGCTGTGTCAGAACTCTTGAACCAAGAGATGTTGCTGCCAACTCACCTTGTAATACAAGAATAGTTGATTCTGGATCCAACCTGGATGTTTGTCATCACATGCACCACGCCATTCATTGGATCTGAAGGAGTTTTACATGATTTACCTACGGGAAAGAAAGTATTTTGGAGCCAGGTAATCTGAACTCTCATCAGTACATAAGGTATCAACCTGCATGTACCTTCCTGAAGAAAACATGCAGTTCTCATGGTTCCACAGATTTTCCCACCTTGAGAAAACTCATCAGAGCACCTCAGGATCAGCCAACTACTAAGCCCCACTTTCAAAAAGACCTTCCCTCCAGATCTATCTAGATCTAGGTTTAGATCTGTGTAGAGACCTTGCATCCTCTATCAAAATGTAAAAGTCGTTTGTGGCATTATGTACCACCAATATATTTCAATGTTTTCAGAGGATTTCTTCCCAACTAGTTATTTAAACAAAATTTGTCTTCCTACACAATTTTTCCTCTGATTTAGAGTCATTTATTATTTACTTCCCTAAGGAATGAAGATTTTCTCTACAAATATTCCTTGAAACATTCTCATGAAGTGAGCATTTCAAGCAATAATCAAGGATAATCTACAAGAATAACTCTTACATCCACCTATCTGAACACTTTTGAAAAGAGGTTTCTTATATTCCACATTTGAAAAAAATTCAGGAAGAAGCTTTGGAAGACATGGGAAAGATCCTATTTAATTTTTCACATTTTTAGAATGTCGTGCCCAGGTTCCACCTTTGCTGTTTGGTTTCCTTGTGCTTCAAGCCATCAAAACTCCAATGAGAGGTGGAGAAGCATGGGCGGGGATCTTAAGACAGTTCCTGGCGGAAGGAGCCACCAATTTTTCTAGGTCAGATTTCTAAGCCAGCCATTTCAATAAGGAGATTCACAGGCTTCTGTTTTTAATTCCTATGATTCTAATGAAGAACTTTCCCACCATTCACCACTTCCCTCCCTTTTTTCACCAGCCCTTTTAGCAGCAAAGGTCATCAGGATCTTATGTGCTGACCTACCTTAGAACGATTTATCATTGGTTTGGCATTCCACTGTGGCAAATGCACAAATAAATACCACCCTGTAACTATGGAAATACGGAAGGCCTGGGTTAGATATTCTGAGCCCATTTTGGATATGGAGAAATGAGCACTAACCCAGACTTCTACAGTGTGGAGCAGGGCTGCTCCAAACCCCATTCCCTTGAAGGTCACTTGTGCATCGGATGGTGCTCTCCCCAAAAAGGTCGAAGGTCTTCCCGCTGACTGGGTCAGGGTCGCATGTGTAATTTACTGCTTTTCCAAAGGGAAAGACTTCCAGAGGTTTTCCTGTGTGTCTCCCATTAGGTATATCTGGAGGACTTGGACAAAAGATTTCTGGAAAAAAGGCAAAAGCTCTAAGTTTCATTCAGGAGTTTCACCAGAGGTATTCTGCAGTTATAAGGTGCCATGATTGTTTTTATTTAAAATATGCTAAGGAGATGGCAGTAGACATTAGGACTTCGAAGAGTTGGATTAAATGAGATGTCAATGAAAGTGTATTGTAAAGTACAAAAGAGATTTGTCTATCCTGAATCTTCCAGATAGTAGCAGTTCCTGGACAATAGAAACTTTACAACTTTAATGAAGTATCAAAACATTTGAAGAAGAAAAACAACTGCTTTGAAGGGTAACTCATTCACTTAGTCAACATATATTAACTGAGCACTTATCCTGTGTCAGCCACTCATCAAGATCCTGGGGACATGGTGATGATGAAGGAACCTACGTTCTTGTGAAATATTTCTCAAATGAATGTATGTGTGCTAATCACCTTAAATAGGCAAAAAACTTCACTGATTACTTATTGATATTGATCATAAATCTCAGTGATAACAATAGCATTGCACAGTGAATTGAAATGTAGTCAGACCATTACAAAAAACTCCAGATGGATTCAGATTGCTTTCCTTTTTAAACTGTCTAGGTCTGTTGATAACTTGTTTTCTCTTTACTTTCTGGATCAGGTTTCCAGTTGTTACTCCTTTCTAGCATCTGCTGATTTGTTTACAGCAGTCTCTTCCTCATTTCTAGTTGGTGTTTTTCATTAGAATTGGAATTTGGAAGAAGCTACTTCAACTAGCAAGGGTTGTGAAAAATAAGAGAAAGCTGGAGTAGCCCAATCAATACCTGAGCTTTCATGTACGACAGCAGAACAGGCATTTGTCATGTTGCTTCGAGGAGCATTGGATTTGTTAGACAGCCAAGAATCACTCTATACATGATGTTCTTATATAATTTTACTCTAAAATGCACTGTAAGATGTCAAAGTAGATTTCTAACAACATAAACAGTTCAGTAAAAGTTCACTTTAAAGAAACACGTTTTCCAATCTTTAGAATCAAGAAATGAAGCAAAGTCCTCTCTTCTACTGGGGAAATTATAAATGGGTAGACTAGGAGAAATCAGAAGTCTACACATTTAGACTGCTAAATGTGATTACTGAACACATGAGTCTCATTTTTAAAAAAACTGAATTATTATTTATGAATCAGCATAAATTATTTAGGTGCATGTTTGAGAACTTAAGGAGTCTCAAACTGCTCACCCTGTCTAATGTTACTTCCCACTTTTCCTTCATTCCTCATTATTTTGATCTATTATCTCTGTAGCATTTAATTAATTATTTTTTTCTTGTCCTTCTCCCCACCTGAGTAAAAACAACATGGGGACAGGAATTTCACTCATCTTGTTTATTGCTGTAAGTCCAGTGGCTAGATGAAAATGAGGCACAAAGTATGTGATCAATAAATAATTGATTAGATAAAGGCATGTTTAATATTTGTGTGTTAGCAAATAGATACAAAAATTGTAGACTGACTGCACCTTGATGGGAGAACAAAATGAAAAAGAAGGAAGGAAAGAGAGGTAGGGAGGGAGGGGAAAGGGAGAGAAGAAGAGAACAAAGAACTACAGGAAAGAAAGAAGAGAAAAAATGAAGGAGAGAAAGAAAGCAAATTGTTAACGCTGCACATTATCTAATCTCTCCTGACCTAGAAGCACACTACCACAGGATTTATCACAATAGAACATGGGATACTAAGGGACAGAGACAGATCAGATTGTTCCAAAACAAGTGATGTACACATTAATTCACAACAAAACATTATTAAAATAGGCAATTTTCAAATCAATAATTCAGACTAGAAAATTGAAGAACCACATTAGGGGAGGCCATGGGTCAAATACTGAAGAGAGAAAGGGAAGAGATTGGCCTGAAATGTTACTCCTATTACTCACGTTCACACACTGGAACACTGCTATTCCAAAGGCTTTCCATTCCCGCCAAGACACAAAAACTAGCAGAGCTGCCTTTTAATTGAAATCTAAAGAAGAAAATAGTGAATAGTGAGCCAAGAGGCCAGTTAATTTGCAATCTAAGGCCCTGCCCCAAATCTCAGGATTTTGAGGATCTGAGACCAGGAGGCAGCAAAGTTACAGAAGCTACGTTATTCTGGAAAATCACAGCATCCAGAAGGAAGCAATACAGAATGGCAACATGCAGTAGCTTGGTCACATGATAGTCCTGCTTGAATTGAAGAAGGTGGTCATGACATAGCCGCCATCCCCTTGACCCTGGACCCAGGCTTGGAGTTTCACTGACTACTCTATGATAACCTGATAAATCACTCATTGTCATTATTAGATACCGAGTCCTTAATGCAATGCCTTCCTAACTCTGAAACAGCAGGTAAAACAGCTTCTAGTTTGGACTGGAAAAGTGGGAAATAGCTGGTGAGAGAACAGAAATTGTCCTTTCATCTCCACATCTGTGGTGGCTTGAAGAAGGCTTACAATGGCAATTTGGGCTCCTGAAGAGTAAGCATGAATATTCTAGGGGTAAAAAGAAAGAAGAGATGACATGACTTTTGTATGCAATCATCAAAACTTCTCAATGTCCTGATGCCCTCCTAAATCTTACTGGCCGCTGGCATTTGGAGGCTGCCAAGATCCTATGGAACATTTTGGGATCAGGTGCTTCGTTGCCCATGCTGGTCAGCCACCATGTAGAGATGTGCACCCTGTGAAGACCACTAGATGGACATAAATGAGTTAATGACCTTGCCAGAAATATTAACAGCAGCCATCAGGCCCCCACCTCAGAGACCATGACTAGCCGGATGATATATGACTGAATTTTTAAAAAATGCATATTCAGTCCTATTACAAATTTCACCATTGATGGTTTAAACAATTTACTGGAATGATTCTTAAATGATTCTAGCTATTTAGAATAAGTGTTTTGTTACTTGCATTTTTTTCTGAAACTCTCTAAATTACTCATATCCCTTTTGGCTTGGAAAATAGGATTTTTTAACTTAATGTGCTACCTATATGTTCATAACAAGTAGTTACACTTGTCCTTGAGCTTTCCAGTTAATATATGGCCCATTTTCCTCTTCATATCTCATGTTGTCTGTTCTGTATGTTTCTTCCTTCCTATATATACTCTCAAAAGTTCATGTCTTTGAGTGTGTGTGTGTGTGTGTGTGTGTGTGTCTTTTTGTTAAGCTACACCAATCTCCCCTTTTTGGACAAATTCCTAGCCCAATTTCAATGTCCAGCAGGTCAGGCAACCTCATACTCACCCTTCATCACAAACAAAGTCCACTTTTGCTCCAAGCTGGAGATTAGGTGGAAATAGCACATGGCCATTAGGAAGTTGGCCCAGGAAGACATCACAAAATCTCACTGGAGGAAAAGAAAACAAACAGAAATAACTGACATGTAAAGAATAAAGACGCAAGCTAAAAATACCAAGCCAGGTAAGAGTCTAGGCACCTGCACATCTGGGGACTGCAGGGCTCCAGTCTCCCTGGGGTGTGCAGCGCAGAGAAGCAGCCCCTCTGAGGTCATAGCCGGGCTCACAGCTGTGGAACACTTCCTGGCCAGGCCAAAAGTTGTTCTTGTCCCTTTGGGTACGCTCACCATGCAGGATATCTGGAGGCGGCTGACATACTGGGGGAGAGAGAAACAAAATACTGCTAATTGTGTCAAAATAACTTTTTCTGTTCACTGGTAAACTGGCCAAGGGAATAGTAATTATACATCTATATATAATTAAAAGGTACAATAAAAGCCTTATCATATTGATAAACTAAATACACAGAGTGAGGAAAATGTCATGCCATCAGTCATAGAACTGACACTTGCAGAACTGTGACTAAAACGGAGGTATCCCCAAGTCATTGTTTTTCATCTGAAGTATGCACCTAAGATTTCACAATGGACAGTTCCTTCTAGAATGCTTCCAATTACTGTTCGCCCAGTACAAAATTGTGAGGAAGGATGGATGTTTATATCTTCACACTCCCTTTCTAGAAGGACATCAACAATTTAGTCTTGCATTTTAGGCAATAGGGCAGTGCCCATGCACATGTCTCATCTAATAGGTCCCTCCATCCGCTATCACACTGGTGCAACAAACAAGGTCCATACACCTATTCTCAACTCCTTTCATGTCTCTCTTAGCGGCCACCTGACATAGGGTGGTAGAGAACAATGGGTCTCCTCTCTTCATGCTATGTAGCAAGATGCTGCCTACTCATTCATTTCACTGCCTTGAGAAGGTGGGCAACTGTTGAACAAAATCTGAAAGACCTACTGTCAGTATATTTCACACAATATATTATAATGATATCTCTGGTTGTCTCTTAAGCTAGTTCATCTGAACTCAGGAAGTCAGAACACATTTGGGTCTCAACTAAGTTATATAAAACTGTTATAAAATGAAAAAAAATAATTTCAGTTTGCCTTTGAGCAGATCAGTTCCCTTTTCTGGACTTCAGCTTTCTCAAGCATCGAATAGGGAATTGGACTAGAAAAATGACTTCTTTAAGGAGTTCGTAAATACTCTGATGCTGTAATGTCAGTTTTCAGGGCTCATCACCCAGTGTTTCCTTTGACTACTCAATGCCTGGTGATGTAATATTGAGGTGATGTGTTGGTTAAATGCATGTTGGCCCCTGGCCTCACACTTCTGCACTGTCTTTTGACTGCTAGCAATGGAGGCCTTAAAACTACAATCCTTTGTCTTCCTTGATAGGTGGGCTCTGATTAGGGTCTATCAATTGGAGGCATATATGCCAAATAAAAAGGCAGGATGATGGCAGAATCTGTTCTACTTGTAGAGGTGGCTCAGGCAGTGACAGTATAGATGGCTTCAGTGAGCAACCACAGCTTAAATTCTAGCAATGCCAATGACTTTTGCTCCAGCAATATCAGCTCCATTCCGGCAGCAGTGGTGGCTCCTGCAGCATTAGCAGCTTTCAGGAAGACACCTGCTCAGTGGCAGGAGCTGACCAGTTCAGCATCAGTACAGGCTCCAGTGCTTTAGACTGGAAGCCACAGTAGCTCCCTGGTCTCTGGTAACTCTACCTTGTTCCTATTGCTTTTCCTGCCCTTCTAACATCTTTCTGACCTATTAGCTGTGATAAGGTTTGGCTCTGTGTCCCCTCCCAAAACTCATGTCAAACTCATTCCCATTGTTGGAGGAGGAGCCTGGTGGGAGGTGACTGGATCATGGAGGTGGTTTCTAATGGTTTAGCATCATCACCCTAGTGCTGTCTTGTGATAGAGTTCTATTGAGATCTGCTTGTTTAAAAGTGTACAGCACCTCCCCATTTGCGCTCTCTCTCTCTCTCTCTCTCTCTCTCTCTCTCTCTCTCTCTCTCTCTCTCTCTCTCTCTCTCTCCTGCCAGCCACATGAAGATATGCCTGCTTCCCTTTTGCCTTCTACCATGATTGTAAGTTTCCTGAGGGGTCCCCAGCCATGCCTCCTGTACAGCCTGCAGAACTGTGAGTCAATTAAACCTCTTTTGTTTATAAATTACCCAGTTTCAGGTAGTTCTTTATAGCTATGTGAGAACAGACTAATACTACCTGCATGAAATCCCACACTCCTTGAAAGTATCTAGAGTAAGTTTTGATTTCCTGACTGGGTGCTGATTAGCAAAGCCAAGGTTCTGGAGTCAGGTGGACTTGCGTTCCAGTCTTCAATCTGGAAGTTGATATTTTAGAAAGTTATCTGATCTCTCTAAGGTACAACTTCTCTGCCAAAAATAAAGGCTGGGAACGGTGGCTCATGCCTATAATCCCAGCATTTTGGGAGGCTGAGGTGGGTGGATCACTTGAGCACAGGTGTTTGAGACAAGCCTGGGCAACATGGTGAGACTCCATCTCTACAAAAAACATAAAAAACTTAACCAGGCTTGGTGGCATGCACCTGTAGTCCCATCTGCTTGTGAGACTCAGACTGGAGAATTACTTGAGCCAGGGAGGTGGCAGTTGCAGTAAGCCATGATCTCACGTCTGCAGTCCAACTTGACTGACAGATCAAGAACCTCTCTCAAGCAAACAAAACAGACAAATATAGAAAAACTGGTAACTACCTAATAACTTTGTTTTAAGAATTAAAATTCACACATAGCCTGTATTATGGTATCTGACCAGAACACTCACTGATTTCCTATAAGCAAATATTATATTGAAAGGTAATTGATAGATCTGTTTGGAAGAACCCCAAAGAAACATCACATTCCTTGCCCAGGTTTAGATTTGCTTCTCGATTTCAGAACATGTGCATGTACGCGCACGCGCACACACACACACACACACACACATGCACACCTTCTGAATTTCATGTTCACTACCTAGAAAATTTGCTCCCTGACCCTGCTCACCACATATCCCTACCCCTGAACAAATACTAATCTCCTGATCCAGCAGCAACTCATGTCATTTGAAGGGCCCTTCTAGGTATCAGACAGACTCACCCCTGGAGCAGCTTGGTAACTCTGGCTCCCATTTGTTCAGAAACTGGCATTGCACATGGGGGGATCCTTTCATGACCAAGCCATGCTGACACCTGAACTCCACAACTTCATTTAGGGAAAATAAGCTTCTGTTGTCAGATACCATCATTCCATTTTCAACATTTGGAGGCGTGCATTTGTTAGGTATGACACACTGAGGGGCCGGGCCACTCCAGATGCCCACTTGATCATCTTTGGTAGTGCAGTATATGGAGCGCTCACCCACGAGCTCAAACACATTTCTCCCTCCGCTTCCAGGATTGCAGTGGTAGGTCACCACTGATCCATAGTAAAAATCCTCTCTGTTGGTGCTAATGAAATCTCCATTGGCGATGGTGGGGGGTAGCCCACAGGGAATTACTGGGAAAAGAAAGAGCAGGTTAAATAACAGTCAATTTAACTAATGAATAACAAAAATCTCATAAGTCACTAAACTGTAACTGTTTTTACATTTATTATTTGCTTTTAATTTTTGCTAACATGTAGGTATATTTTTACAAAATTGTAACTTCTGTGGGCATAATGTCATGTGTCCTGTCTTTCTTACTTAGATTATTTCCTATAATATTTATATGCATTTATTAATTCAATCTATATTCTTTTCATTTTAAATAGCCCTTTGATTATAGTATTATAGAGTTTATACAGTTTTCTCCTACTCTTTTCCATTTGCTTTCTTAATTTCCATTTTTGTTATTAACTGAGGTTAGCTTTTATAGAAATGCAAAATATAAAAACTTTGTTAAAAGACAAATTATAAGTGAAGAGAGAAAACACAAATATACACAGCATGAAAAAGAATTTAAACATTTTTTATGAATATGGTAATATTTATAAAACTGTAAACTACTGGGGATTAATATTTTGAAAATCTAAATGATATAAATGGAAATATAAATTGCCAATGTTCATTCAAAAAGATGTAGAAAGCTAGAATTGCCCAAGAAACATGTAAGAATTGAAAAAAGTCAAAGATAAGTTCTATCGAACTTTCAGGTGACATAATTCCAAATAATATTTCAATGCTTCACAAAGTACAAAAGATATAAAAGGTAACAACTCACTTAATCAAATCTGTCTGATATGATAACAAGATATTTGTGTAAAAGTGATCATATATTAGTCCACAAAAACTCCTAAATACATGTTAAATATACAGACCAAAGACATAGAAGAATAAAGCCTAACATGTTTAAGTGAAGTCCTACAATGAGGGGAGAGATATAACAGAGCATAAACAGCATTTGAAGAAGTAGTAAGTAAGAATTTTCTACGACTAATGCAAGACATCATTAAATTACAGATTAAAAAAGCTGGGCAGCAGATCAAAGATGGCCACATAGGAACAGCTCTGGAGTGCAGTTCCCAATGAGAGCAATGCAGAGGGTGAGTTATCACTGCATTTCCAAGCGAGATAGCAGGTGCATCTCAATGGGACTGTTTGCAACGTGAGTGTAGCCCAAGAAGGGTAAGCCAAGGCAAGGTAGGGAGCTGCCTCACCCAGGATGTGCAGTCTCTGGAGGACCCCCCTCCCTACCCAATGGAGGCATCAGAAGCTTTTCCATCCACTCCAGTGCTCTGGTTCAGATACTGTGCTTCTCCCATAATTTTTTACGCCCACAGACCAGCAGATTCTCAGGCTGAAAACTACCACGAGCTTGTAGCACAGCTGTTTAAGCCAGCACTGCAGGCTTCCACACAAAACTCACACAAATTTTAGTGGCCTTTTCCACTGGCGCTTGGAACACCTGGGAGACAGAGTCACCCATTCAATTGAAAAAGAAGGAGTTGAGGCCAGGCGCGGTGGCTCACGCCTGTAATACTAGCACTTGGGAGGCAGAGGTGGGTGGATCACCTGAGGTCAGGAGTTCAAGACCAGCCTGGCCATCATGGTGAAACCCCATCTTTAAAAGAAAAAGAAGGGATTAGAAGCAGGAAGCCAAGTGATCTGGCTCAGTGAGTCCCACTTCCACAAAAACCAGCAGTCTGAAATGCTCTGGATTCAGAGTTTTGCAGCAAGTGCAACTGGACCTGGGACAGTCCAGCTCTTTTGAGGGAAGGGCATCTGCAATTACTGAGGCAGTCTACCACTACCGAGGCAGTCCCCAGTTACCAACGCAGTCTGCCATTACTGAGGCAGTTCTAACTGTACCTCTGTAAACAAAACCACAAGGAAATTCACACAGCAACTGGGAAGAGCCTGTGGCAGCTCAACAATGCCTCTGCTGGCAGACTGTGATTAGGCTACCTCTTTGCTGGTCAGGGCATCTCTGAAAAAAGGCAGCAGCACATCAGGAACTTATAAATAAAGTCCCACCTTCCCAGGACAGAGCACCTGGGAAAAGAGGTGGTTATGAGTTCCACTGCAGCAGACTTAAACTACCTGCCCAGCAGCTGTGAATGGAACAATGGAGCTCCCAGTACAGCACTTGAGCTCTGATAAGGGACAGACTATTTTTTCAAGTGGCTCTCCAACCCCCATAGATCCAGAGGCATTTCATAAAGGAGAGCTCTGACTGACGTCTGGCAGGTACCCTTCTGGGACAAAGATAACAGAAGAAGAAACTGGCAGCAATCCTTACTGTTCTGCAGCCCCTGTGGGTGATTCTCAGGCAAGCAGGATCTGGAGTGGACCTCCAGCAGTCCTGCAGCACAGGGGCCTTACTGTTAGAAGGAAAACTAAAACGCAGAAAGAAATAGCTATGACATCAACAAAAGGGATGTCTACTCAGAGATCTCATCTGAAAGTCACCAACTACAAAGACCACACGTAGATAAATCCACGAAGATGGGAAGAAACCAGTGCAAAAAGGATGAAAACACCAAAAACGAGAACACCTCTCCTCCTCCAAGGGATCATGACTCCTCACCAGCAATTGAACAAAGCTGGATGGAGATTGAGTCTGATGATTTGACAGAAGCAGGCTTCAGAAGGTGGGTAATAACAAACTTCTCTGAGCTAAAAGAACATGTTCTAACCCAATGCAAAGAAACTAAAAACCTTGAAAAATTTTTAGATGAAATGCTAATCAGAAGAATCAGCTTAGAGAAGAATATAGATGACTTAATGGAGCTGAAAAACACAGCCAAAGAACTTCGTGAAGCACACACAAGTTTCCATAGCCAAATCGACAAAGCAGAAGAAGGGATATCAGAGATTGAAGATCAACTTAATGAAATAAAAACAGAAGGCAAGATTAGAGAAAAAAGAGTAAAAAGAAGTAAACAAAGCCTCCAAGATGTATGGGATTATGTGAAAAGACCTAATCTACATTTCATAGGTGTATATGAATGTGATGGGGAGAATGAATCCAGGCTTGAAAACACTCTTCAGGATATTATCCAGGAGAACTTCCCCAATCTGGCAAGGCAGGCCATTATTCAAGTCCAGGAAATACAGAGACCACCACAAAGGTATTCCTTGAAAAGAGCAACCCCAAGTCACATAACCGTCTGATTTACCAGGGTTGAAATGAAGGAAAAAATGCTAAGGGCAGCCAGAGAGAAAAGTTGGATTACCCACAAAGGGAAGCCCATCAGACTCACAGTATATTTCTTGGCAGAAACCCTACAAGCCAGAAGAGAGTAGGGCCAATATTCAACATCCTTAAAGAAAAGAACTTTCAACCTAGAATTTCATATCCAGCCAAACTAAGCTTCATAATTGAAGGAGAAATAAAATCCTTTACAGACAAACAATTGCTGAGAGATTTTGTCACCACCAGGCCTGCCTTACAAGAGCTTCTGAAAGAAGTACTAAACATGGAAAGGAAAATCCAGTACCAGCCACTCCAAAAACGTACAAAATGGTAAAGACCATTGACGCAATGAAGAAACTGCATCAACTAACAGGCAAAACAAACAGCTAACATCAAAATGGCAGGATGAAATTCACACATAACAATATTAACCTTAAATGTAAATGGGCTAAATGCCCCAATGAAAAGACATAGACTAGCAAATTGCATACAGAGTCAAGACTCAATCTGTGTGCTGTGTTCAGAAAACCTATTTCACATGGAAAGACACATATAGGCTCAAAATAAAGGGATGGAGGAAGGTTTATCAAGCAAATAGAGAGCAAAAAAACGGCAGGAGTTGTAATCCTAGTCTCTGATAAAATGGACTTTAAACCAACATAGATCAAAAGAGAAAGAAGTCCATTACATAATGGTAAAAGGATCAATGCAACAAGAAGAAATAACTATCCTAAATATACATGCACCCAATACAGGAGCACCCATATACATAAGGCAAGTTCTTAATGACCTGCAAAGAGACTTAGACTCCTGCACTATAATAGTGGGAGACTTTAACACTCCATTGTCAATATTAGACAGATCAACAAGACAGAAAATTAACAAGATTATCCAGGACTTGAACTCAGATCTTGACCAAGCAAACCTAATAGATATCTACAGAACTCTCTACCCCAAATCGAAAGAATATACATTCTTCTCAGCACCACATCACACCTACTCTAAAATTGACCACATAATTGGAAGTAAATCACTCCTCAGCAAATGCAAGAGAATGGAAATCATAACAAACAATCTCTCAGACAACAGTGCAATCAAATTAGAACTCAGAATTAAGAAACTAACTCAGAACTGCACAGCCTCATGGAAACTGAACAACTGGCTTCTGAATGTTGACTGGATAAACAATGAAATGAAGGCAGAAATAAAGATGTTCTTCTAAACCAACAAGAACAAAGGCACACATATTTAAAGTAATGTCTAGAGGGAAATTTTTAGCAATAAATGCCCACATGAGAAACTAGGAATGATCTAAAGTCAACACTCTACCATCAAAATTGAAAAAGCTACAGGAGTAAGATAAAAAAAACTGAAAACCTAGCAGAAGACAAGAAATAACTAAGATCAGAGCAGAACTAAAGGAGATAGAGACACAAAAAACCCTTCAAAAAATCAATAAATCCAGGATCTGGTTTTGCAAAAGATCAACAAAATAGAGAGACTGCTAGCCAGATTAATAAAAAAGAAAAGAGAAGAATCAAATAGATGCAATCAAAATTGATAAAGGGGATATCAACACTGATTCCACAGAAATACAAACCACCATCAGCGATTACTACAAATAACTCTATACACATAAGCCAGTAAACCTGGAAGAAGTCGATAAATTCCTGAACACTTGCACCCTCCCAAGCCTAAACCAGGAAGAAGTTGAAACCGTGAATAGACCAATAATAAGGGCTGAAGTTGAGGCAGCAATTAATAGCCTACCAAGCAAAATAAGTCCAGGTTCAGAGCTTTCACAGCCGGATTCTACCAGACGTACAAAGAGGAGCTGGTACCACGCCTTCTGAAACTATTTCAGACAATACAAAAAGAGGG